TCTTAATGTCAATAGATGGCGTTATTTTGACTTTGGCATTTTCATTTCTGAAAGAATAGGTTGAATATAGAAGTGAGAAGAGATTTTATTTCATAATCGTTGATAGTGGAAAAAGTCGATTGCTGTAGCCTTTATATGTTATATTAGTTGGAATTAGTAGCGGGGGCGCTCCCACGTGTTGGGTCCCAGCACAGTGCGGTCCCACACCTACTGAATGTACTAAATGTTTGCCTATACAGAGAATGTGCCGCCCACCAGCACCCGACAGTTGCACAAGCAATCCTATTAATTTCAAAGTAATGAGATGTCAAGCGTAAAGTGAGTAATCTATAAATAAATATCATAAGATCTGTCATATAGGTTTCCTACATGGGTGAAGTAGATCGTGGAATTCCCAAACATTGAGTTCTTATTTACTTCTTGCTTGTTATATTGACAACTACACAACGAGGACGAAAGAATGCAATTTGTAAACAAATCCATTTCTAGAATAAGTTACTTCTGCTATGATGTGTTGATGGCAAACTACAAATCAAATTAGGAGTCTACACTTTTAAAGAACTTCAAATCGTATGTGACAGATTGTCCTGCAAAAAGATAGTATACTGTCAGAAAATTGTTTGTAAACTACATAGTCGTGGAATGCTGTTGGACACTAGAATTATGTATGCAATACTAGGATCAAATTCGCTATACAATAAGCACAAATACACATAGAGTCGTGTCCGTGGGATGCATACCGTCCAGCCTACGTTCCCGCGCAGCCTTGGCTGTTTCGCAACGTCGGTGCATCGCCTCGCTTCGCCTGTCACACAGGTGGTGGGCACAATGTGGGCAGCTGGAAAGTCCACCACTATACAATTATGTAAATAATAGCTGTCGCACGCGACTCCGTCTGCGCGGAATTAAAAAAAAACCTTAATTAGAATCCTACGTGATCTTCCAGTTTATGTTCTTCATCTATGTCAAGTTTCAGAGAGATAATATGTATACATCCATCCATTCGCATTTATATTATTAGCAAGATTACAAACTCTTAAAGCAAAAGTTGTAGGAAAAATAAAAATTATAAAAAATTCCACGGTTGTTTTCCTTAAGAACTGTTTTTTTACATAAGCTTTAGCATTAAAATATATGAAAAGACTGACGATCGATGTTAGAAATCAATTAAGTACCTACACAATTTATTACATAAATATTAATTATTTCTCGCGGTCATTTCAATATTAACTGCCAAATACACTGTTATATTTTCATGTAAAGCTTGTGTATGCAATTTTTTTCAATAGATATCCGTTTTGTATCAGCAAAGGCAATTGGTGCTATTGGTAAGCGGCAATAAAAAGGTAAAATTGTGTCATTTGTGACATACATACTAATACGGAGTTTAAAATGCGGCGTGGGCCGGCTCACCTACATTGTGGGGAATGGCCGGAGCTACGGGGCATAAATGTAAACAAATCGTTATTCATATTCTGTAAATGATCAAAATCCACCGGCCTCTAATTGAGCTGTGGACAGCCGAGGACTAAATATCTAATATGGTATTCGGTGGCGATAAAAGCGAAGTGTAAAACATAACTAGCACAATATAATTTAACGTTTCTAAAGGTATAACAACATTTAGGACCTTCATTTGTTTAGGTCAAGAGATATTTATAGCTGTACTACTTGTCGCATGCGACTCCGACCGCGCTGGATTAAAAAAACTTAATTAGTAGCCTATGTGTCTCTCAAGACTATGTTCCACATCTGTCAAACGTTATAATTTAAATTATAATATTATGTCAATAGATGGCGGACCGTATTGCTGGATCGCGTTATTAATTTATTTCCGATTGCATTTGAATAAAATTGACTCGCACCAAGATATAACCAGTGTATTATTGTGATTACTCGATACAACTCCAGTGAGAAGGGGACTTTTTGAGACTGCTTTACATGGTCCTTCGAGCCTAAAACAAGGTAAAAGAGAAACGTTTAACCGATCTGTAGATACCTCCTAAGGAAGATCCATCCATCTAAATATTTACATTTATTAGTAATAAGTAAGATTAGTAAGATGTAACCTTAGCTGGCTCATCCAGTACACTCACAACCTTGACCAGAGCGAACAGGTTTTATATTTATCCATAACGTAGTATTTTTTACGTATTACAGCTATTGGTCACTAAATCTTTTGTTTCTTTTTTTTAGAAGAAAATGGAAAGTGGTTTAAATTCAGAAATCGAGTTACAACATATTATGTACTTAATATTTTTTTTTACCTTAAAACGAACATGGGAAAAACCTTCGTTAAAGTCTACACATATCCTCAAACGTGACCTGCGTCGTAATACTTTAACTAAAATTAGTATTGCTTAGTGTAATAACTCTGTTGATATATTCTATTTCGAGTGCATTCATTTAGTTAGTTATCAGTTTAATTTATTAGACGCGGGCACCACCAGCAGATGAATAGCCTAGATTGTTAGTACCTACAAATCTAGGGCATTCGCTCCATACGTGATACGATGTTGCTATCGACTCGATGTTCACTACACTACATCTGGAGTCAGGAATGAATATATAACTTACGAGAAAGAAATCCATTGCAGTTGTACGTATTGTAATTAATAGTATAGTCCCAATTAGATCTTTATCCATTCAAATACAAATTTATTTAAACCAATTACGTCCGTATCTTGTCTTGTGACACGAGACACGGCGTTTCCGCTCGTTGCTTTGATAATGTATCTACAATATGACATATCAGGCTTGGGTTGAAAATTTTGCGACCGCAAAGTATGTCGTATGAGGTGAACGAGGGCGTGTTGCGGCGTTGTATGTTGCGGTGCGGTGAGTTGCAGTGCGGCGCGGAGTGCAGCGAGCGCTTCCTGCGCCGCACGCGGCCCCTTATCTTTTTCATTGATAGATTTATCTGCACGGGGTCGCCGCGACCGCTCTGCGCGAATGTACACTTTAAATTAATCACAGCCGGATCGAATAATTTTACTGTACTTGCATAATTAGAAATGACATTTAGATAATAAAAAATCTAGGTAAACCTGATGTGGCCAGTAACATGCGGTAATACGATGACTAATAATATTATAAAACGTCAACGTAAACTACAAAACGTAAGTTTATTCACAGTGTGACATCAATAAAATATTAACGATCGTTTTAACGCATAAAATATGTATTTATCACTAAACTGTTATATCTATTAAGGTATTAAGAAACTCTTCTATAAGGAAAATTCCCTAACGATTCCGCCATATTTTTATATACTGCAATAATTTCCGTAGCTAGTCCAATATGACTATTATTATGTGTCTATATAAAAAAGACATTTTTTTTAATTGTAAAGTCACAGATGGAGTTATAATAATCGAAAAATTAAAAACACCTCAATCAAAAGACGTCTGTCAAAGTATCTCATAACCTATTTTTTTTCTGATAGTGCATTATCTTAGCAAAAAGGGCACTGGCGCCATGGGTATCCGGCTTTAGCATACTCATGTTTGTGCTTTTAAAAGTTTTGAAACATAACATTGATAAAGGCTTTAATTCTTTTAAAACGTTCCTAAGCTCATGGTAGTCGCGAGTGGTTTATATTATCTGTGGAATAGTACTTCGGAGTGCTTTTTTACGTCGAACATCATTGGCACGTGTTTTGTAGTTTATGCACACACGACAAAGAGGTCTTATTCGTTTGTAGGTAAAAAAATAGTGGGTGCAAGACGAGAATCACTTCCTGTTATGCGTATCGAGTTACGTCTTAGTGTGGTCGGCGCTAGAGTTACCATATTAATTGTTAATTATTATAGGACATTGCTATTTATAAGCTTTTATTTAACATGCAATGTAAGTTCGGGTACAATCATGCAACGCCTCGCTTGTAGATATCTATCAACCGATTCAACTGAAAATTTTCATACATGTGTAAATACATTTATATTTAACTACTCTGGGTTAACACAACATTAAGTATGGTTAAAAAGGTGTTGATGATAAATGTTTTCGAGCAAAACATCCCCATGTTCCACAATCTTCATTCAACCTTTGAAAGTGGCTGTACTTCTAAAACATACCTTTCTCAATTCCATCACCCCTTTAAAATGTACTTATCTTTCTATTATACCTCGAGAGGACAGTATTTCTATGTAACCGTCCAACCACTTCTCTAAATCTAAATGGTGGTAATGCAAAAGCTAACTTTATTCAGATGTGTTACATGAAAACAGATTAAATTCCGCATGTAGCACGATCCATGGTCACCACAGTCACGCGCCGTGTCGCCGCAACGGGACTCCGCCGCAGCTCAACCCGCGCCCGCGCCCCCTCACGCTGTCCCGGCGACAACTTTTAATTCCTGTCACTGTCAGTACCTTCCCAGAACTATAACTATTAATATTTTTTACACATATAGCCAACGTCTGTACTTTGTAGCGGCAATTAAAACACAGTACTAGTACCCGTTATTTATCTGTAATCCTAATGGAAACGAAAAGAAATTGTCAGCCTGTGGTGTGTATGCGGATTGCAAATTTTCACGTTGATAGGTACATCCAGTAACGCTCTACTAGCGCCCTGGGCGAGATTTCTATCACGCTCTCTTTTTCTTCTATGCCTTTGGGAAGGTTAACAGGATTATGTGAGACTGTGTAATTCGCAGACCTGTGGTGCCCTGAGCAGTCGCAACCGCGCCTTTTCTAACGCCGGAACTCGGTACCTTATGTTATAATTTGTAACCTAAACCGTCATCCGATGAGATTACCGCATAATTCTCCGCTAAAATGACCTTGAGAAAGACTTCTTTATTAATCATACATTCTGGTAAAACCTAATCTTTGCGGACACGAGGTTAATCAATGAAGGATTCGACATACTATCTGTGCTGCAATACAATTAAGACTATTCGCCAAGATGATCGAATTGTGAAATAATGACGTTGGAACGATTATTTTTTGTTGTGATTTCGCACAAGGTCGGAGGTTGGTGTATAAATAACGCACCCAATGTTGATCCGGCGGCGCTCAGCGGCGGTGGGGCAAAAGACGTAATGCAGTCCGTTTCCTTCTCCGCTGTGATATTGTTCTGTCGCGATATGAGATTCGCGGTGCGCGGACGCTTCCGCAGCGCAGCTTGCGCGCGGGCGTTCGCCGGTCGACTGTTTCAGAGAGCGCCCCTCCTCCCGTCCCCTCATTCATTCGGACGCATGAATGAACGACACACGTGGCCCAAAAATTTCGACTGAAACTCCCGCGATGCCGATAGGGGGAAAACTGTAACCTCGAACCGGCGTCTAGACTGACGGATAGACTTGTCTATACCTCGCCAGAGACTCCGGCGCACGCAATAAAGATTATGTAATGCGTACTAATGATGCCCCTGATGCAGTTATTATAAATATTGTTATACAACACAAGTGGCATGACTCTAACTAATATTAATCGTTATCTAACTGTTAAATGTGGATTACAATTGGATTATATGTAATTCTATGATGACTGGTAATTACTAAAGGGAAATAAACAATTGCACACACATTTTTACACATGAAAAATATTCTGACATGCATACTTAGGTAAATTGTAGGTGACGATTTTTATAATCAGGAAATAAACGCTTTCTTATACCTGATAGCTTAGCTTTAGGAGAATGTTAAACATGTATTTGTTTAAATATTATAAACACAAGGCAGGAAAATAATTATATAAATAACTAATGCAATTTTTAACAATAAACTAATAAAGAATCTAATGAATAGTCTTAAATCTATGATATAAAATAAAATATTAAAAAACGAATAATTTACTAATATATTATTAAAAGGAGTCCCTTTAGGCAAAGTCCCGAGGATACTGGCAGCGTTCCCCCTTTAGACAGCTAAACTAATTCTTTGTCCGAGGTAGCTGCCAGCTCTTCGGTCCCCTGTGATGTCGATTAATTATATAAAGAAGTCAAAGGTTTAGGAACGCGTACCTTTAGATGTTGATATTTATAATACAAGTATGCAATTATAATCTATTTATTTATTTATTATGATAATGAATTTAATAATAAATAAAACAATAGTCTATTCATCTAAACATTATTTGTTTATTTTGTGGATTGTTCCCTTGTTCTTTGTTTTAATAATAACGTAAAAACTTCTTCAATTAAGTCCCTTACTATAATCATGAAAACAAGACGAAGCGTTGCAGTACGTTTTTATGCCTTATTTATGAAATCAAATCTTAAGTTACCTGAATTTAGACAATTTCAATTTGAATTACCATCATCTTAAAGATTTTGTTTTCTTTTAAATGTTTAATTATGTATATTAAATAGAGCAGTTCATCACTAAATAACTTTTTTTATTTTATTTATTTAGCGATGAAACCTTTTCTAAAACAAGTAGTCCTGCAGTTAGTTTATACGTAATTTTTTTCAAAAAGTATCTCAACATTTTTATTTTACATTTAGTTATTAATTCTTAAAAGTTCTAGAAATAAAACTTACCAGCAATCTTGCAGCGATTATCTTGTCTACACAGTAACACAATCATAAAAAATAACACTTTAAATTCACTGAAAGGTATAATATTGTACAATTTATATTGTTATCACCAATTAGCAGGTAATGTTCGCTAGAAATGACTTCCATGAGGAAGTGTCGGTCCGGATTTAAGCCGGGCTAGTTCGCTATGGGAGGTCGGAAGCCCGCGCAGGCGCTGTAGCCAGCGGGGCGTGACCTAGACCCTGAACAACAACACCCCCTCGCCCACGCACACACCGTTACCATGGTTACCAGAATAACGCATCCAAAAGTATCTAAAAAGGAATTAAAAAGACAAACTTTACATGCATACTTCATTACACGTGTAGGAATTAATCTTTCGTTTTAAAACCTTCCATTCAAAGTTGATTTTTATCAGTTTATTTAGTTAAATCAATACAATCAATTCTATGAATCTTGTTGATTAGGAAGAAACAAGGAAAAATAACGGGTGCCTACAAATCTTGCTCCTCCCAGCGAACGTTCCATCTGGGCGTACATTGGTCTTCATACCTGGATGGTGTGAGGCTACCCTGACTTCCGGGATGATACAATATCGATGAACAAACCACATCTACGTCATTTCTTTTGAATCTATTTTTGTGTTCACACATTATATAATCGAGAGATTATGTTCCATCACTAAGTACTGGAAAACATGGCTTTTTTCTCGTGGTAAGGCGTCATGCCATAGACTAGAGAGAGTTATGGCCGACTACGGTTTTTTGAACGCGTCATACACACATCTAACCTAACATGTGTAAAAATATATTTTTCACAAACTTAGCTGATAATACTGACTGAATTTATTCAACAATGTATAGTATTACGAGTAATTAAACAGTATACAGTTATTTTTTGCATATTTATAAAATATTTTTCTTTGGAAAGATTACGCATTTCTTTGCTATCTCTTTTTAACCGACTTCAAAACGGAGGTTCTCAATGCGTGTGTATATTTTTCTGTCTTAATAAAAGCTAGACACTTGCCTATCATAATGACTGTTTCGTGGTAGTAGTAGTTACTTAAAATCAGGTAAATCTGTTCGTTTGTTGCATCTATGATAACTTATTTCATCTGGTAATTTAGTAGATACTTTAATCGAACTAGTGTGGGCTAAATATTTTCTTTGTTTTGCAAATTTCGATGACGAAGTCGTCCGCCAGCTCGTGGTATAACTTAAAAGTTTCACAAGTCCTGATGGTACTGGATGTATAAAAACAGGGTTAAAATGAAAACAATATAATTACGTATTTATCAATTTAATAAAACTTCTTCAATATAAGAATATGTCCGATTCCATCTATATAGTACAAATCATTTAAAAAAAATGGATAAATACCTACACAAAGTACAACCTTCTGTATCTTCTTTTGATTCCGATCTAGTTAACTCTAGGAACGTTCGCGACAGCTTCTTATTAAAAAAAACATTTGACCTTCAAAGTAATAGTAACCTTGGGTTTCCACCTTTCTTAATAGAAACGGGAGGAATTATGTTTAAATACAGTTTTTTTACAATGGAAACTCTAAAAACAATATCATAAGTTTCTTAAACTGTCAAGTAAATAATTTCGTCGATTTTAACGTGGGTTATTTGACACATCAAAGCATTTCATCGATGTTTAATCGACAAAAAAGACAATTAGTAACTTGAAATAAATAATGCTTTGCAGCCTAAAGGTCGGTTTCCATTGTTATGCGATCTAATAATCGATATCTTACATCAAGTAAAAGCAAATATATCGATGATGTAAAATCGATTTTAAGCATCGACTGAGCGTATCAATGAGATCTTATATTGCACTAAACAATACGCTTCAATGACTGCCTTTATAACTTCATAAGCAATAATTTATCTATAATTCTCAAATATTTACAAATAAATATATTCCAAACATTCAACACGACTCGGCTCACATTCTCGAAGATATCAAAAGGTTGTCTGTTGGTTTGAACCAAATAAATAATGTATAAATGGTCTATATACAATGTATTGCAAATTTATCGACAAGTTACAACATATAAAACATATGGCAAATATGAGAGAAAACATTTTTTTTGCGTAAAAATCCAACTTATTTTTATAAAAAAAATCTGCGCTAGGATGAGATTCCGTGCGACTGTTAGATGGATCAGACACGGGGGGACGATATTTATAGCGAATAGGTTCGCATCTACGACGTAAAGGACGAGAGCTTTGAGTCTCATTGGAGACCAGAGGAGAGGTTCCTAGAGGATCTGGAACAGTTTCTTCAATTCGACCATCAGCTGCCAATCGGTCTTGATAAGGTCGTCGCGGAAGTAATCCTTGCACGCGTCGATACTCGCGCGCGATATCTGCAACAAAAACATAATTGTATAACGATTTATATCCATTCTGCTGTAAAATTTCCTATTAAAAAAAGGGAAGACAATACATTTTTGTACACATATTCAAGCAGTAACCGACTGAAATTACAAAATAAAGTAGTTTACCATTAATTAACGGTTCAGATAAGTTTCCATTTCCCCTAATAGTCTACTAGATTTCCAAAATTATAATATTACTAGCTGACGCCCGCGACTGCGTCCGCCCGGAAATAAAATCCATGCAGCCATTCTGGAGACAACTTCAAACAAACATCCTTCATTCATTCATCCATCCATCCATATGTAAGATTAACTAATGTTAGTACAATTTTATATCAACGTTTGTTTCTCATTCAACACACCGTTTCAATTCATATCTGCTGATTCTAAAAATAGCTTGCAAGATGAATGTAGCAGGGGGTTTCATTGAGAACGACCCAGTTTGGGGAGCATCGATTCACCTCGGGGTGAATGGTATGACGTCATAGGGAAACTAGGGCAGGTTCTGCAACTGGGTCGAGCCCCTGCCCCCGAAACCCCCGCTGCAGCCTTAAAGCAGCGAGCCCAGCCTGAACACCGCAGGTCACGGGGAAAAGGAAATTGGATTTATAAATTTATCCTCAAGGATGCGCAAAGCGACGCTTAAGGCATTTATTAGCGGGATAATAAATATTATGTAGGACGAGAATTATTTTTATATAGATTTGGAAAAAAGATTTTAATAATTGTACAACTTTAAAAACACATTTTAATTTTAGCTAAATAGGATCTAGTCTAGATGATGTCTGGTAAATTTTATAGTGATGATAAATTCCAATCTTTTAGCAGATATTGTATTTTTTACAATACAAAGTAAACAAACATCAATATTAATATAATACACCGATAACGCGAATACCTAATAATATGTAGTAAATAAATTCGCACAATAAACGTTGTTCCGTCAATGAGACTGCGGTGCGGAATATCAATGGAGATTCTAGAATGGGATCTGACCGGGTCATCGCGCGCTTGTGTGTGTAACATCGTCACAACTGACGTCTAAGGGAAATTAACCTTTATGCCTATTACAGTAAGACATAGTTTTATACTGAGAAGCTTTAATAACCTGATAAAGGTTCCCATCATTAGACGGCGGTAGGTTTTCAATGGCAGACGTCGAAAGTGCCTTTTAGGGTGCGCCAACACGCTGTCAAAGGAAACGGCGACCAGTTTGTGTTCGCGCACTATAATTACTTATTAATGAACGTTAAACCAGTTATATATTACTGCAAAAAAAATGTATGATTGATAGTTGAATAAGACACAAACATACCGGTAATTTTTTGTACTATTTGATACTAAGTAACGTATAGTGTAGGATTAGAGTTCGTATGTTAACCGACAAATTATATATATTAATTTATCAACAGTAATAAAACTGTTTGATGGCTCTTGTACTCTTTAGTTTAAATTCGAACTCCGAACCAATAGACACAAAGGCAGCTGAATCACTGATCAGTTGATGTTACGTAAATATCATAATGACTGGAAATATTCCCATAACAAGCGAATCACCTACAATACGCAAACCAATGTTATTACATTCCTACTTTTGTTATAATCTTGCTCATTCATGTTTATATCGTGTTAGAGATGATTGTCACATTGCATAAACATGAATGGGCAACATTACGTAACATAGATGTATATAAATTTAATATATCTTCTTTAAAATAAATAACAATCATCTTTTAAATAATTAACTTATATTTATTGCAACTTGACAATCAATTGCTTTATATATATATATATATATATTTTTTGTATCGCTTTTTTGTCTTTGTATTATGGTCTGAAAAAACGTTTAATCTCTGTTTTTTTGTTCAATATAATTGTGAAATGGTTAATAACGTCTGTATTTGTTAATTTGCTGATCTTATAAATAAGCGACTAGTAAGTACACCTGAACCCTGTGGGTTTTTAGTACTGCTGCCTAACCGTAATTTAACTTGTTATGTAATTTTTTGTATAATAAAATAAAAAAAATCCATACATATCATTATAATACTAGCTGTCGCCTGCGACTACGCCCGTGCGTTATTAAAAAAATACTTAGTAGCCTTTGTGTTCTTCCTGGCTATTTTCTACATCTATGCTATCAGCGAGATCTATGTAGCAGTTCTGAGGTACTTTCTAACAAACATCCATCCATCCAAACATTAGCATTTATATTAGTAAGATTCTTGTAAGATGAACATGACTTATAGTATATATGTAGTTATAGATACCTCATCTTTTCTACTTTTGAAATATGTTTTAAGTACCAACATAAAAAAAACTTTACTTAAATTTGACGTACGTGTTAGTTTAGTTGCATATTTGGGCCATGTCTTGCGACACGAAAAATATGAACTTCTTCAACTAATTATGATGGGCAAAATCGCAGGCAGAAGACGAGTTGGAAGGAGGAGAAATTCGTGGCTAAGAAACATCCGGGAATGGACCAATACAACTTTTTCGCTTGGCACAAGACAGGAAAGGGTTCGCTGAGCTGACGGCAAACCTCCAGTAATGGAGAGGCATTAGAAGAAAAAGAAGTGTTAAGAGATTGAAAATTCTTGATTTTTATAAAATAAACATGGGATAGAAATACATATGTACTTTTTCCATTGTTAAAATTAGCTATAACGCTTATACAATTGGTATTAGAAATTCAAATAATAAAGCAAAAATGTAGATTAAATAAAGAGATTGGACATATTAAAAAGAATCGCTTTAATATATATTTAAAGTTTCGTTTTCATAAAAAAACCCGTTTTCGTTATCGTAAAGTCACTAATTTATCGTGTCCCAAAATTATATAATAATACGAATTTATACGACAAAAAGTTAAATGAAAAAAAATCTAAAAAAAGAATCGAGTCACAAAGTTCGTACATCACAGTCTATTTCAGTACGAATTCTGAAAACATTTTCATATGAACATAACTATACTAGATTTAATCTAGATATTTGTTCGAAAAGGAGAATACCAATTATAATATTAATTTAGCCCTCAACCCCTTAACTACTCGTGTCAGTATGATACACGTGTCCCAGGTGAGACAATGACCTTACTTGCACGAGTAAATTGAAAAAGTCGACAAATATATGGAAATATTTTTATCATCATATAATTTCAGAGACGGAGAGAGTTTTTGATGTTAACATAACATCGCTCAAAAATGTAACGATAAGATATTTAGAAGTAATTTTACTAATATTATAAATGCGAATGCTTAGATGGATGTTTGTAGAAGATATCTCCAATACGGCTGCTTGGTTCTCGTTGAAATTTGGTATAGATGTAGAACATAATCTGGAAGAACAAATATCGATTGTTTTTTTAATGCCGCGCGGGCGGAGTCGCATTGCAAAGCTAGTATTTAAATAATAAATTGTTTCTAAAACTTTTTTCAATGATCTATATATGAATAGAGGGGAAAGCAATGAGTATCTTTTGATACGTCGTGATGTAAATTATAAAGCTTAATAAACAAGCGATATAGTGCACATTGATAATTACTGTCCGTCCGTTTGTGCTATCTTATCGGGGCGTTACATTGATGTGAAATTATGCGAATTGCATACAGGTTCAGTTCCGTGGCGGTTCTCGCCAGATAATAACTCACTTGATTTCCCGATGCCCTCATAAGGAGCGAAAGTCGTAGGAAATTATTATCGAATATTTTCTATCCAAATGCAATCAATTTTAATTATTTTAAGCCGAATGCTAATAATATCATAGATTCTGACGTCACAAACTAGGTCCCCGATAATCACAGTCATTAGACGTAACGTGGTTTTGCTTCCACTTGAAGCGTCTTCTGAGTGGTCGTGTACCAAGCAATCCGACCCTCGTGAAACAGATTTTAGTGCTTATCTTAGTTCTTGGATTATGCTATACCATATCGTTTATCAAGATAAATATATGCATGTACGAACTATATTTTCTATACATTTCCTACATATATTGTGTACCTAAATGAGATCATTTAAGAACATCTCAATTATATTGTCATATAAGGCCGAGGAAGCCGAAGGAACAATGAATGACTCACAAGGCATTGTTATCCATCAATTAACAAAAGAAGTCACGTACTCGTGTTATTTTAATAAAATGAAGCTTTCACGTTTAAGTTACTGAGGTGGACGAAAGAATATATAACGGATTTTAATTTCTATTAGTGTTTTATAAGAACAAGACATCAAAAAATAAAAAAAATAACAGAATAAGCGACTTAAATCTGTGTATAAAAGTAATTTTTCATCGTCTGAGACACAAAATCAGAAATAAGGCTAACTAAATATAAGAAAATTGCAGTAAATTTATATATTATATTTCAAGGTTTGTTTTGCGGTATACTAAATCAAAATTGTCGAATCTGCTACACGTGGTAGGAGGGGAGGTGTGGGGGGTCAGCTAACGTATGGAAAGCGATGACGTCACGGGGCACGGAAATAGCCCGGCCTTCGCGCGGTGACGGGAAACCGCTCCGCGCTCACACCAACCCATACTATATTATGTATTTGGATTAGACAAAGATTGATGGCTCGATGTAGTCCGCTCGTAAAACCCTAGCTGTTTGCTTTTCTATCATTTTATTATTCAAACACAATATAAATCTTTTGCGCACCCAACTTCGCAATGGTCGTTCTTTCGATCGGCTCGCTAGAGTATTTTTCTCCGGAGCACTTGGATTAAATAGTTATAACGTGCAAATAATAAATTACGTATAACACAATATTTTTGCTATATTTATATTGAACAAGGCTACGTTCTATAGCTTGGATGTATCAAAGAGTATGAAATATAGGATTATTCACTGTATTCTAGATGGATGTATTAAAAAGTTTTTTTTGTTAATTTGTATTGTCCGTATTTGTCATACGAAATTATCGACGTAAACTTAACGTGTGGTAACATTGAAATATGTGTGACCTTGTGTGCATCTGAGCGTGACAGTATAGAGTTGCACGCTGCACGGTGCCTGCACATTGCAGTGTTCGCGTGGTAACGGCGGTACAGTTAGCAGCTTGCGGATGCCGCACCGCCCCTCCCCTCGCCACTTCTCCCCCCAACCATTTCCCTCGACCCACTGACCCGGGGGATAGAGTTACCACCAGTATCAGTACTATACGGATATTTTCTTTTTTTTAACAATGTAAGGAGACAGAAAGGCTTATAAAGAAACATAAGAGTGGAAACTGCTTTCTATTTAGACGCGAAGTTATATATCTGAATATGTCATTAAAATAAAAATAGATATTTTTAGGGTTCCGCACTTCATACGACGAAAACCAACGAAAAGAACCATAGAAAGTGACCCTTATAGGATCACTATGTTGTCTGTCCGTCTGTGTGTCAAAACCCTCGTTTTTAGTATTTGTTAAATCCAAAGAGTTATGGTTTATGATAGTCTCAGGAAATGTAGTTTACGTAGTCACCCTACGCCAGTACGACGAGCTCAATGGAGGCAGGAGGGCGGCCGCCATTGACGGCGTGCATTCATGCTGCCTCTAAACCACTTAATGGCCGACTATGTTACAATTACAACGTTTCCTCAATGAAAACTCTTACTATACTCTGTTTTAGCAACTTAATAAAAACGGAACCTAAAAATCTTAGTAATATTATAAATGCGAATGTTTGAACGGATGGATGGATGTTTGTTTGAAAGTATCTCCAAAACGGCTTCATGGATCTCGCTGAAATTTGGCATAGATGTAGAACATAGAATGAAAGAACACATTGGCTACTAATTAAGTTTTGTTTTAAACATAGAATAAAATAGAAACAAATTAATATTTACAGAGTTTATAAAGGAAACAAAAAACATCTATTTGACTTTCCCAATAAGTGTAACAGGAGTTAACGTCAGTTAATAATTTTAGTTCGAATAAAACGCATTTCCACTGGCGCGATTTTAGCACTAATTTTGCCGCGCTTAATTTCTTCTGACAGTTCATATATCCTAGTTGTCACTTTATGCCACATTAAAAAAGCCATAGTGTTTAAGTTCATCAGATAGTGTAAAATATGTGTACACTAACTAGAAGTACTTAGTGACAAATGAATCAAGTTCGTGTAAAATACTCAGCTGGAATTACATAAAATAAAAAAAGGTTCACTAACCGTGGGTTTCTGAAACAAAAAACTCTGTATAAAACATATCGTCATCCCTGTCATTATCTTTGACAAAACAGAGATAGCAATATATTTTAAACGTGGATTTTGGTCACAGGAACTTATAAGAGTAGTTATTGACTCAAGTTGGTGTAAAAAGTAATAAAGTTGTTTAGTAAAGGCAATGTAGTCACCTTGCTGACGAGCATGTCCGTCTCGTCGAAGTGTCGGCCGAACATTTTGGGCGACTCTCCGGGAATGGGCTCGATCTTGATGCACACCTCCTGACCCTTGCGCGCCGTCTCCACCTGCTTGTGGTTCACCTCGATAGACGTCACCAAGCCCAGCTCCACGAACTGGACACAATCAATTAATTCATTACTTACTGAATTATACATTAGTATGCCTTGAAAACGCATATCAAATTAACTTCCTCAAATTATAAAAAGTTACTTAAAAATGGAAGGACCAAAATGTAGAAAAATCAATGAATATAATATTTTATTAACACTGTATAGTGGTTTTGGTAATTTTACTATTACATATTATAAATGCAAATGTATGTATGGATAAATGGATGAATATATGTTTGTTAGAAGACATCTTTAGAACGGCTGCATGGATGTCACTGGAATTTCGCATAGACATTTTTTTTATATCATAAGGTGGCAAACGAGCGAGCGGCCACCTGAAATCGCTGAAATAGCGAGGTGACCGTTGCCCATAGACTACCGTTAATCGACTGAGGAGAGGATTCATAGAAAGCAAATATTTTCCCTTTCCATGCATCCTCTCATACGGAAAGTTCACCTGCACTTTCCATTCTTTCCTTATAATAAAAAAGACGGGAAGGGAAAGAAGACTTCATTAGGCCTCCGGGACGCACACTCATCAGACTGTACTTGGAATTGCTTCCACTTGAGGCCTGTCTTCTGTGTGGTCGTGGTATTTCATCGGGCGAACCGGGACAATTCGTGCGAAGATGTTAAAGCGGGCTCTACCACTGTTAAACATGGTCTAATTAAGATTTTATTATCCCGCGCGAACGAAGTCACGCGCAACAGCTAGTTAATTATAATGAATAACATATTATGCCATATAACGTACCTCTTTACTTGGCACACATATAGGCGTGCCCTCCTTCACAATGCCCGCCTCCACCATGACACCCATCACTATGGGGTCACGGGAGTTGAACACGAACTGCGGCAACACCTGATAGAACGGAATTCAATAAGTTTAATCCTTCATTCATTCATCAATTCGGTTGACAAATGGTAATGCTTGCGAGTTATATAATATGCGTTTTTTTTTAACTTTTCTTCGAAATATCCTAAAGGAATCAACGTTTGAGCCGTACCTTAATTTTGCATGGGAATACAGCGATGTGCTTGAACTCCTCACGCTTCCTCTGCTTCAGCTCCTCCCTGTAGGCGGTGAACTTGTCGAACAGATGGTAAATAATGTCTGCAGCGAAGATCTTCACACCCAGCTGGTCTGCTAACTCCTGAGCGTCACGTTCGATCTGGACACGGACACATGGGTGAACTATTTGGTACATAAATTTATCAAATAAACAATTTTCTCGCTGTAATTTTGCCTGTTAAATAATTCACAGAAAATTATAGCGTGAATATTATTTCTCAATCGTTAAAAACTTTAGTAACTTTTCAATCTTAACTAAAACCTCTATTCCACTAAAGGACTCAACGGTTCCATAGCTGCTACTCGCTTAGTGGAAAAGAGGTGTAACCTTTGATTTATTCGTAAAACAATTACCATTGCTGTTTCGCCTATAATATCCTTTAGGTTAAAAAAAAAAGTAAAAAATAATGTGTGTTACCTTAACATCGAATGCCAGTATAGTGGCATACTGCGAGTCATGCTCCAACATGGCGGACGCCTTCATCACATCGCGCTTTACCACCGGACCTATCCTGATCGCGGAATACTGCAACAAATATATTTATATTAAAATCTAGTATATAGACTGAAATAAAAAATTAAAATAATGTAAACCATATCCAATCTTTTACCCTTTCTACAAAACTAGTCTGTGGATTAAACTTTTTCATTTTACAAAAGAACAATAGTGAGTCTTCTCTGTTGAAGAGAGTGATAACAGTAATGTTCTCTTGAGTTTTAACAATGGTTATTACTGACCGGTATCTTGCTGGTCCTGAGGAACTCGAGCAGGGCCTCGAGGGAGCCCAGCGTGGAAGCCTGCACGTACACCCCGCGCTCCGACAGCTTGATGGACGACAGCGCAGACTTCAGCTCGCGCGCCACCTCCTCCCTTAAAAATAAACAAACTTACTACCTGAAATACCACTCCACTAGTACTAAATATACCACAGATATAAAAAAAATTATATTTAAAGTACTCTGTGGTCTGTAGTCTTAGGAATAACTAATGTTTGACATAAAATACAACAATAAGTAATCTATTTTAGAATTGTTCATTTTTTTTTAATTACTAGAATGACGTTTTAAAATTTGACAGATGACAGCCCATTCGACGCTATCGCCACCTATTTAGAACTTTTAGTTTTTGGTGACCATTAAAGAAAATAATGTTTTATAGCTTACTTTAAGACATCAACTTCATCAGGTTTCTGTGCGACGAGCAGGTTGAGTCCTGCGATCGCCTTCTCCAGCTCCTTGGCGGCGATCTTCACTCCCTGAGCGCCCACCACCTCCTTGTGCTCCATGTACGCGTTCTAGGACAGAAAATTTATTAAAATAATAACACAAATAAAAAATAAAATGAGCCTCATTGAAGCTGTCAATGTTATAGAAATACTTTAAATTAACTATTTATTATGAAAACGAAAAACTAGTTGACCACCGGCAAGAGGAGACTTCCGACCATGTGGAACTTTCAACAAAAGCCTCCTCCAATATTTTCTACATCTCTCTGTCCTCCGCATTGCGGTTTCACTCTGACCCCTTCTCACTTAAATCATCCTCTTTTCATTAATTAGCCACTAAAAGTAACAATAATGAGGGTATATTTTTTATTTATTTATTGGAAGACCAACAACCATTTTTACAAATTAAGTACAACAATACTCAGTAAACATATAGCCGATAGTCGAACCGATATGGGCAGTAAATTCTTACCTTAACTCTCAACTCCTTCATAGGCTGCGGCATCAGCAGAGAACGGATCTGAGTGACAATGGGCCCATCCGTGCCTGCCAGGATCATGGTGTCTCCCTCATGGAGTGTTCCGTTGATCAGAATTGTATCAATAGTTGTACCCAGACCGGGAATGGCCTTTACCTGTTTGGTCACATAGAAATCAGTAACAAGTACAAACAAAACATTACAAAAATGTTATTGCAACTGTCTGATATTCATTTGATTTTATGTTACCCTTTCACGTCAGACTAGGACACTTTTTTCTCCATCTTACAATATAAGTGACAAAGTAAATATAACATAATTGTAACAAGGTGGTATACATAAAACAGATGTTAATATATAGAGATCTCTCCGTAGATCGTAGACCGTGGGTTTCTGAGCCCAAAATCAATGTTGTTGTCTCTGTTAGGTCAAAGATAACAGGGATGTTTATATGTTTTATACAGAAATTTTGGAATCTCAGAAACCAGCAGTGAGTGCAGTATTGATTGTTTATTTCAACTGTACATAATTAACAAAAATCAAAGACGAACAAACCTCTAGTACGGTGGCTAGCAGCTGCTGCGAGAACACTAGCCTCTTGTGCAGCGGTCCCTCACAAGCTTGCACAATCATAGCGAGCAGGTTGCCCATACCCTCGCCTGTTACCGCTGAAGTCGGCACCAAAGACACATATGACCGTGGGTCCGGATTGTCGTAGAACAACGCCGCGTTCAGACCCTCAAAAAGTACACAAACAATATATAAATTGACTAGCTAGGGTAAGAGCCTACCCTAAGTTAGGGGTGATTAGGTCTTAGTCAGCTCTGGCCCAATGCAGGTTAGTTGATTTCACCTTATGCTTTTAGTAAAAAAATAATTTACCTGTTCAGCAAACTGTACAATGACCTCCTTGCTCCTCTTATCAAACTCCAGCTGAGTGTTAGGTTGCTGCAACTTGAGTATATCTCGCACATCCTTACGCTGTGCACTCTGCCAATCATACAGACGATCTATCTTGTTCAGAGCCACTATGAACGGTGTCTTCTTCTGTTTAAGTAGATTTATTGATTCTATTGTCTGTGGTTCCAGACCGTGCATAATATCCACTACCTGGAAAAAAATAAAAAAATCAAAATATAGCATATTTTGGATGAACTTTCTGTATATCTTATTGCAAAGAAACATACCAGAATTGCGATATCACATAATGAGGAGCCTCGACTTCTCAGATTACTGAAGGATTCGTGCCCAGGAGTGTCGATAATAAGCAATCCTGGCAATTTGAATGCTATTTCATTCACCTGAAAAATTAATAAGGTTTTAATTTAAGTTAAACACAATACAATTAATTTTATTTACTTCATAAGATGTACATTATGTAAATATACATTTTATTGTACACAAAAAGCAAATAGCTGTAGTGTAAAGTTGATTATTAAAGAGGAAAAAAAAGATAGAAAAGCCATATATTAATGATAGAATAATTATTATGGTGTCAGCAGTTTTTGTGCTTATTGAGGTCAAATAATAAAATTTTACTTTGTAAATTTTATCATAGCACATTATTGTCTGTTTTATGATTACACAACACAAAATCAGTGAATATGATGTCAAGAAAGTGAACTAGGGTTGTTGCTGACAATGGATGGGTTAAACTAGCGACACTTGAAACAAATTCAGTCTTACCCCTTTAACATGCTTTGTTTGTTCTTTAATATTCTCAATTGGTACATTAGTAGCACCAATCTGTTGCGTGATACCACCCGCTTCTCCATCCTGCACGTTGGTGCGACGCAGCTTGTCCAGGATCTTGGTCTTCCCAGTGTCTACATGACCTAGTACACACACCACAGCAGCACGGAGAGGGTTATTTGCTTTGTTTTGTTCATTCTCTTCACGTCGTTTCTAAATAAACGGTAAAGTTTAAGTTTTAAATAACATGTTTGTAATAGTAAGTATGTATAAACTAAACTCTTGAAGAACTAGGGTTTCAAGTAATAAATTAAATTTTGTCACAAAAAAAAATTCTCTTCATAGACTAAAATTAAATAGGTAAGTAAGTATCAGTTTATCATAATACTTACTTCTAATCTCTTGAGGACAACCTCCCTCTTCTTTTGAGCATCAGTCATTTGATCATCTTCACTATCTTCTTCTGAACTTGAATCCTCATCAGAGCTGCCATCCTCTTCTTCGGAAGTTTCTTCATCTTGTTTCTATTAAAAGTATTATATGTTGTACCAAGTTAAAGAAATATTGAATCAGTCTTTAATAACTAATGTAAAGAAAATATATTACCGGCTTCTGTTTCTCCTGTTTTGACTTTACTGGTTCTTTAGCAGGACTTGCAGCTTTCGCCGGCGCAGGTTCAGCCTTAGCAGGCTCCTCAATTTCCTCTTCAGAAGACTCTGCATCCCAAGAGTCTTTGATCAAATCATTCTCTTCCTGCTTTTCTTCAGATTTTTGAGGCTCTTCCTGTAAATATCGATTTAATTAAGAGAAAATTCATATTGATAATAAAATTAAAGAAACAAACAGTAGATTATCATAAATGTTACCTTTTTCTGTGTAACATCCAAATCAAATTTCTTTTCCTCCGCAGGAGTTGTGGGTGTTTCTTGAGACATTTGAGTTTTCAATTTCTGTGGCTTAATTCTAGTTCCTAACCTAGGAGGTCTCTTTTCTGTAGATCCTATCTCAATTCCTTGTGCTTTCAAAGATTCCAACATAGCTTGAGCCCTTGCCTTTTCCGCTTTTTGCTTTGGAGTTAACAGCTTACCTTCAGCTTTAAGTCTTTCTTTTCTCTCCTTTTCTTTTTGCTTTTTCCGTTCCTTGCGTTCTTTTTCAAGTCTTATAGCTTCAAGTCTTTGGCGCTCTCGTTCTTCCTCCTGTTTTATCCTTTCTTCCTCTTCTTTTTTGAGCCTTTCCTCCTCTTCCTTTACTTTTTTCAGTGCTTCTTGCATTGCTGCAATAGTCTTTTTAGTAGGACCTTTTTTAGCTTTATCATCTTTTTCAGCCTTATCACCTTTTTTCTTTTTCTTTCCTTCAGTTGCAGGAGCATCTCCTTCAGCATCTTTATCTTTTTCCTCCGAAATTACCTTTGGTTCTTCATTAACAACCAGGTTTGCTGTTGCCTTAACATCTGCTTTAGTCTCAGGGGCTTTCGTAGGAGCTTTACTATCATTTACATCTTTTTTAGGATCTTGCTCTTTCTTTTTAGCTTCTTGTTTTTTCAACTTCTCACGTTCTTTCTTTTCTTTCTTCTTCTGAGCAGCAGTTTTAATTGTTATGTCATTTTCATTATCACTATCTTTTTCATCTACACCCATTTCTTCTGTTTTACTTCCTAGTTCCTCTTTTTTACCCTTTTTCTTGTTTTTAGATTTCTCTTCAACATCTTCTTGTGGTTTTTCCTCGACTGGAGCAGGTGTTGGTTCAGTTTTCACTCCAGCATATTCCATTTCAAGTTCAGCTAGAACTTTTTCTATATCCTCATCACTATCATCTTTCTTTCTCTTGGCTTTTTTTCCTTTCTTGCCAGCTGGTTCTTTTTTCTCCTGTGCAGGTTTCATTTGTTGTTTCTGTATTGGTTTTTCATCATCTGAAGATGGAGGTGCTTCAGGGGCTGATTCTCCTGAATCTTCAATGGCTAACAAAGAAAATGCACTTTTCTCCTCTTTCTTCTTGTTTTTCTTGGGCTTTTGCTCTACCTCCGCATCTGACTCATCTAGTAATTAATGTTTGGTTTTATTAGGATAAATTTGCAAATAGAGTAATATATTATGTCAAAACTTACCTTCACTGCTAACATCCTGTTTCTTTTTTTGAGTCTTATTGGAAATGGATACATTTTTAATGTTTTTTGTGACTTCCTTAACATCAGTATCTACTTTTTTAACCTTTGATTTAGTTTTCGGTTTTTCATTATCGCTCTCATCTGATTGACTGATTCTAAAATTAAACAAAATTTATGTGTGAAGGTTTCAGTTAATTTGCTAAAAATATGTTAAGGATAGAGCATGTTGTTAACATTACAGATTTTTAAGTAAAGTTAAACAAATTGCAACATTCCGTATGTTAATTCCAAATTTGATATAAATAATATTGAAAATAACCTATAACACTTACTTCTTTCCTTTATTAGGCACCGGCTTTAGGGAATCAATGTTGGTTGTTTCCACATCGCTGCTACTGAAATTTATTATTTTTAAAACCAATGTATGAAAGTAAGTCTTACACATATCCTAAAATTGAGATATTTACCCATCATCTGCAGCTAGGTTCTTCTTTCCTTTTTTTGCTTTCCCCATGTTGTCGTGGTACTTAATATATTAAGTCACAATATCTGTAATATAATGTTTAATTTTCGTGTGTTTTATGATTTCTATCATGTGAAAAGCAGACTTCGAACGTATGTTAATTTTTATAGGGAATAAAAGTAGTATTCTAGTGGATATTGCCTCGTCGTCGTGTCTGTCCCCCTCCTTTACTTCTTTTTAATTTTACGTCAAGCACGTTCGGATTGTAGATCAAGAGTATAGAACAAAGAGTATAGTAAGTATACTATAGAACACAACACAATTTTACCAAAAAAACTTAAAAAATGACAAATTCATCGAGGCAAAAGCAGAATATTTCGACCACTTCCACTACTGTCGACTACTACGAAATACGAACCCTTATAAACATTTACTCCTGGGTTTACTGTCCGAACTGGAATAAATTAATAAATACTTTATTCGTAAAAGTGATTACAATTTCCTAAATCCCCTGCCTGTCTTCAAATGCGAGAAATATTCAAGTTATTTATATGCTTTTGCTATATATGTTCTATGCAACTTTGACTATAAAGAAAGTTGAAATTACTGTGTACAGTGCGCGTGTTGCTTTAACATATCGTCTTTATCAAACTTTCTTCAATATCGTACAAGATGGGTGACAGACTGTAAAAAACGAACGAACAATATGACCTTTGGCAACTCTAATTATTATCATTGTTGAATACTCTTTGACAATTGGCAAATGGTATTTTTTCTGCACCTACTTAATATAATTTGTTTTATTAAAATATTGTGCTGAACGTGAAATAATTGGCGAATGTTTCGATTGATCCAATTGCATTTACATTATTTGTCAGCAGGCAATTTATAGCATTGGATATTATTAATTTCTATGAACTCAAAAAGCGAAACTGACGAAGCTTCAAGGTAATTTTATTTGTCATTATTTTGCGATGTTAATTTTTAATTCTAAAATGTTACAATTTTATATTTTATTTACAAAATATATCTCTTATTCTTATTTATTTTTGTTGCGTCATATACGCACTATCACAAAGACAGAATCTAAAGGTTAACCATTACTTGCTATTTTCGCTCTTTGTTTTGTTGAGTAAGTTTTATGCACTTTGTTTCAGGGGGAGGGAAGCATCATCGTCAAATAATAACTCAACCCCAAACATCAGTGCCGAGGAACAATCCCAGCCAGTTTTATGCGTGAATCCAGTATCTGGTAGTACTCAGGACATCATGAAGCGTGCAGCTAAGGAGCTGATTGAGAGATATTTCTATCAGCTACTCGAGGGCTGTGGGAATCCTAACTGTGATAATGAATATTGTGCATCAAGTCAGAAGGTAAACTGAGATCTTTGTTCTTAAGAAATACAAACAAAACATTAAATTTCAGAAATGGTCTGCTATACCTTTTTTATCTGAAATGTTGCAATTTTGTAGATATTGTGTAATGATTTTTTTTAAAACTAATAGCTAACCATACATAACATAAGGAAATTATAAGTTTTAATATAAAATGTGCTTTATATTGACTGTATTTCATAATTTTGAAACAAGTGATATACTGGAGATGGTTTTTTTTTCATAAGATGGTATTTTATTTAAGGCTAAAAAGCTAACAGCCAATGAAGCTGCAGCAGTAGCTATAAAATTAGCAGAGAAAAAGGAGGCTCTTCTTTGTGACAGACATCCAAATAAAGTTCCTCGCACTGATACTAACACCTGTGATTCAAATTCCAGGTAAATATATCTTGTTGGTTGGTTCCATACTATATTGTATGTACGTTTTTATGTCAATACTATAGTAAGTTAAGTCCATATACATACATTTTGGTGTAACTAGGCAAAGTTGTATTGTAAAGTTAATTCTGCTAAGCTTTATGGTCATTTTACAATTACTACTACATAAATCTCCAACTTTTAAATTTATAATACACCAGGTGGAATCACCATCTTACTAATATCATAAATAGTAATGTTTGCATGGGTGGATGGATGGATGTTTGTTAGAAAGTATCTCCAGAACAGCTGGATTATCTCTCTGAAATTTGCCATGGACATAGAAAGGCCTGGAAGAGCACATTGAGAACAAATTTTTCATTTTTTTTAATTCTGTGTGGACAGAGTCACCGGCAATAGCTTGCATTATTAAATTATTTTTTCGTAAAATGTTTAGTAACTAAATGAAATTCTAATTTGGTCATATATCACACAAGATCTTATTAACATATGGTTTTTCTAATTCAGCACATGTGAAACATCAAATAAAAAAGTTAAAAAAACCAGCAGTAACCAAAAGACAGAGTTGTCAGAGAATAAAGAGCAAGAAGACAGTCAAGGTAAAGAAATGGCAAATGAATCTAGTCCAATAATAACAAAACAAACTGAATGTAAACATAATAAATCAACTAGTAAGTGTTTTGACTTACTTATCAATTGTTTATTGACACATTCAATGCCACTATCACATATTAAGATGAACTTACAGGCCAAGTTGGTGGCAGTGAAGGTGTTAAGTAATAGTAAACTTGATTGTGATTTATAAATAGCATACACAATAATAGCATATACAGGATAAAAGTTTGATTTTTGTCATAAGGGAAATTGTAATTTCTCAACATCACATTATTTGCTTTTTTATAATTTCTTTCACAAATATGTTCTGCTTTTTTCTAAAGACTTACCCAGTCTTTAGAACAAGCTTAACTAGAGGGTAAATCATTCTGTTGTCCGGTTAGTCTACCAGCTAAGGTTCAAGTCCGAACCTTAGTGTTTTAAATATTATTATTAGATAGTGGGCCTTTAACGGAGGAGAGAATGCGTGAGCTATGTGACGAGTGCCTGCAGAGCCAGTCGGCGCAGAAGTTGTCATGGGCATTGGGTTCAGCATTCCGGCAACCACATGTACTGGCTCTATCATTTCGACGTCAAATCAATGAAAATGAACCAAAACCTGAAAGTGATGTTAAAAAGGGTATGTGATAAAAAAATACAGAAAGATTTTTGCATAGTAGTGTAACAAATTTTATAAAGAAATTTATACTTTTTTAGATAAAGAATCCAAAGCAATGTGCTCATCAAGTGATCCAGATAAAGACATAGACAGTGTGACGGGTCCAGAGTTTGATGCAGCCTCATGTCATAGAGCATTCCTGTACCTTGCTAAAGTAAGTTTAACCAACGTAAGACGTTCTTGCGACGAAAGAAAACATTTTGATGCAACCTGCACATATCTGCAGAAATATATAAAGATATATGTCAAGTCAACCCACACTGGGCGAGTGTTAACTTGGATCTAGTCGCCCTTAACTTCAGATAGGTTTCGTGCTCCTCAGCGGAGAAGTATAGTGATCTGATGATGATGATGAAACATGTATATTTCAGGTACCGTCAAAGCATTACAGTTCAGTGTTAGTCTCGGCACTGGAAACATTAGCCTTAAATCTGAAGATAGATTTGGAGATCAGTAAGAAGATTTCTATGGAGGATGTGGTGAACTGCTTTGTGATTGCTTTTGAAATACCAGATATTGGATGTAGCGACTACCTGGAGGTCGCCCTGCCAACATTATGTCATGCTGTTGAATATTTGCCGCTTAAAGGTAGAATTTTATTATTTTTATTACAAGGTTTTTTAATAGGATTTTTTTTTTCATACCTAAGGTGATGGATTAGTTATATTTAAAATATATAAGATGTTATATACTTAACCATTTGATTCTATCATACATTTCATTATACATTAGAGCCATGAGGGGTTTTAACATCAACACTGCTGAACATCTACTCATTATTTCAGCACAAGCTCGCCTCGCACGTCTCTGGTCTGCGTACTGCAAGGAAAGCCTGCGCCACATCCTGGAGGCGCTACAGCAGCTCATCACCCTGAGAGTGGTGTCCACTAACTACTCCAGGATATATCAAGTGCAGGATGATGAATGTGTTACTAAAGCCACGAAGCTCATGAAGGTGAGAAATTTTAATTAATTTACAAATAAATATTGAAACTGACAGAGGCAACTCTAAAATTATTTGCATAATGTTGATTTTTTTGATCGTAGTGACGTATTTGTTTGGGACAGGGTTATTTGTGCTTAGTGGCAAAAAAGTCTTGAGGATTTTAACTTCTTTTTAAACGAGAACATTTTTTAATTTGAAATAATTCAAATTTAATTCTAGAATTGTGCAAAGATTTGGTTAAAGTCGTTAGATCGATAATACATACCCTGAACTATTAAGCTATTTGTAAGTTACTAACATGATGTGGATTTCTATTGTAAGAACAAATTTAGGTATTAGGGGCAGTGGGGCATTTGAAAGATGTATAACATTTTTACAGATAGTGTACTACGCAAACATGTTGGCTGGCGAGGTGGAGCAGAACCCCCAGGCGGAGGAGGCCGTGGTGATCGCCAGCCAGCTGGACCCCCTGGGTGATGCGCTGCATGACCTGCTACCGCTCTCCTCTATGAAGACCTCCAAACAGTCACTGCCCGAGGATCCACTTGGTAAATGAACAAATCTATTAAATAATAAATCGATTGACTGAACTTCCTACAACATACAACTTACAATTCTAACAGGAGGAAATATAATTAGAATGACACTTCTCTCATTGAAATTGATTTAGCTGTTTAGGCACAAATTACTGGGAACTTTACTAAATAATTTCGATTTTGTATGAAACACTTGTATATTAAATTAAAAAATAAAAAATTGCTCCCCTACATAAAATTTAAAATTCATTTTAATTCTTGCCTTGTAAAGTTCTGAAACATTTGTCTTTATATTCCAAACCGATTAACTTAAATATAGAAACTTGAACGGAGTTCAACTCTATAAAACCTTTTTATTATTTTAGCGGTTGAACTGAAGATAAACTCGTTGGATGTAAGAAAGCCGTACCTGCCGTTCGAGGAATTCTACAACGAGCCTCTCAGCGACAGCATTGAAATGGATATTGATTTCGCCAGCTATAAAACTGATGTTAATAGTGGTGAGTTACATTTTAAACTGAATCTATACAATTGAGGCAATAAGCAAATCATATTCTAAAATTATGAAACGAATGTTAGGATTAGGTTATATATTATATTAATTGGATTACCCAAAAAAAATATTGTTTTAACCCTTTGAACGCCGGTGAAGGATATTATGGATGTCAAAGTGGTTATGTGTTTCACCACATTACTTTCCGTATAAGCATTTTATTATTTATTGGTCAAGAACTAATTTCTCAAACCTACGCATCATAATGTTTTCAATAGCCATGATTTGTCATAAGTCCGCATCGGATGTTATCGTCAAGGTATCAAAAGCTTGATGTATGCTTAACTTAAAATGTATTTGAAACATCTAACATATTTGATATATTTAATTCTAAGACCGTAATTGTTTTTATATTTTTTTTTTCCTCAGCAACAAAGTTCGCGTTTTTAAACTACCCGTTCATATTGACTGCGGCGACGAAGTCCCTCGGACTGTACTACGAGAACCGCATTCGCATGTACTCGGAGCGTCGCGTGTCGCTGCTGCACGCGGTGGTGGGGGCCGCGCCGCCCATGCCCTTCCTACGTCTGCGCGTGCGCCGCTCACACATCATTGCGGACGCGCTCGTTGAGGTACGCGCTCACACGTATACGTGCACGAACACCTCTCTTAGGATTATATGGTAATACAGTCGATACTGGATAAGAGAGTCAGAGGGACCGCGTTATTTTTCTTGCTTATTGATCGTCCGGTCTCCCTTATCCTGGTGCGTACACTTATAGGTTTCTGAATAGCATTTCATTTTAGCAACTATTGAAGAAAATAATAATTGTAGTTATGATTTATTCACTGGTGAATTTACTGGTGAAATAAAGTCGTGGTAAATTTTCTTCCAGTTGGAAATGATAGCGATGGAGCGAGCGTTGGACCTGAAGAAGCAGCTGATGGTGGAGTTCGAAGGCGAGCAGGGGGTTGACGAAGGAGGTGTCAGCAAGGAGTTCTTCCAGCTCATCGTCGAGGAGATATTCAACCCCGACTACGGCATGTTCACGCAACAACCGGATTCGCATACCGTCTGGTCCGTATAAAAATAAATAGACTATTTAATATGCGTAGTCGCTAAAACAGTTTCATACTAGAATAAAAATTGGTCATGAATAACGCGATTTATTAAATTGTATATTCACTTTTTCTATATTTCTTAATTACATAATAATAATTTCCAGGTTCAACCCGACATCGTTTGAAACAGAGGCGCAGTTCACGCTGATCGGCATCGTCCTGGGATTGGCGATATACAATAATATCATCCTGGCGGTCAACTTCCCCATGGTGGTGTACCGCAAGCTCATGGGCAGGAAGGGCGCTTTTGAAGACCTGGCCGACTGGAATCCTGTCAGTACTGTATAATTTGTTAAATAGATTTACCATTTATGACTTTACTATTTTTGTAAAATAAATAGTTTTGATTTATAGGATAAATTGACTGGGTTTTGACCGCGGTGACATCTTGTATTTACACACATTATCGCTGCTCATGTTATCGTTAAAAAACAAAGAGTATATGTGTGATATAGACAGCGATATGTGTGACAGAGTTAAAAAAGACAGTAAAAACCCATAGTAAAAGTTAACTTTGTAAGATTACAATTATTCTATACTAGTTGTCGCCTGCGACTCTGTTTGCGAGGAATTCTATATCTATGCCAAATTTAAGCAAGATCCATGCAGCCGTTCTGCAGATACGTTTTAACAAATACCAATCCATCCATCCATACATTTGCATATAATATTAGTAATATTTTATAATATCATCATTATTGATGATAAGTATATTTATCTGTTTCAGAGTTTGTATAACGGTTTAAAAGATATGTTAGATTATAGCGGCGATGATTTAGAGGAAGTGTACTACCAGACATTTAGGATATGCTACAAGGATGTGTTCGGCAACAATTTATTCCACGATCTCAAGGAGGAAGGGGACAGCTTGTTTGTTACGCAAGCCAATAAAAGGGTACGCTGTTTGTTTCATTTAACTTTCATTACATTTCTTTTATTCCACACTAATATCGACACATGCTATGCTGTCTCTACTTTTTCAAAGAGAATGTTAGAGATGTCATGTGTCGCTGTGGTTGACATAAATTTTTAATTTATAATCAAACAAGGATAGCTAAACCTGTCAGAGGCACTACTATCGCGGTTGATTCTGTCAGAATAGATATAAAACCTACTTAAACAGAAAATTAAATAAAAGATAAAAGTGACATGACAGGGGGCGCAAGCTACGTTTTCATAATTTAGTTTGATTTATGCTCACTGACTTAAAATAGATTCAAGAATTAATTTAAATGTATTTTTATTGCAGGAGTTTGTGGATTTGTACGCGGATTTTCTACTGAACAAGTCTGTGGAGACGCAGTTCCGCGCGTTCCGGCGCGGCTTCGTCATGGTGACGGACGAGAGCCCGCTCAGCGCGCTCTTCCGACCTGAAGAGATTGAGACCCTCGTCTGCGGCAGCAAGGTCAACACACTATAACTGACCCTACATACATATACACTACCCTTACTTAAATTATGTATTGGATTATACCAGGAATTGTAAAGGAGTTGAGGAGGGACTCTCTCTCTTTCTCTCTTTCTCTCTCTGTCTCTCTCTGATGCATTTTTGGATTTAAAGCATAAATTATAACTATCCATTTTAAACAATTAATTATTACGCTCTCAGAACGTGACTTTCTAATGTTATTATCATTTTATAGAATTTCGATTTCAACGAGCTGGAGAAGTCGACGGAGTACGACGGCGGGTACACTGCGGATTCACGTATAATAAAAGACTTCTGGTGCATTGTTCACAACCTGTGCATCGTAGAAAAGCGAAAGCTGCTGCAGTTCACGACGGGCTCGGACCGCGTCCCAGTCGGAGGGCTCAGCTATCTCAAGCTGGTGATAGCGCGCAACGGCCCTGACTCTGACCGCCTGCCCACCGCACACACCTGCTTCAATGTGCTGCTGCTGCCAGAGTACGACTCCCGGGACAAGCTGCGCGACCGTCTCATGAAAGCCATCTCATACTCCAAAGGCTTCGGCATGTTGTAGGCTCCACTCCATCATACATTACACCCATCCGGTGGTATACACCCGGTGGTACACACCCGGTAGTATACACCTGGTAATATTCTCTCATTGTCAACGCGTAAACATCGCGCGGAGGCTGCCGAGTGAATGTAAGAAATAATAACTTTAAAGGTCATTCCACATTAGAACTACTCGACGCCGAGTAGCCTGGTGTCGAGTTCGTCAAATGTGTGATGACCTTTAATCAATTAAGTCCTACCCATCGATGGCTCTGTAACGTGAATAATAAACGTTTGTTGTATTTATACGAATATTGTTGGTTTATTTTTACGTATAGGTTGTTAAATGCCATTTAACTTGAAGATTTGTGAAAAATCAAAAATTTGGATATTTGTTCAAGCTTGAAAATCTATGAAGATAAAATTTTATAATTTCATGTGAACTTGCTGTCAACTGTCACTGTATTTGGCTTGCATGCGTCATATGAATTTTAAGATTTATACGCGGGTAGGTGAGAAATAAAAATCAGTCTTGTTTTGTAATATATTACTTTTAAAATTTGCTTAATAGGTAAAATATTTTATATAAAAATATAAGTGTTAGTAATAAAACTTTTGTGACTGCGCAATATAGAAATTGTTAGATATAAGTTTTTCTTCAAACTACCCTACATTCAAATGGTCGAGTCTACAATGACAACTTAGTCACAATCAATTTGTTCATTAAAGTTTGCGAAATATTCCTAAATAATTTATATTAATTATTAATACTAATATTAACCTACATTATATTCTGTATAACGGAATACGAGTCTTGATAATTTGTTGAAAGAAATCATAAAAATAAGCCTAATGTTTAATTAATTTCATATTACATTAATATAAGTGCCCAATAAAATTAGTTAATTACATTATTTACGTTACGTTAAGCTCAATTTATAAGAAATATTTCAATATGAATGTTACTATCGTCATAGCTTCACACAATGTATTAGGTAATTCTTGCCATACAATACAATGAAAAAAAAAATAAATTGTTCAAATGTATAAAATAAACAACATAATAAAAATAGTTTATTCTAAAATATATAAATCTAAAAATTAGATAAATGGATTGAGATGTCCTAAGAAAATATTGTTTGCTTATATCGAAATGCATTTGCTTGTTACAACGGCAATATTACAAATTAATTTAACAGATATAAGAATCCATTTTATAATGTATTTTGTACTATATTGTAAGAAGTTCAGTCTTTGTATAGTATTAGGGTGTAATGCTTTGGTAAGTCTCTTCTCGTCTATAAGCATGTTGCCGTCTCTTTCATTCTCATTGAAAAGAGGGATAGCAATATGTTATACGGTTATTAGGATGCGATAAGTTTCCGCTTGACGGTGTTGAGGCGGAGGTCGTGCACGGCGAGGGGGAAGGGTTGCCGGCAGGGCGGGGACTCCGTCTGCAGCAGCGGCAGGTTGGCGGAGGCGCGACGCAGACGATTCTTTGGCCTGCGAGGTATTTCATAATTCTTAATACGCGTTTTATATTTAAAATATTGATAAATTATGTGGAAGCAAAACCAGCGTTCAATAATATTTTATTGAAAACTTTCCTTTTTATGCTTCCGCTTTGACAGCGGAAATTTGCAATGAATTGTTCTGAACATATTTGTAAAGAAACTTACGTTTAAGAAGATACTTTTTTTCGTTTTGCTTCTACCAGTCTTAAGGAATAGATCATTGATCAATTGTAATAAAAATGATGTTTTAATTAATGTGGAAAATGTCGATAATAATTGAACTGCAAATTATTGAAATATATGTTTGCGATTTGTAAATATCGCTTGCATCTTTATTTCTACTCCTTATATCGTTTATTTGTTTGGTACTGATCTAATAAACTGTTCGTACCTGTGTCTGGCATCGCACGAGCATGCTGTATCTGTGTATATAGCGGCTGCGGCGATGCGACGCGCGTGACGCGAGCACACGCGCGCCACCTCGCCCGCGTCGTGCGCGTCGTGCGCGTCGTGCATTGGCTGCGCTGCGGGCGCGGAGCAACGTCGCCGCGCGCGCACCAGGGACGCATACGTCGGCGCCGCTACCCGCTCCACCTGACGCCCGAAAACTGATTTCATGTTATACTACCGTTACCGACCCAAACGACCATATATGTTCGTTAAAAATATTTCCAAATTAACCCAAATTATTAAGGTGATACACGCCAAAAAGTGTTTATATTCGGTCGCATAGCAGGAAAATTCAGCTCGATCATGTAGTTTACCACGACCTCTCAAGAGACCGATTTGATAGGCATTGTTCTAAGAAAGAGTTTACCTCGAAGCCGGCCTGCTTGCGGTGGCGGCGGCGCGGGGGCGCAGCGGGCGTCTCCACACGCTTGCGCCGCGTGGCTTCCGACGACCCGCCGAACAGACCGCGCTCTTCCGCCACGCGGATCATGTATTTCGCGTCGAGGCGGGTTATTTCCTATTTTAAACGAATTAGCACCGGGATTCGTAAGCTATATCAATATGCAACAAGTTAACATCATCACGTTATATAATGCAAAAAAAAATACCTTTCTTTGAATGAGACCGAGGTAGCAGCCATCTCTATCTAGAATATAGTTGATGTCCAATCCGTTCCCTAATCCTGGTAATGTCTGAATTTCAAATAAGTCACAGTCTGGCACCTGCGAGTATTAAGAACGTCTCTCTTAGCGCTTAATATTTTCATTTGACAAAAGCAAAATTTATCTTATGCTTGGAAAAATATAAAAATTAAATAAATCGATCGTTTGGAATACTTACGTAAACATCAGGACTATCTTTATCAGGATCCCTCGGTACGATATAGTCAGAGGTATTGTCTTCTGGTATGGGCCTGGCGTTAGTTGTCCCCGGTCTCATGGGAGGCGAGTTATCCGTTTGCTTTGTTAAAATGTTTGGTGCACCTGCAGAACCCGCTTGTTTTTGTTCCTTATCTAAATCATCACTTGAATAACCTTCTTCATAATCATTCTTATTGAAATCCGATTGCATCGGATCTATAGATTCAGAAGAATCTGTCGTTGATAATTCTATTCCTTCCTTTGGCTTTTTTACCTGGAAAATTACAACGAGTAATGCAAAATCATCCGATTACCTTCGGACATGATATATATTATAAATGTATGAAGTTAAAACCGTGTTACTAACAACGTGGTCCTTGTGCTTCTTGCGGAGTAGGGCGTGCCGCTCGCGCGCCAGCCGGTTGGCCTCCGCGACGGCTCGCGTCACCTGCGCCTGGTTCTCTGCCTCCAGAGCTGAGTGTGTCTCGTACAGGATCAGCTGGATCTAAAAATGTCAAAATGTTTCATCTGTCATTCGTCCACTGCATGCGATGTTATGTTATGGAATGTAAAGGTATCCATCTTTTGCAAGCCTTAAAAACGTCTATTACCTGTGGTTTTGACATAAGAGTTTTTAATGTTTTCTTCTGTTCTTCCAGTATTGATTGTACTCGTGCTTTGCCCTTTACGTCCATTTGAGATTCTGTGAGGATCTAAAAGAAACATGATTTATCTATTCAATGAAAATATTTTTTTTTTACTTAAACTAAACTTTTTACTTGAACTTAGATTCGGTAATATTACCTCGAGCATAGCGAGATCCCCTCCGCGACCGCACACCAAGTCGATGGGGTCAGTGACGGCGGAGTAGGAGTTGGGTGGCGTGGCGAGCGCGGCGACGGCTCCATCAAGCGCGCTGGCCACGGCCGGGGACTCGCCGTGCACGGGCTCGCTCAGCACGTACACCGGCGCGCCCGACTGGGGTGCCTCCGACGCCTCGATACCCAGTTCCCGTAGTGAGCTTACGTAGCTACCCACTCTGAAGTGGATTTTATTTAGTAAAACGACTGTGAAAGTACCAAGTCACATCATCACACCACGGACGTAATGTGCAAGCATTTATTAAAATAATTCTGTAGAAAAGCATCACCATATCCGTTCTTGTTTAGCTCTCTATCATTGTAGCTATCGATTTATTATAAATAAAGTTTTGATCTGCACTAACTTGTCGCCCGCCCCAAAGACGACAAGTTTTCCGAGATGTGGTGTTGCGGGTGCGGGCGGCGTGCCGGCCTGCAGCGCGGCCGCCAGCTCGCGTAGCTGCGCCGCTAGGTACGCGGAGCACCGAGGCGAGCACGCGTGCGTCTGTACCACCACGCCTCGGAGAGCGTTCGCACGGAGCGCGCGGCATAGCGTTGATGCACCCTCGCAAAACTCACGCTCCTAAATATATACAATTGCTTTCATTGTGACGGCTTGGTTCGATTTTAAATGTAGCTGAGGTCATAAAATACATTTCTGCTTGCTTTGAGGAAGCAATTCGAGCAATGGTAGCTCAGAGTTCCGTAAACTTAATGTATAAACTGATTACCTGTAGTACGATGATGCCACTTTTAACAAGATCCAGTTGTCCAATGCTTACGTTATCAGGCGGTCGTAGTGTGATAAATCTGTAATATTGATAAATAAAATACAATTTATCAGATTCTCATCGTTTTAATGGTTAAGAGGATGTACAGAGTACAGTCTGTCGTTTATTTGATATACCTGGGACAAACACGATCGAATCTGTACTCTCCGGCGCACAGCTGTCGCGAGCTGCTATACGAGTACCCCAGCTCGTGCAGTCGCTTCACAAGCAATGGAACTTTCCTGAAACAAGGCAACAGGCTGGCACACAGGAACACTTCCTTCACTTTTTCTCCACAAAAACATGGTACCTACATGTTTAGTTTTAGTATGTTACCAATGTGGCCGTAAGATTTGGTCAGCGATGATTCCTACTAAGAATGCTAGTAGAATTTGCGTTATAAATGATCTCACTTGGCTTTGAACGTGTTGACCCAGCCGGTCACTGTGTTCTTGTTGACGCAGGCTGACACGCACTCCTCGCGCAAGTGCGGCGGCAGCAGGTCCGTCAGTCTAAATCGATACATATGATAAACATTCTTATATTACTAAACTAACCTTCCGTATATTATTTTGGTTAGATAAGAATCAGAAAGATTCAGCGATCCTAAAAATAAGTTTCATTACGTGTACGCTTTGTTCTTGATTCGTATCCTTGCTATGGCGGCTGCAAAATGCACCCTCTGATCCCAGACGGCGTGCTCGATGTCTTGGAAAGGGGCGCCGGCGTCGCGCAGCAGCGCGGTCGTGCGTGCCAGGTCGTCGCGACCACGCGCGCGCCACTTGCGTCGTGCTAACTCCATTAGAAAGAGCCAGGTAACGTGCTGGTGCTCACAAAACTAGAAAACATTTTTTTTTTAATACTTCTATAAAATTTTATGTATACCCAATTAAAATAAAGAAGAAAGTAACAAGAAACGTGATACAAAAGATTTCAGTTACTTTCGCTTAAAACGGCCACAAAAAATATAATTTACATTTTCGTGAGCTTCCTCGGCATATCGAAAAGAAATGCCCTCGGTCACGAGACGCCTATAATGCGAATATGATAAGTTCGATTCCCCGACGGTACATGTCGAACCTGCCCTAACCGAGACTAACGACTGTCCGACCTTGGCAGAAAAAACACGAAGGCTAAGCAAGATTTATAGCATCCATTACTTTGGTACATTTTATCTTATTAATATAATCCGAATAATTCTTTATACTACGCAGTAGCAAATGTGCTTATAATTTTCTAGTCAGGACAATAAAACACTTTATTGTTACGACTTACCTGCGGATAGTCTCCAAAGAAATCGATATCCTCAATCGCTTGATCCAAAATGGACTTATCTGTAAAGGAAGATGTGTGAGTGTGAAAATCGAAATACAATATTTTAATGGCTCCTTTTTACACAACCCATGGAATGTGTTACGGGAACGTAGTAGATATTGTTATGGTTTATTCCCCACATATGTTTCGCATGACCTCACTTGTACCAAGCGATTGCTCTAAATCGCGTGCTACAAAATATTCTTTCCATAAACCCAAGGGCTGAACAATAAAAGTGTCATAAACAACATAAAATAGGTGGAGGTTTTATGGACGTTTTTAGTCCTTCATATCTGCGATCACATGATATGATGCTATAGCATATGTAATGAATACCAATGTTCATAAAATATTGTCTTAAACGGTTTTTCTACTATAATATCAAACGAGAAAACTAAGAAAGAGTGGATGATGAAACACAAACTATTTCTTGGAAGTAAAAAGACTTGTGAAGTTTTTCAACTAGTCGCATTTTATTATAGCATTCTTGTTTCGTGTGATAGAATGTGATAACAATTTCAATATAACAAGCGTGAGGCTCGCACCCCACACTCCTGGTTGCGAGGCGTGAGGCGTGAGGCAATACAAGCACGCCATCGCTTATCGCACGACACCGTGTTCTGATAAACTTAAATAACTCCCAACGCCCCTAAAGTAGTTCATAGCGCTCTGTGGTGTATTTTACAGCTGTTATACCTTTGTATAGCAACCACACGTTTACAAATTTAAATTGTCAACTTGTACTTTTTATTCAATTTTACTGGTCTGTAAAAAGTCTGGATTGACGATATATGTCTCATGGTCTTAATTACTATCCCATGTAGTTTATTGCATATTCCTGTTAATAGTTGTCATTTAAATATTTCATGATATAATCATTGCTAAGAGTCGTGACCATGTCCATAAAATAACTTGTTTGGTCGCAGATTTATAAACATATTCCTATTATTTTCTACCCAAAATTATGGAAACCCTGTCATTTAACGTGTTAGCTAAAGCGATTCGTGTCACCTTATGTTAAATGCCTGCAGAGGTTTCGGCAATCGTTTGTATTTCGTATTATAACTTGACTTTACAACACTAACTATGAAGGAATAGTATTTATAATGGGCAATAAAATGCGAAATTATGGTAAAACGTAGAATAAACTATAACTAGAGGGTACTATTTCTTTAATTGTGCGTATTTATGTCTTATATAATGAAACTAGTACCCTCTGCCAATATCACCCATAGAGCGTAATATATTAGTAGAATTATCGCATCTAAAATACTTACATCGGAAAACATCATAGATAAGAGAATATACGCATCGCATTTCTTGTTCATCGGTGAACTCGACATTCCTTGGAGGCTTGCAAAGCAAGCGGGCTGCTTTTAGAACCTGAAATAGATATTTCAACTTAGAAAATCTAGATTTATCGTTTAGTTTTTGTCATTTATGAAAGTGACATCACACTAGATTTAGTGGATTTGAAGTGTTGTTATGGCTTAGAGTCCACGCGTTGATGACGTGTCTGCGCCGCATAACGGCTTCACCTGGACCTGGAGGTCATGGTGAGGAGGCTGACCCACAGTTATTCAAATACATTCACCTGTCCTATGTCCCAGGCGGGTCCGGGAGTGGTTTTAACATTAACGGGCGGAGGCGCGTTCGGACTTTTTGCGCACAGCTCCAGGTTCCATGGTGCCCACTCTTCTGATATGTTCTCGGAATCCTGTTTGATGGTTTTATTGACATCATCCTCCCTATGAAAACAATCCGATTATATTGATAAGTTCATTTTACATAATTTGGAGTAGTCCGATAATTATTGCCAACATTTTATTAAGCTTTTTAAAACCTGCTTAATCTCTCCACAAAGCAGGGCAATGACAAGCGACGGAAGAAACATTTGTATCTTTAGTGATAATTTTCTTAACTGAATCAAAATGAAAAAAGTCTGATGACCTCATAGATGAAGGATACCTATAGCTTGTTTTAAATTCTGGAAAAAGTAAAAATCTTACTGTGACGGTGATCGGTTACTGTGTACAGTCATTTCTATTGATTATTTATAATCCATTTAAGCTCCGTTCTGTACAGATGCAATTATTCTAAAAGTACCCATGACAGATTCGTTGTATAATCAGCGTCTAGATTTTTATTCCCTTTAATTATCCATTAAAATTGTATGGAAATGTAATAAATGGAGAATAAATAAATTTAAAAACGTAACAATTCAATATACACTTGTCATAAAATTTTGATTTGTCTGACTTTTGTTTTGTATCCATGACGCTTGGTTATTTTTCCTCGAAATAAAACAAAAAAGTTTACTTAAGTTGGGTTTGTATTTAAAATATCTGCATCCCACTGATTTTACGTAGGGTAGTCAGAATTAATAACTCTTAGATTCCTTCGATATATTTTGATAGTAATATAATGTACGAGACATGTTTTATCAAAGTTATTGCTGCATGAAACCTATAAATACATATGGGGAATGTATTGTGTGGGTCACGGTCATTCCACAATTAGCATTTCTGTATGTATAAAAATCGATATACCATATTCTAGTCATGTATGCTTGAGGTTTTTAATTGAAATATTGCATTTTAATGAACACCGTTACGTAGCGGTTTATAAAATATAAGTTGCAGTGATGTGTTGGTTCGAGCTCATGTAGCTAAACATGCCTTTCAGTTTGCAGAGATTTCTGCATGTCGACAAGCATGAAGTACTGCTGCAGTCGCCATTCCCTGTCGCTGGGCAGGACAAGACGCTCCGCCTCACTGGTGTCGCCCTCCTGCCGCGCAGCATCCTCCTGACTGAACAATTCAGCAAGTAACTTCGGATATTCGCTGAATATGTTTCCGTCACTGTACTCACTGAGTGCCAACCATAACGCGTTAGGGTCATATTTGCTCGGCATTTATATAGACGTATTTCAATTTGGCTTAAGATCTTTTTTTTAATGCCCGTAAGTTTACCGATTTGTATGGTGTAGCTATTTGCTCGAGTGCCTGCCGTCTACTGAGCGCTCTCTTGGCGTAGTATGGAATAATAACTACCTGTTGCGATCGCATCGCGTTCAAAATGTTCGTGTATTCTAGACTGTTTTGAACTTGAAGACTCTCTGGAAACTGGTGCACGTGGGCTAAAAGAATATAGAATATATACTTAAAGAATATAACTTAATACGTAATTTGTTCACGACCTTTTATATTATAGTTTTAGACATTAATATATATTTTTTTATTAACTTGTTAAAATCAAAAACCAAAATTGATATTTATGAACATTTTAGTGGCATGCTAAAATCTCCTTGCTGCTCCTTTGTTTTAAAAATAAAAAATAAGAATTATTTATGGTAGGTAAGTAAAGTCATCTTTTGAGACCAACCAGCATAATGTCAATTTGATTGAAAGCTAGGGCTCCGTTGTCCAAGGTTTGTCATCCAAACTAACAAGACAATAGAACAGGGAAGATGTACATATAAATATAATTTAGATTCATATAGAACATACCAACATGGAGGAAGCCCCGGCCATTGCAGACAGTTTTGAAGAACGTCGTAAGATTTTTAAAGACATTTGGGATAGCAGTGATACTAATGATCCCGAAGATCAGAAGCCAAAAGTTATCAAGTACTATTTTTCCACCTATATATAACATGATTATTTACTAAGTAGTTAATACATGACTTATACATAGATAACATACAATATATATATACACGTAACCAAAAGCGAAAAGCCTAGAGTTCCTAAGTTTCTGAACTCCTCAAATAATTGAATGATCTTGCTGTTCTCGTATCCTTTTTAATAAGTATTATACAAAGCAAAAGCATACCTTTTCTTATGTGCATTTTAAATTTACTATATTCTAATCGTTTTAGAACTGCTAGATTGAGCAATGACGTTATTGCAATCAGAAAGAAGCGCGTAAAGAAATTGAAGAGCGTGTGTAAAAAAGTGTTAGAATTATCTAATCGTAAAAATTATATACAAGAAGAGGTAAGGAATTTATTGCTAAAAATGTTTGACAGTGTAATGTATATGTTTCTGGGTTACTGCCTGTACTGGTCGTGTACAATATCTTGACACTGTGTTCAATGACGTCACTATAACGTAATGCCTACGTCGTGAATAGGGAAATTCCAATCCAACAAGTAATTGCGACTTACCTTATTAATTTAAAAACAGTATTATGACAAACATATTTTTAACCGTTAAACTTTCTTATAAAACTAGGCCTAACTTTAAGTTACTTTTCATTCTAATTTACAAAGTTAAACTATACTTTTTTCTCTATAAGATAACTTTAATCGGGACCAGAAAATCAAAAAAATATAAATCTGCACGTGTAAGACGAAGGAGAAAAACAGTTAAAAAAATAAAAAGTACATCATCCTGTAAATCGTCTTCTAAGAATTTATCGCTGATGAATGATGTAACGAGCGAAGGCAAAAATAATTATGGTGAAACTCTAAAAAATGTTCCAGTCGTTATAGAAAACGAGGACGTTAAAGAAAATATGAAAAAGTTCATAAAACCCGTTAAAGTAGAAGGTAATAATAATAATTACAAATTAAAAGTAAAAAGTTGCTTTATTTATTAGGAAAATTAATTTTCGATTATTTTTAGCCAAAAGACCGAAATCACCAGTGAGATTTCATTTAAAACAACCTGTTCAAGTCCAAAGGGAATTAGCAACTTTGACTACAATAAACTTATGTATGTAAAATAATTTGATTCTAGAAAAATAAAAGCAGTTAACATAAAGAGAAAATATGATTTTATTTCCAAAAATAAGTGAATTTTATATAGTTTCTTTGGGACGTTTCATCTAATAAAAATCACAATTAGGCGTATCAAAAATGGTTTTATGGACAAAAATATTAGATTACAAATCAACAACTAAGCAGTAAATATTGTTCTCTATCGTCCCGTACTCAATTATTACTAGTTTAGTCTAGTACAAATGGGTCCAGATACTTAAAACTTATAAAATATTTAAACTTTTCGAATTGTCCTTATACAGTTATGGACAAAATGACCACGGTGGACTTTGGGACTCGGTGCACAACCATTTCAGCACATCTCAGATTAAGACAACCATGGTGTTAATTACTTTTTTAATGGCAATCTGAATGAAATGTCAATTTCATTTTAATTTTGAACTGAAAGATAGAATTTTGAATCGAGTAAAAATTGATGAGTTTATTCGCTTTATTTCGATAGCCGTTTTTAACTTAACCTTTACATAAACTGTAACAAAGAAATCGGAAATATACCAAACACACCATATAGAAAAATGGTCTACGTTTGATAATAAAGTCGTGAAATATCTTAATTACCAGGCGACAAAAATCGATTTCATGATAAAATTGATAAAACGACAGTATCATTTTGTCTGCTCTATGAATCTGATGACCTGAAGTTTACCCAGTAAAATAAAATGCAGTACAAAGAGTATATAAAATAAGAGACGGGACTCTTGACTAATTAGATACACAAACGGAGAATAAAAATTGTCATTTTCAATGCTAGCAATATTACGAACAAGTCTACGTTGCTACCAACCTAAAAAATCAATCTGTCAGTTTCCTTTTTGACGTTTGAAAGTATTATTCGAGGGAAAACAATTTAGGAAAAATAAAACCATTTCGTTAATTGCAACTTTAATTTAATCTTTTGAATAAATATATAATTTTACATTCTATTCATATTTAAAAGAACTAAATGTTGAACTAGAACTTATGACCTTTTGCTGATTGCTGAAAAATAAATTAACAACACAAATTTATGAAAATAACATAAAAGTAAGTGCAAGACATATGCCAAATTCTACATGGTAAGTGGTAAATATTAAGTAAGTAAGCACATATTATATGTCCAGCAATTACTTGAACAATTTTAACCTTTTAAATTGGCTTGATATTTAGTATAAAATGGTTTGCTCGAAACATGAAAAAGATTCAATAATAAAGATTAACTTAAACATTATTTAGGTTGTGTATAGAATATCTCTCTATTATTGTTTCAAATATTGTACATCAAACTGTAAATTGGTCATGACACGACAAGTTTTTCAAACTAATTTGATTTATGATTCTATCATAGACATTTCACAAAAATGGGCAGGCAATAAAAGTTCCTATCTGTACCTGTAAAAACTAATCATAATTTTTTTACATGGTTTGTGAGTTCCATCATTGTGAATTTATTACAGTTGGGGTATTTTGTTGGTGAACTAAACAATAATGGTATTATTACGGAAGCAATGAGCATTATGTTGCGTTCTTAAAATATGTTCGCTTTAGTCAGAAGATTAAATTAAAGTTGCAATTAACGAAATTGTTTTATTTTTCCTAAATTGTTTTCCCTCGAATAATACTTTCAAACGTCAAAAAAGGAAACTGACAGATAGATTTTTTTAGGTTGGTAGCAACGTAGACTTGTTCATAGTATTGCTAGCATTGAAAATGTCAATTTTTATTCTCCGTTTGTGTATTTAATTAGTCAAGAGTCCCGTCTCTTATTTTATGTACTCTTTGATGCAGTAGAACTAAAACCAAAATTATATCGTATAATGTCTTAAAATTAAAATAAATAAAGCGTTATCGCACTCTTTTGCTAAGATAATATAACAGTATTGTTGCCGCGATAAGTGACTGCTATGTTTATTTAGGGTATAACGATGTAACAGTGGTGTGAAATGTGTTTAAAAAACAGTGTATATTTTATTATTCCCACGCTCAACTGCTGAAAATAACATTGTAGATGTTAATGGAAAATAACGCATAATGTCTGACTACGATCTTCAATTCCAAGCGGATCTGGAAAAGGCTCAGGCTTTAAGTTTAGAAAGTTTGGCTCTTGAACAATTTCGAAGACAGAAACTACTGTCTAATACAGGTAACTGACGTAACTTTGTTTACCCTCTTCTTTATAGTGAAGATTCAAGGTCTTTTAACCGATACTGTTGCTTAAGCTGTTATAAATTTCAGAACTGGACAATAAGATATAACTATAAAAAGTTAAATGTCAGATTATAGTGTGAATATATCGCACACATTTAACATGCTCAATTGGATTCATACATGATAAAATAGCTATCAATCAGAAAGGAAGTAGAGTTCATTTACCCTTGTTTTAGCTTAGCAGAGGGATGAGAGGGTAGAGCTGTTATTTTGTTTGTTGAAATGTATTAACAGACAAAAAATAAATATTCTAAAATAATAAAATTCGGCTGAGGTCTATGATTGGCAGTAGATCTGAACTATAATTTTTAAATTATTAATTATGGAGAAAATCTTTATTTTCAATAATTGTATTTCATACAAGTAAAACATACAAAGAAAATTCAGATACAGTTTTTGTTAAATTATTATAGTTCTTTTCAAATATCTTGGCAGCCAAAAGTCTTTGGGTGCACATCACATTATGCCCGGCTACACCTAAAATTGTGTTCCATGCAACAAGTAGTGCGAAGTTAAGGCCCCAAAGATTATAATTTGTTGAATGAAATGTTTTTCTGAAATAACAATGTATGTTCCTACTTATTAATATTGTCACACATTGGCAAAGGATTAAAGAACTTACTAGATTCAATTCATACTTACAAATTTTCGATCCATAAAATGAATAAAAGTGTTATATTCCTTATAAAAGATCTGTAATGTTTATTTCTCATTAAAAATCTAAATATATAAGACAATCTTTTTATGGTTAACATTTTCGCAAGCTGCTATGCTTGCATTAATTATAAATTTATAATAAACAAACTGTTTGGTTGTAGTTCCACAGATTAAAAATGTACAAGAAATAAAGCTGATTTCATGAAATCATTCATATTTATCATATCAATATCTTTTAATAGATAATGTCCGAGACAATTTTGCAAGCAGTACGCGTCGACGCGACGACAGCGAAGGACCCCCGCCGGCTCTGCCGCCGCCGCCAAGGAAGCCTCCGCGAGGACGATTATCCACATCAGAGACATCTAGGTACAAAAACCATGAAAATATTAACATTACCCAATTAATTTTTAATATCTCTCCCTATCTTGTTGAACTGATATGGGCAGTGAAAATATGGCGTATCATTTTTCATGATAAAAGTTACTTTGTGTCTTACTTCTATATATATATAGTTTCACTTTTACATTAAACCTGTTTGTTGTTGATTTTTATAAAATAAGCAATGATTTAAGTTTTTTATGTGGTCATGTACTTCATAATTTCGTAATACATGAGACGTCGATTATAACAATACAGAATGGTAATATTTGCCAACAAATGAATTTAGACAGTATTGTATTATAAACAATTGCCACCAATGATATGGTTCTGGTTATATCTTATCTATGTATTCCAATAATATATATGATTAATCATTATTTCTGAATGTTTACTATTACATTAGATTGTTATCAAGTGTTTTTTTAGTGACCGCTCTACAGGCACCAGCCCTACTAGAACTGAAAGCAGTGATCTGATATCCTTCACAAGTCCCACCACTAAGACAGCTCCAAAGGACTCCCATGCCTCTCTTAAAGAGTACATCGATCAGATTACCAAGTATGTATAACTAGATGCCGTCTGCAACTCTCTGAGGGGATATAAAAAAACCTTAATATAAAATTAGTATCCTATGTGTTCTTCCAGACTGTGTTCTACATTTATGCCAAATTTCAGGAAGATCCGTGCAGCTGTTCTTCAAACAAACATCCATCCATCCATCTAGACATTCGCATTCATAATATTATATAGTAAGATAGATAGATTTCACTTACTAATTAGGACAGTAATGACAGTTTATTTATATTATTAACAGATTGGGGCAACAGACTGAAGAAATAAATCTTAATGCCCCAGAAACCCCACCTACAATGAATAATCATCCTTACAATCAAATACCAGGGTATCCATACGCGGCACAATATGGGTACAACTATCCACCCCCGTACAACCCTGTGCCCCCGTATCCAGCAGCCGCACCATACGGCATGCCTGCGCCCATGCCTCTAGCACCTAACATACCTGCATATTCATATTATACTCCAATACCTGCTTCACAAGACCCCTTAACTCCTTATGTCCCAACAAACCCACCTTTGTATACACAAACAATACCATATAGCCAAACTAGAATGGCCTCTCCGACCCCATATGTCGGATATCCACCTCCTAATCAACCAACCTATAACTATAACACGACAAACATGATATCCAGACCAACAAGACCAGTTAGTTTATACCCCCAACTCAGTCAAATGCATTCATACCCGCCAATACCTTCCAACCCATCCAATATGGTTCAAAATGTCAGTCAATCGAACACCCAGCATACTGTGAAGACGGAACCATCAAGAGATAGTGCGGAGAGCAATAGCTCGCGTAAATCATCTGAAGTTAGTGTTGGGGTAAGTTGCATCATTGTATATCAGTCTTTCCCAAAGTGGGCGATAACGCCCCCTTGTGGGCGCTGCAGGTCTCAAGTTGCCGGTCATAGTAAAAGTTTCGTTTAGAATTCTCCGTTAATATCCATATATAGGCTACAATAATTAATTAATTTATAATAATTTATTAAATTATAAGTAATTTATAATAAGTTTTAGTGGTTTTTAAATATGTGAAAATATGGGGGCACTAAAAAAATATTTATTCTCGAATTGGGCAGTAGACAAAATAAGTTTGGGAACCACTGTTGTATATGATTTTCTAAGTTTTTTTAGTCTTATAAGTTAAATTGCGATTCAGATTCATTGACTATTTGGAAGACTTTGGTTTCTTAGACCAAATTCCCTGTATAAAATATATCGCCTTCTGTCTCATATTCTTTGATAAAGTAGAGATAGCAATATCTCATAACCAGGGATTTTGCTGTCAGAAACCAACTATAAACTCCGTTGTACGGTAACCACACATAGGCTAATATTTTTTAATGGTATATTAGTCGAACGAGTCAAACGACGTAGTGGGCAGTCTGCCCAAATCCGCGAACCTGATCGACTTTGGTGGGCGGCAGGCAGGTAGCGTAAGAGTCAGTGTGCTAGAGGCCTTCGATCCACTACTAACTGATCACGTACATTCCGGTGAGTGGCTTATGTGTCTCACAAACGCTTACACAAACTGTGATAGTCATTTATACTTTGCAAAAAAAATATCTTTATACTTCAATATCAAGACAGCATTACTTATTTAAGAATTAAAAAAAAATTACCAAGTTGTATTTGTTTATATAGACTTATTCACTGTTGGTATCCGAGACCAAAACATAGTCAAGACAGTGTCATCTTTGTCTTTTATCTTTAACAAAACAGAGATAATTATATCTCTTAAATGGAGATTTTAGTCTCAGAAACTAACAGTAAATAATGGTTATACTTTCTACTAAATTAGACTACAATAAAGGTTACCATCACAGTTTGATTTTATCAGGATTTCTTCTATAAAAGGTACTGTTATGAAAAAGGGAATAAATGTCACGCATGGGATTAAATTAGCACATGGTTTTTTAATAGTGACAATCATTTTGAAGTGTGTGCAATCATTCATTACTTTTTTGGGTTTTTATGTTTTAGAGCTGTCAATAATTTTCATAATTGGGAATCTTTATGGTTGAAAATTGTCTATGGTCTGCAAAATCAAACTATGGTAAAAAAATACAGAAATTAAGGGCTAGTAGTAGACAAAGTCTATCTTAGCTACAGTTTATGTGGAACATTTATTGCCAAAAAACATCTCAAACTCCTTTTTAAAATATGAGGAGGGCTTTTTTGTTACAATTAGTATTTGTGTCATGGGTTTTTGATGGGTCATAATTATCATGTGTGTTTTAATATTGAAATTTGGGGTCAATGTCCTGTGAAATAAAAACCAAGACAATCGTTTAACAAATTGCACAATCCAATCTCAGATACATTTTATTCGTTATATCATGGCATGTTTTGTTAAACAAGCATGTCTAGTAACACGTTTTAAAATAACAAATAACCTTTTGTAATAAATTGATGTTTTCTCAGGAAACATCCTATATAAGGATATAATATATCAATTCATATTTAAATCTTATCTTACTTATATTGTCATAATTATATCCCACTGTACTTGCACACTGTGACAAAGTTTTCATTTACCGGATTGAGTTCTATGCATATTTAACTATGGTGTCTAGTATAGATGCATTTAACTATAGAATACGCAGCGGCAAGTGAATGCAGCAGCGTGTACGAGGAGTATGACCCGCTGGACTTCCTGTATGGAGAGACGGAGATGCGAGACACGCCCGTGTACGCGACCGTGAACAAACGCGACACGCTGCCCTCGCCCCCGCCAAAATCCATACCTACCGTGCCTGCGCTCGCTAAACGACCCACTACGGTGAGTATACCATGTAGTACACATGGTGAGTGTACACTGCTGCACTCACAGTTGTTAATTGCTTTGAGACACTCTTAATTATTTAATTACATTAAGTAACAAAAGTGTACAATAAAAGTTTAGGCAACTATTCAACTTTTACACTATTAAGATGAGACTTTAGTATCCAATTCATGATTATAAATTATTTACCAGATGTTTAAAATGATAATTTTGTTGCAGAATAAACTTTACGATTGCATCGTGAAGATTAGAAATAAAAATTACGACAGTGAACATAAGGCGTTTTTAAAATTAGTACTCGATGTTAGAAGTGAGTATTCTGTTATGAAACATGAAGGTTCATGATGAGAAAAATGTTAAGACAGTGTTTTTAAATACGTGATTGTATTTCAGAAAAGTTTGTGTACTCTGACGAGCGCACGAACCCGGGACACGTGATCGCAGCGCGCTCTGGTGGCCGCTACCCGCCCAACACCAGTATTAAGATCCTAGTACATCATGCTCACTCCGATGAACCTATCATTTTTACTTCCGACGGTAATTACTTATTATAACATCTTTTATTTTATATTTAGAAAATGCTCATTTGTATTGCGGCGATAAGTCGCAACTCCAGATCGAATTTTGTATTTATTTTATGGTTTTTTAAATATTTTGTACTTTTTCAGTTGAATCGACCGTAGAACATGTGATCCTGACCGTAGTGTGCTCCCTTGATGATGATATTAGAGCAGATATGTCTGGATACATGCTGAGAGTAAGTTACAATTTTACTTTTCGTACTAGAAGATTAATCAACATATCCGACCTGTAATTGTGTGTTTAAAACGTATTTTTTTTAAAAACCTTTCAGACCTTAGATACCACATTGAATTGAACTAAAAATTATATCGCTTAACCTTATGAGTTGGCTGTCGCCCGTGACTCCGTCCGCGTGGAATTAAAAAAACTGAATAACTAGCTTATGTGTTTTTCCAGACTATGTTCTTTATCTGCCTTGACTTGCTTAAATTTCAGCCAGATCCGTTCAGCCGTTCCTGAGATACCTTCAACCGAACTCCATCCATCCATCTAAACATACGCATTAATAATATTAGTAAGATAAGCGTGAATATTATTTGCTATTTGTTTTGTAGGTATGGGGTGCCAAAGAATATCTAACAGCGGGCAGTTCTCTGAGCGAGTACGACTACATCCGCGAGTGCGTGCGTCTGGAGAAGGACGTGCGTCTGTTCCTGCACGAGGGCGGTGACTGCGCACTGGGCCGCGCTGACCGGGACGACGCGCGACACGCCCACCTCACGCTCGACGACCTCATGCCTGACCTGACCACGCTCAGCTTCGACAACCTCTCTATACTGCTCGGTCAGTCAACTATAAAGGGATTTACCAAGTTGTGAAACACATGCCAAATGTGATCAAATTAAAACCATGATTGTGTTCCTTTCAGAGACACTGGAAGGTGAATTATCTCGTGCAGTTGGTGTGGTGGGCGCTGAAGGCAGTTGCTCTCCAAAGGCGGTGTTCCAGGCGGTGAAAGCTATCTGCGCGCTCGCCGGTGGTGTCGAGACTTTGCACGTTACGTACACACTCAACGCCTTCGCGCAGGCCTGCACCGCACAGGTATCTACTACGTGATATTAACAAGTACAATCGCGACAAATACTGGCTGAATACTGGCTTATCTTTACATAGAAACGGTATTACAGTCGAAGCAAGAAACTTCTATAAGCCAGAGTCATGGTCTGGACTTGACATACGACCGCCATAAGCAAGAAACTCGGGTTAGAGATAACTCTAGAAGCGACAAAATATACTCTGACTTATCCAGTTTCCACTATACTAATACTAAAGTAATAATTTAGTAATTAATGTGATGTGTTATTCCAGGGCAACGGCAACGCAGTGACTCCAGAGATTCAATCAGAGAATGGTCCCTACTGCCAGGTGTCGGTGCGCGCTGCGACAACTCGCGAGGCGGTGGCGCAGCAGTGCGCACGCGTACGTGACACTGTGCGCGCACTGATCGCGCTCTACACGCGCATGCGCCTGCTTGACTTCCAGCTCGCAGATCCGCCCAACACACCCTCGCAGCCCAACAGTCAGTTACTTATTACAATATTATAACCTTATTTTGATAGAAATAATAAGCCTTTATGCCAGTAAAATAATGGAATAAAAGCGACAATTTGGCTTCTTGAATCTATTTTGCAGTGCTTAACATTTTGGGGCCGCTACTATTCTTAGTGCCATCTAGTGACATCTGTGTATAGGCCATTTCGATCTTTTCAGCGTCTCAAGGTCATCCCTTTACGCTCTGCTACATCTAAAATTGTGCTCAGCGACTCATACGATTGTCTGGGTACCTATTATGATGTTTCCAACTAAATTAACTAAGTATTGTTAACTTGTGTACAGAAGCTGTTGCGGCGCATAGTATATCGGAGACGATGCTGTTCTGTATCGAGGCGGTGCACTGCCTGCCGATGTGCTGGAGCCATGACGAGTACTTGTTCCACGCGCAGATATACTACGGCACGCGCCCGTTGAAGACAGTACACGCCACGCATTCCTCTAAGATAGAGTGCGGTGGATTCTATCCGAGAATTATCTTCGATACGTGGTAAAGTTTTAGCGATTTTTGTTTATTTGATAAAACGGAACCTAGAAATAAATCTTTTACTTATACCCTATTTTCTTCTTTATTCATATCTAGAGACAAAAACTTTCCGAGTTGGGCAGTTTGTTTGGTTAATATTATTTTATTTTTAAATAAATGAATTGAAATTGTTATATTTATATTTTGGTTTATCTTTTTATTGTAATAATTTCAGGTTGAATCTAGAAGATATGCCTGTGAACACGTTACCTCGCGAGTGTCGGTTGGTACTGACGCTGTTCGGACGCACGCAGCGGACGGACGACAGCCAGCACCAGGCAGCTGAGGCCAGCCAGGAGGAGGAGGAGGGAGGAGAGACGGGCGGCGTGCAATATGAACAGGTCGAGCTCGGCTGGGCCGCCATACAGTTGTTCGACTACGACTGGTAAGTAGATTCCTTTCAAATAAGAAAGTATATGAGACGCGTAATATTGTGACGTCACAGCTTTCAAATTTAAAAAAATGTAGCGTCAGTAAAACAGATTTGTATTTATAACGTAATTTTTATTATTACTTATTTATTTCAAAATGTTTGTAACCGAGTGCAAAAAAGTGTTTACGTAATTTTATAATTTAAATATTATTGTTCTTTATTACTATTAATAAATATTGTATTGTGTTCAGTATGCTGGCGTCAGGCAACTACGTATTGCCGCTGTGGCCGGCGCAGTGCGACCGGCGCATCGGGCCCGCGCCTCACCCGCTGCACGCCCCGCCCGCACCGTACCCACTCATCAACATTGGTCAGTCATACATACATACATCACAAATATTTCAAGCATATGCTCATGAAAACTTGCATGAAACGCAAAATATTACTTTGTTTTGTCAAAAAAAGAAATCCCTTTGGGCCGTGAGCGTAAGTCGTGCTATCTTTTTCTCTATTCAATTTGCAGTCCTTGAGCGCTCTTTATTCTATAGCTAACCAAGTTTACGGCCTTATTTTTTAGTTTTACGCAATTATTGACTTTCGTATATTCCAGAGATTCCAATCTACACTCGTACGGGCGTGAAGTGGACGAACGGGGACGAGGAGAAACAGAAAAACAGCACGCAAGAGGAGCTGCCGGCCTTCGACTCCTTGGATGGTCACACGCAGTCTCAGCTGCTGCACCTCATAGAGCAGGGCGCCTACCAGAGGATGCCTACTGAGGGGAGAGAGGTAACATCTTACGGCCACCAGAGGTCGCTTTAAAATTGGAACCTATTTTGCTACGTCAAGTTAAATGTGATTTTGTGTGTATGTGTAGGTGATGTGGGAGAAGCGCCAGTACCTAGTGGAGCTGGCGGGCGCGCTGCCGCTGGTGCTGCTGGCCGCCACCAGCTGGTATGGGGAGCATCGCGCCCATCTCGTGCGTCTGCTGCAACGGTGGCAGAAGCCCTCGCCGCTCAACGCCATGCATCTTCTGCTACCCTGGTAATTCTCAAAGCGTTTGCAACTACAGTAAATCTCGTGGTTAATAGTTCTTGCTTAACAAATTTGTACTTCAGTTTCCCCGACATGGCTGTGCGGGAGTTCGCGGCGGAGTTGATCAACGGCATGTCGGATGATGACCTGATTAGAGTACTGCCGCAACTTACGCAGGCGCTACGCTACGAAACGTATGAAGCCAGTCCACTTGTCGGTATGTGATTTTATATATACACTAAAAGTATTTGGAAATGTCTTTAAAAAAGGTTTTAGATAAAAATGTGATTTTAATGCTAAGGGTTAATTCATATATTTTTTTCAGAGCTCTTGCTATCCCGCGCACTTTCAGCGCCGGCCGTCGCGCACAAACTGTTTTGGTTGTTGGTACACTCTTTACCAAATGTGCCTCAGGTAAATAAAAAAAATGAAAACTAAACCACCAAAATCTATTTTTCTGGAATTGTGAATTATTATTTGTATATGTTTGTAAGAAGGCAAATTATTTAGTGTAAAATTATTAGGCTCCGAGCCAAGAGTTCCTGGGTATCTCGCTGGAGGAGAACGCGAATGAATGTACGGAGGTGGACGCGACGCTGACGGCGACGTGGCGGTACCGGCTGCTGCTGCGTGCGCTGCTAGCTGTCTGCGGGGACAACCTCACACGCACGCTACTCAGACAACAGCTGCTAGTCAAGGTACCCCTATATTCAATTTACTTATCGTACAGACACGGACAGACAGTTTTTATTTACATCTATAACGAAAAAAGGTTTAAATGTTAATACTATTGTATGTGTTAGACGGTGTCGGAGGTGGCCCTGTCAGTGAAGTGCGCGAAGGAGGGCGTGCGTCAACGAGCGCTAGCTGCGGGTGGCGAGCGGCTGGCCGCGCTTCTGCGTCAAGAGCCTGTCGCATTGCCCCTCGCACTGCATAGATACGTGCATGACGTTGACATCAAGTACGTACAACACGCACACGTACAAGTACACAACGAACACAAAGGTGCACGTACGCAAATGACAAATATAATTTACTCAATTATTCATTAAGGCTCTTACGGCATCTTGACAGCCAGTCATATTTTGACCAATGTGAGAGCGGATGTCAACCTCTTTTATTTTATGTATTTGGTATAAAAAAAATCCAATGTTTTCAGATCCTGTTCTTATTTCTCATCGAACACTTTACCTCTCAAGATTAACTTCATCGGTGTAGACAATGCAGTTGTGCCGGCGATGTTTAAGGTATGTACACAAGTACGCACTGTAACTTATTTTCCACAATAAATATTTAACAGATTAATTTGTTATGTGTCGTGTGTTTAGGTTGGTGATGATCTAAGACAGGACGCGTTGGTGCTGCAAGTGATAAAGGTGATGGACACGCTGTGGCTTAAGGCGGGCCTCGACCTCAGGATAGTCACCTTCCAAGCCCTGCCTACAAGTAACCAAAGAGGTAGTTCATAAAACTTCCACGTGCATTGCATGATTAGTCATTTTCCTTAATTGTTTTTTTTTTATAGTATAATAATAATTAGATCATGAAGTGTGTATAAACGTGATACTATGATTGGGATTTTTGATATTTGCAAATTTGTTTTTTTGTGTATAGAAATAATTGCTTTATTTTATTTACCGTAATGGAATTATGATAGATTGTTTGATGTATTTGTGTGAAGGTATGATAGAGATAGTGTGCGAGGCGGAGACGCTGCGCGCCATACAGACGGAGTGGGGGCTGACGGGCTCCTTCAAGGACAAACCCATAGCGGAGTGGCTCGCCAAGCACAACCCCTCAGAGCTAGAGTACCAGCGCGCTAGGGATAACTTTACTGGTAAACTATAAACATATATTATGCATTATTTTGTTTTTTACTACCTCCCTCCCTTCCCCATTCTCTATCTCTCTCTTCCTCTCTCTTCCTTGTGTTTCTCCCTTATAAATATAATAGCTCCTGGGCCAAGGCAATTCAAAATAAATGAAACAATAATTCCTGTCACACGCAGAGTCGTCAAATATACACTAAGGATGTTCTTTAGTGCAGATTTATTGTAAGAAATCTACACTAAGCGATTTTTTAAGGAACCATTTGATAACTACGATAGTTTTACTAATGTCGATTAAAAAAAATGATCATTGGCATGAAATTTTATTTGTATGTAATTTTTTTTTAATATGTTTTAACAGAAATATTGTTTTTGTATGAACAGCTTCGTGTGCGGGGTACAGTGTGGCCACGTACCTGCTCGGCATCTGCGACAGGCACAACGATAATATCATGTTGAAGACTTCAGGACATCTCTTCCATATTGACTTTGGCAAGTTTCTGGGAGACGCGCAGATGTTTGGCAATTTTAAGAGGTATGTATTTACACTTTTTTTAAATAATTCTGCTACTGTTAAATAGTAAAATGTGTGGATGTCTATTGGATAGCGGATTCTGTCCAATCGTGTTTATTGTGATTCTGTACAGAGACCGAGCTCCGTTCGTTCTGACACACGACATGGCGTACGTGATAAATGGCGGCGATCGGCCCACGCAGCGCTTCCAGCACTTCGTTGAACTCTGCTGCATGGCCTTTAATGTGGTGCGCGCGCATCGCTCACATATACTAGATCTCTTTGCTTTGGTACGTACTCACTAATAGACAACGACTTTTTAGTACTCATTTCTCTAAGCGCGACATTCGACATTTCTACAGGGTGATATTCTAGTATACAGTCTTAATATTCCTAACATTTGCAATAAAATTCATATTTTTCTGCAATATGGCGATGTTAAATCCCGTGAATCTCAGATGGCGATGTCTGGTGTGCCGGGTGTGTCGAGTGCGGCGGTAGGCTACGTACGCGCCGCGCTGCTGCCCGCCGCTACCAATGCTGAGGCCGCCGCAGCCTTCGCACGCCTCATACACTCCTCGCTCAAGAGCAGGTACCTGCCTCCACCAATCTCCCTTCCCCTACACACAACACGAGAGAAAGAGAGAGACTAAGGAAGAGAGAGATAAATAGAGCGTATGAGGGAAAGAGAGAAGACTATTGTCATCATAACATGATTACGTTGCCATTCTGAATTAGTAATTTTAGACATTATTAGTTAGAATCTTTTGGCGCGAATGGCGCGCTTTCGTTACCAAGTCAACTCTCAGGTTGATTAGTGAGGGGACATAAACGTTGGTATTTTAATAAGGCTAGGCACACTGTCGGTTTTTTTTTCTAACAGTTCTTAATTTAATTTGTATTTTTTTTAGATTTACACCTATCAACTTCTTTTTGCACAATCTGGCGCAGCTAAGAGCGAGCGGAGACCAGAGCAGCAGTTCTTCTGAACTGCTTTCCTTCATGCCGCGAACGTACACGTAAGTATCAACTAATGTGGTCTTTATCAGTTTGTTCCAATAAAATAACATGATGTATACGGTCGCAGTATGTCACAAGAGGGCCGGCTGGTCCGCGTAGAGTGCCTGAGCTACGAGAAGCGCTACGACCCGGAGAAGCACTACGTGTACGCGCTACGCGTGTACCGGCAGGGCCAGGCCACGCCCTCGCTGCTCTACCGCTCCTACAAGCACTTCACCGAGCTCTACCAGAAGATATGTCTGCACTTCCCACTCGCTAAAGTTCACGGGTCAGTTTTTATTCATATCTACACACATATCTATAAAACTTTCATTAACAGTTATATTATGTATTTTTTATCAACTACTAGCTGTCGCCACCGACTCCGTCCGCGCAATTAAAAAAAAACATAATTAGTAGTCTTCCAGACTATGTCATTTATGTATGCCAAATTTCATCGAGATCCGTTCAACCGTTCTGGAGATACTTTCAAATCCATCCAAACATTCGCATTTATAATATTAGTAAGATTAAACTAGACTTGAAATTACTACTGCGGGAATGACGAATCAACCCACAAATATGCTAGGGATAGAAAGAGTGAAAATAAAATAAAAAGTTAACTAGTTTTATTCAAAATAAGTTTAATAAAATACTTACGAAATTAAAAAAAAAGTATAAAATTCATAATAAATAAATATTAAAGTAGCTTATATTTATTTTAACTTACACTTTAATAATTCTCTAAAAAATCATCTTAAAGTATCAAGTGACATAATACTTAGATATACTTAAGTACTTAACAAAACAATTGACATTTGGATGTAACTATGCGCAAAAATGTATAGTTTCCTTTCCTTAATTACATACAATATACACAACGATAAGATAAGACTAGCTAATTTTGATGAAAAAATATAACTATAAACGTAGCACACGAGTAGTGACGTCATACTTGCCATCCGTGACGTCACGTCTTATCATATTAAGGTACATAATATAGGAGCATCTCTTGTTATGAAAGAGCGGCGCGGTATTTAACGTGCATATCATGTTATTGCGCACGCATTATACTTGTGTTCAAGTTATACTTCACTATTGTTTTTAACCTCCACAGAGGTCTGAATTCCAGCGTTATAGTGTAAATCAAGAACCTTGCTCGTTGGTTTTAGAGAAGATTTAGTCTGTGGTCTGTTTAATTGTTCCCTGTGTTGTGACACGAGGTCCCAACTACTCTCTTCCAATGGTTTACTAAAGCTGGTGTTGCCAGTATTATCGTACTGATTGGGTACTACTTCAGCGGAGTAAGGAGGTGGGCCGCTACTTCTGCTTATGGAACTTTCCAGAGTGTTGCTGGAGTATGTATGTTGTGGTATTGTCGGTGGTTTAGGAGCGCGACCTTTCTTTTTCTCTTTTCTTGGTTTCTCTTGATGTGGTGGTTCATTTGTTTCTTTTGACTTGTTTATATTACGAGGTGGTTTCTCCCTCTTTCGTTGTTCCGGTTTCTGTGATTCTGATTTCCTTTGTTCATTATGTTCTCTGCTTTGTTTTCTTTCGCGACCTGAAGGTATGTCGCTTGTACTTCTCCTAGTATTTTGATGTTTGTCGTCAACACTTACTAAGTTACTGGTGCTTTTGAAATGCTGGTTAACTTGCCTTTGTTGATTTGAAGTCATTGTAGGTGTCAACTTTCTAGGACTGTTATTAGGAATGTTGTTGACTGAAAAAGATTATACATTGAGTCATTCCAATTTCCGGATAACGTAGATTTCTTATCAAGAGACATAACACAATATAATGCGTTCTTTTGGTTTAACGAATTAAAATGTTATCTGAGTTCACCAAGGATGTTAATTAGATTAACCTAACACTGAATTTTTAAATCAAAAATTAAAAATAACTATTAAATGTTTTGTGTTAAAAAAGTTTATAGACAGGTGTACAGTTTCATTTAGTCTGTAAATGCTATCCATAGAGGTTAGCCCTATGCGGTAAAGTTATCCTCAGAACCGCGTAAAACGTTCTGTCCACGTGTGAAATATACTAATGTAATATGTCTTAGTAGTCGTACTGTCGTCCATGACTCCGTCTAAATTAAAAAATTGTAGCCTATGTGTTCTTCCAGACTTTGTTCTACATGCCAAATTTTAGCGAGATCCATGCACGCGTTCTGGAGATACATTCAAACAAACATCCATCCATCCAAACATTCGTATTCATAATATTAGTAAGATTACCATAATATTCCTCCTTGTTCCTCCTATAAGCGCCCAGTACAGGTATATCAGACGACTTTTCAGACTTTTCCCCGCCATGCTTTTTTCCTGACAGCAAATTAAACGAAGCCTTAAATCCTCTGAGTTTCAACATCAAAACTGAACACATTATTCCACTTAAAATTAAAATCATGGACACTGGCGCACGATTACACTTAATCGTAGTTGAAAGTACAATTTGTTTTGGAATTTACTGTTGTATATTTCCTAGGGCGTTATTGCACTGTTTTTTTCCAGTAGTATTTTGTTTTGTAAGTAAGCAGCCGGAGCTGTTAGCGGAATGGGTACTCGCGATTTGCTCGATAAGATTGCGCCGAGTGTCAGGCGCAGTTTGAATAATGTAATCTTATCAGTAACAAATTGTTTCTGTTATAAATATATTCAAGTTATCGTGTCGGACGCACGGAGGCATGTTCATTGGAAATGTATAATCGATCTTGAAATCCGATTAGTGGATACGATGGAATTTGGTTGATTTACATCTATAGAACAAAATGGTAGCGCCTGGATTATCAATGTTATGGCTTTTTGATAATGTTTTGTTTAATTAAAGAAAGTAAATGAAACAGCAAAATTATAAATAAAAACTAGCGGTCGCCCGCGGCTTCGTCTAAGCAGAATTAAAAAATAATGAACATACAGACGAATTGATAACCTTCTTTTTGAAGTCAGCTAAAAAAAGGAAATAGACTACAATATTCCGAAAATTAGCCGGAACAAACATGGAAAAGTTTAAAAATTTAATTTTCGTTATGGATAAACCTAATAAATCGCGGACACAAAATAAGTTTTTTTATAGTACATACTACAGACACACCAGTTTGATATTTATATGTATAGATTAATGAAGAAAAGCAGAGAGTAAGAGTGTAACGTAATAACACCTAGACATATCGTTTTGATCTGTTAATTCTAGATTGCCGTCGGGTCTGCACGTGGGGCGGTCGAACACGCGGCAGGTGGCGGAGCGCCGGCTGAGCGACGTGCAGGCATTCCTCACCTCCCTGTTCAACTTGGCGGACGAGATCGCGCACTCCGACCTCGTCTACACGTTCTTCCACCCCCTGCTGCGCGACCAGCAGGACGTCGAGCCGCAGAGGATGAAGCATAGAAGTACCTTACATAGACATCTCATTTTAGGCTCCCTTCTCTTCCAACCCGTTTCGTGTAAAGAAAAGGAGTGGATGGAAAAATATACTCTTTCTATGCTTCCCCTCTCTTCCGATTGTAGGAACGCATCTGCGACTGCAGATGTCTATGGGCAGCGGCTGCTTCGCTAGTTTTTTGTTTTATTGACTGTCGTTTGTTAATATTGACTGTCACTCGAGGGTTTTTAATTGAATAATAGAGCAGTGTGTCTTTGTAATAAAGTTTATGTTTTCATACTTTGTAATAAACACAAAGTAGAGCTATGCTTATTTTAAATTAAAATATAATTGTCGTGTTTGTGTGCAGGCGAGTCTGCGGAGGGTGAGAGCAGCGGGTCGGGTTCGCTGAAGCTGTCTGTGCAGTACGCGGGCGGCGTGCTGGCCGTGCTCATCCTGCACGCGCAGTCGCTCGCCGCCACGCCGCAGGGTCTGCCACCCAACCCATACGTCAAGGTAATGCGCATGCGTACGCACTACGTGCACGTGTACGTCTGTACGTTCGCACGTATGTACGTCACCGATAATTACGAATGGAGGTTTATAATTTTTTCAAAGTGAAGAGTTACAAAGTATATTTAATTTAAAAAAAGACAATCAAATTATTCTAATTTCTCCATAATCATAATTAAATAATAATTCTTAATTAATTTCTCCAACAGAAAAGTTGACATATATTTGTAGCATAGTTGCTATTTAACTTGCAGGTGTACTTAGTCCCTGATCCAACCAAAGAAACGAAGCGGAAGACGAGGGTGCTGAAGCGTAACTCGCACCCGTCCTTCATGGAGATGCTGGAGTACCGGCTGCCGCTGGAGGTGGTGGAGACCCGCAGTCTGCAGGCCACCGTGTGGCACTACGACTCCCTGCAGGAGAACCAGTTCCTCGGTGGCGTCGTCATACCGCTCGCCGCCTTGCCGCTGCGCGAGGAGACCGTCGCCTGGTACCCGCTCGAGTACATACCCCGGTAGCTGCGGCTGTCCCGAGCGCCGCGGTAGCTGCGGCTGCCCCGAGCGCCGCGGTAGCTGCGGCTGCCCCGAGCGCCGGGTAGCAGCTACCTCGAGTAACGCGGCTGCTCCCGTGCCCGTCACACGATGAGTACACCCATTTGACATAATACAATTAGCTATATATCGTATATTTGTTATGCAATTATATTGCCTTTCGCCGGTGTTGCTTGAAATCATAATCTTAAATTATATCTTCTAAACGTTAATGAATACACATACATATTATAAAAAAATTGAGTATCATAGTTGACACATGGTAAAGCATAAAACGCGATAGGCGCTATTTAATTTCAATTTATTATTGCGCTATATTTTAATTTAATTCAACAAATATTTACAGCACAAATATGTTCCGTGTATGTATTTTAAAACATAGCAAAACAAACAATAATAGAATTATCTTTGGGAACTAATGAACTGGTTGCATGTGTATTTTTTTACCGAGAAATTTATAAATTAAAATACATAAGCCGTAAAAGTGTACTCGTATTAAAACTATTTGTAAAGTATGTTTGATATAAAATATATTTATATATTAAATATTAAAGCGCACATCAAAAAGTACGATTACTTCATTATTGTATTCATACCATAAAAATGATAAATCTTCAGTTTTCTTATTTATCACAGTATTTAGTATATACCGGTAAACAAAGACTGCAAATCACATAAATAACTAATACATAGTAATTATAAAAAAAAACAAGTAAATATTTTAGAACAGCATTTGTTGTTTATAAATTTGTGATAACATCATCATCACAATACACTATAATAGAAACATTCTATCACAAATTCCGAGTCACGTGGTTTGCGACACCCAGCCCGTACATTAGCCCACGCTTACGCCCACTCCCCCACCCACGCCCACGTCCTCGCCCACACTTCCACCCACCCCCACTCCCGCGTCGCCCCTTCCGTCGCGTGTCATGTTATGAGTGACGAAACTATTCCCTTTGTTTTTTTTTCTTATATATGATGATTTAGTAAACACAGTGACGTCATCAAAGATAAGGACAAGTTATTGTGTATGAGTGGTAAAAATTTGCATTTCTTTTCTTTTGTATAAAACTTTGAAGTTTAATGACATTTAAATAAACTTGTTTACGTTTGGTTATTCACCTATACCTAGATGGATAACACTTAGACCTAGATTGTTTAGACTAGGTCATTCTTAGTTATGCTTTTTAATATAATATGCGTTACAGACAACTAATATTTGAATTATTAATATCTTTAGATAGGATATTTAATCGAAATTAGATTAGAGTGCCAAATGTTTGCTTCATAAAAACATCCTATCGGTTTTAAAAACATATCAAATATTGATATATTGGCTATTCTATATTATGGGCATTATATTGGCCAATTAGTCACATTCCAAAGTTAATCATTTATGAATGAGGCCTTATTGCCTTTACTAAAAATTTTGTAAAAAAAAAACTAAATGTGTGAAATATATAATTCTATAATACAAATTATGTAATCTTTTATTGAGTGGTATATTTTTGTATAGCTTTATGCTTACATTTTGTACGTTAACTTGCCTAAAGCATTTTACATATAGACGTAAAAATAATTAAAATTTTACATAACACAAATGTAATAAAACGTACATAATACTCCAAGTTTCAATAACATAAAAAATACTAATTATAAAAATGCTTACAAACTCTATTGTATTATGAAACTGGCATTTTATTTATTTTAATTTTATATATAAATTCGGAGAATATTTTTTGTGTACTGTCAGGTTGAAAAGGTCATAATAATAAATTGTTACATTTAAACTAATGAAATTCAAAGAAATCAATAATAAATAGCATTTATATTAACTATACTCCAGTATCAAATAGCATTATATACTTCATGATAGAATATTGAAATGGTATATAAAGATTTCAATATTTTCTCGCTTAAAAAATATGTTTTAAGAAATTATATGCTTCTGATAAAAATTCCGTATTTGATATCAAAGCATTTTGTGAATAGATTTTGTTAAAAAAAATCTTCCTATTTTGTACAGTCAGCTGCACAACTTTAGATACATGTTTAGGCCTTTGATTTCAAAAATACGTACGCTCGTATTTCACAGTAACATGTATTTATGGTCGGAACTTTACGGATTACGAAAGTTGATACATATTTTTAAAACAAAAGACGTTTACAAGTTTCTGAAGCTTTGTAACTGTATATTTATGCAGCTGACTGTACATTGATGATTTAACAATTAAACTTATGTTTTTGATAATGCGAATTCAAGTAATTACTTTTGTAGATTTTGTTAAATTTATTATTTACAATTTTATATTTACATTTATATTGTAATGAATTAAAACAATAAATTATAGATCTGAGATCATTTGATAAAGTGCACAGTCAAATAATGAAATTGATTTATGTATTATTTTAGATGATTTACTCCGGGTTTCTGAGACCGATATCCCCCGTTTAAAATGTTGTTATCTCTATTTTATTACATATGAAAGACAAGGACGACGATATATTTTATAGAGAGATTTAGGTATCGGAAACCCACGGTTAGTTTATGAATTAATGTTTTGATATATTTATTAGTTACGTTATTATTTTTTTATTAAATTAACGATTAATTATTCCTCGATTTTCAATACAAAGAAGCATTATTCTATGTCAAGCTTCCAGTAAAAGCTCAAATTGTCTTTGGGCGAAATATTTAATCGACTGAAAATCGTTAACTAAACGCCCTATGTATATAATTAGATAGTTTTTCTACGAAACATATATATATGTAATACAACATATAAACGTTTTTGTATATTTAATATTATAACGAATATCTGAATAAAATGCTGAGATATAAAATATATATTTTTATTGCACTTATATAATCATATCTTCATCGGGAGAGACTTTCTGTAGATAAGCATTTGGTCCATAAGGTCTTTTTACTAAAGCATCTTTATATATATAATATGGGTCAGTTTCATTTGTCGGTAAATAGTAAATACCAGGTCGATTGAAGTCTGTATTCGATCCTAATACGTTGGTTTCTAATTTTTGATCATAGCAGTCTCCATGTCGTGCTTTAGTGACAGATTGACATCGTATAGCAAGGAATTTGTCCGCATTGTTGAGCGCAGACACCCAGTACATGGCGGCGCGCATGTGACTGCACAGCGTCAGACAAGGTAACAGGAAACCATTCACCATTGATTGTTGATATTCTCCTATACACAAATAATACATTAAATATTAAATAAATGTTCTATGCTTACGTATTGTAAATGATAAGAATCTCTATTTTCTACTAACAGTTGCCATCAATTTCGTCGGGAATTATAAAAAAAGACTAGTAATAAATAAAGCCTATATCAACCGGGAATGTGTAGCTTCCTAATATTTAAGTAATTTTTCAAACAGGTGCAGTAGTTTCAGAGTCTATTCAAGCAAAAAAATATTTTCTCTTTATGTTATTCTTTATGAATAAAATATAGCTATGTATTTCATCGTTTGAAGCTGTTATACGACAAAAGTTTTAGTTTATTTTTCAACATGTAAATATGTCAATCTGACTAATATTATAAATACAACATTTTGGATGTATGTTTGTTAGACGGTATCTCAAGAATGTCTAAAGGGATCTCGCTGGCATTTGGAATAAATGTAGAACATAGTCGGGCAGAACACAGCCTTCTAATAAGTTTTATTTAATTCCGCTCGGACGGAGTTACTGGCGACAGCTATTTTGATAAAACTTACCACCATTAGCATATATGTCAACGTGGCCGATAGTATCAGCCAGGCCGAAGCTGTCCATGTTGGTGTGCAGCGCGTCTACCATGTGCGCCCCGCTCTCGCTGAACCTGTCATCTGGTGGCAAGTTGCGAAAACACGGACCTGCCGGGTCCAGTCCTGCTCATAATGAAATACGATAGTATTATTTTGTGAACCGTACAGTTAGGAAAAAAACTTACGTTTTAGCAAAACTTTATACAAATTTAGTATCTTAGAAAATTAGTATTTGATTCATATTTATCCAATGAAGTCAGAAAACCCTTTTGTTTTTCTATCTTTTATATAAATTTAATTAGAATCAAGTAACACCCACAAAATTAAAAAAAAAACTACATATTTATTTGCCTTGAGCATACGAACAAACCACTCACCAGTAAGTCTCATTGGCTTTCTGTTCGTCAGCTGATGGTACTTGACGGTGGCGTAGTAAGCAATATGCGCACCGAGGCTGCCGCCCAGCAGCTCCATGTCCTTGTGCGAGAGACCGCGGTGTGACAACTGAGCCAAGAGCTCACCCAGCAGGTAGCCCAGAGGCTTGGTTAGGCGAGCTGCGCTGTTACATCACGTAAAAGGTATTGTCCGACTTGAAGTATCAGTATTTTCAATTTTTTTTTTTTTAAAGGGAGTGAATAGATGGAGGAAGGAAGTTGAGCGAGGCAATGCGACGCCGACCTCATAATACACTTAGATAAGTTACGCCAGAGGGAGCTTGACACGGAGACTGCGGGGACGCCCGAACCCCCCCAGAGATCGCCATCGGGTCCTCTCACCCGATCGCCAATCGGCACGATGGAGCCACTCTGGGATTTTTCACAGTTGGCGGGGCAGCCTTTCGTGAGTGGCTAACCCACTACTTGGGCCCCCAACTACCTGCGGTCGGCCAGCGGAGAACCGTGCTTCGCATCCCGCTACCCTCCGAGCTCAAGCACCCGAGCAACAATACCCAGTACATCATCACCGGTCAAATATCTTGGCTGCCCAAGTAAATCTACGCGATGCACAGTGGTGTCTCCCCACATCCTGCTACGCCCAACAGACTTAACGCCGAATTCAAGAGCGGCCAAGATATTTGGAAAGCTTTATACTTACTATAACACTATACATAAGCTTTTAGCTTTACTATAAATGTAGCGCTGTAGACTTGACCCTTATCATTTCGTTTTTTCTTAGTTTAACTCAACTTTTTTTGTCTTATTCACAGAATATTTATGTTTTTGCCCGATTTCCAAAGAAAACAGTCTCGACTATTTCCATTTCTATGTACATTTTACTGCGAGCTTTTTGGCTTAAACAACAACTGATTTTGAAAAGTGATGTTTGATAATTTTTTTTAAATTACTTACATAGGATAGCTGCGATATAATATAGGAAATATCTCCATGACAATAACATTGCGTCCCAGCTTGAGGTAGGGATCCAGCACCATCCGCGCCATGGGAGAGAATGAAGCGTCCAAGTAGCCGCTGATCAGCACCTGATAAATATTTGCTTATTGTAATTATTATTTTGGTAATTTACACTTATACTATTATAGAACATTTCGTCATAACTTTCGTCCTGTGTAAAAGATACCTAGTGGCAGTCATCTGTTTAGTTTCTATTATGTGTCCTTTCGATTTTGTTTTTTGAATAATGGTGTGATAATACGAATCTAGTCACCTGTGTTTTTCTCCGTTTGAAGTGTAAAACACTCGCGATACACGCGGCTCCGTCTGGACCGAAGTTGCATTTCTTTTCGTTAATTTCAAATATATGAGACTTGGGCCAAAAAACGACCACAGAGAGCGAGAGCTTCGTTTCCTCTGATAATTTCGTGGTGCGATTCATGCCGGGACCTAAAACACATTAAAATGTATATTTTTACACAATAATATTCATAATATTTAAAAAAATATACAACATTAATTACGCCTTTGAACTTTTGCTATTTTTAACGCTAGGAGCATAACAGATAATAGGCATGATGTTTAACAAATAACAAATGAATGGATAATTCCGTCTATTCAATGTATTTAAAAGTCGAGACATAAGGCTTATCCCGATCCGATCCTTACTAAGCTTTCTAAGCCTTACCTTAGTACATTCAGCAGTATACAACTTATACAAGACTCTCGGTATATTTGAAACATTAATTTCATCAAAATTACCTATTAAATTGAGAAAAATCCAACTCCAATGAATCAAAATAAAACTTACAGTCAGCAAACAAGCCTGCCGGGTATCCAGTGTCCTGAGCTGTTGACACCAAACCGCATCCAAACACTAAACTTAAAAAATATTTCATTTCAATAATTTTTAAAGTTTAATTATCTATTTACACACGACTGACCAATGTTATCATCATTGTAAAACTGATGCGTTCACGAGAGAGTAATACTGCACAAATATTTAGAAATATGCGTAGGTATTAAAACAATTTTAAACTGAATATTATCTGTAGTACCTATTCTGTAAAATAAAGTGACATTTTATGCATTTTACATAAATTATTTTAACAATAATTTTGTAACTTAGAAATAAATTCCCGTAGCAATCTATTATAATCTTATATATAAAATTCTCGTGTCACAATTTTCGTTCCCATACTCCTCCGAAACGGCTTGACCGATTCTTGTAAAATTTTGTGAACATATTGAGTAGGTCTGAGAATCGGCCAACATCTATTTTTCATCCCGCGCGGACAGAGTCGCGGGCGACAGCTAGTGTAAAGATAAAATTCCAAATCGATGCACTAGAAGCGGAATTCGGTAGCACACATTAAAAAAAAAATAAAGATATTGTGATATTTGATAACCTTCTTTTGGAAGACGGCTAAGAACCATGAGATCTGAAACCGATGACATTATTCAACGAATATAATTGTGTAGGTTCAACCATGTTCGCCTTTGAGCCTTCTTAAAAACACGAGAAGACATACAGGATATGTACTTAATTTGAATAACCTAAAGGATCAGTATTTTAATACATATTTGTCAAGAAATCATAAAGTTAAAATAGCATAGTCTTAGCAACTATTACAAACGTTAGACGCTAACGCGAATCACTTTCCATAGTATTTCTTGTTTCTATCGAACACTGAGAAAATAAGCCCCCGAACTAAACATTCGCGTTAATCTTTTTTTGCTCGAACATTACACTGGTGGCTAATAATCCCGCATTTGTTTAACAATAATGAGGTTAAAAATTGTCCCACTTTTCTATTACTAAGTACATAACCTAAAATTGAAAATGAAATTTAAATGTTAATGTTTGTTTTATTACGCATACAATAATATACGTGAAAAGCAATCAAAAATATCTTTGCAATTGATATCCGCGTCTAATAAGATACGGTAAAGATACCTATGTATTTTACATATCTTTTCCCAGCTTATTTGCGTCGTATGTCGTTTAACAGTATTGGCTTTTCTCCAATGTTGAAAATGCATAAAATTGGGGGAAATATTGTGTTATTCATCACTTTACGTTGGATAAAAGCCCAACAGTAAGACTTATGTCGCCTAGACAGGGAAGAAATTACACAGGCAAAATTTACTGATTCCTATTATATGAATGTTTACTTAGACTGCTTTTATATTGTAAATTTTTCATACTATAAAGACTGAGATTATGATGAGAAGATATATACACTTTGTTATTTCTTTAATACTATTTAAATATTGCAATAATAGAACCCTGAACGCAGGAAACTGGAAAATAATTAAGAGTTTCCTACAAGATTATTTTCTGCTTTATTGACGAGGTCATACGCTACAGCGGGATATTTCTACATTACTGTAGCATAATTATGATAAATTTCATCCTTCATAAATTTAATTTATAGTAAATTTTAATTTGGTGACATGTTATTATATATAAATAAGTAATTACATAATTATTTTTTAAGTTGTAAAGTGCACGATGCTTTCATCTGATGATTGTATGGAACAAGTTTGCTGTGACCTCGACCGTCGACGAAAATTTACTTCACGTAACATCGAGGTTTTGTTTAAAAACTCATCAATTTATATTACTTATAAATGCGAATGTTTAGATGGATGGATGGATGTTTGTTTGAATATATCTCCAGAACGGCGGCATGCATCTCGATGATATTTGACATAATTATAGAATATAGTCTGGAAGAACACATAGGCCACTAATTAAGATTTTTTTTAATATCGCGCGGACGGATTCGCGGGCGATAATTAGTGAAAATAATGTTTGGCTTCATTATACAATAACCACAATAAGCAAAAGTCCCTCCATTTACTCTTTCCAGTGACTTGTCTTCAAATAAATTGTGTAGTTTAATTGTAAGTGGGCGCATACATAAATATTCTCGCTATTTTTGGTTTTTTATTATTGTCACTAAAGTGTGTCGGCACGGTTTTTATAAAAAAATATTTTTGTCTATGATTCAGATTTTTGTTGCGTATTGTGAAATTCGTCCACGTTGTATCCATAATATTTTCTACGTCTTTTATATCTCTATTTAAACCAAACCTATAGATATAAAAGGTCCAGATAAATAATATAGACATTTGAAATAAAATCTAGTCAAATGTGTTAATAAAATCAAATTCAAGACTGGCAGCGCACAAGTGCGCTAACCGCTGAGTTGTAAGGTAGTAACAAAAACTACCGGCTTACGTATTCGCACTAGATGCGTGCTCGCCGACGCACTTTCGTCTCGTCGCTGCAATATTTCGTTCATACGGGTGTAGAAAGCCAATTATTCACTAATGTGGTCTTGAGACGGTGTCGCGAGCTATACCGGTTCCACCGGCAACCAAACCTGCCGGCAGTACAACATCGGACCGCGTAACGTGTGCACGCCGCCGCGGCGCTCGCGAAAAACTATCGCCGATTTAAAATGAGTTGTTAACTAAGAGTGATTGTTATCAATAGTTGTAACAATGAACGACTCCATGGCGCAGGGTAATTGGGAGTGGTACAAGGAGGTGGTGAGATCGTGGCTGGAGGACCCCCTTGTGGAGCAGTTTGGGGGTCTCAATATGACGTCACTGAAAATGGACCAGGCTTACATGACGGGGGTGTCCGATAGAAATGTTTCCATCTACAGCGTCTCGGATGATTGTTTTCGTGTGAGTATGCAAATTTTTATTCGTACTTAGTTTGTAAAAAAATAGTGAAATCCTTGGATATGTGATATATGAACATATGGATTCTTTAGTTAGAAATTTTAAGTTTTTGGCAGTTGTAATATATTTAAATTACGAAATTCTGCAGCAATTATATAAAAAGTTTGCAGTTACTTCATACCTTCATATCATTCAATCCTTTGTGTGTGTTTTTTTTTATTTTGACTCATACGTGTTTAACATAAAATAATTAAAAGATCTTACGTATTAACCAAGGTCACAAAGGCATCGACATTTCGATACAAATATGACAGGAGATCAGCCTGTTTCCAATTAGGAATAAACAATATTTGATTTTCTATAGACAATTCTATAAGAAATGAATTTTCTTTGTCAGGTCTTCAGATCATTTGAATTCAAGGTCGTTTAGTGCACTGACCGTTTGCAGATCTCTAAATAACGATACAAAAACACTTACATGCTATCTTGTCTTTTCGATATTTAAACACTTCAAAAAGGTTTTGATTTTAATGTTGACTTTGTGTTAATAAATACAACAGCGGAGATATGTTTCATATGCATATGATATGCAAATTGTGATTCAAATATTGACACTGGACACGCTACTTTGTCATTTTAAATATTTAATGCCTGACTCACGTGTATCAAACGTTCCCTGAACTTTTCAAAGTACTTTGTAATACAAAACTCACGCTATGTTTTGTATAGATAGCGTACTTATTCTTCCAGATTAACTTATTAACATAAAGTTTAGAATTTAAGACGCGAGAGTAAACTTAAAGTTCTTAGGTTCGAGTTCTTTCCAGGATATACTGTCACAACATGTGCTTTTTTCGGTTCTCTGGTGACGTATCATTATTTTATGGAATTAACAAATCATCAACCTAAACAATTTGGCTCAACTGTAATGTATTCGACACAATGTAAATTTATACATTGTCAAGATATTGTAAAATGCCATTTATTATTTTAAAATAACAACATAGATTATAGATAGACAAATATTTATATCCAAGATAGGGAAAAGTATGTAAGTAATATGTTGTTATGCATTGTTCAATATTGAAGGTACAATCTATAGTGTAAACTTGAAGAAACTCTTTATAAAAAGTTTTAATGTCCTATTTGTATAAATACACTAGCTGTCGCCCGCGACTCCGTCCGCGCGGGATTAAAAATAGATGTTGGCCGATTCTAATACCTACTCAATATGCTCACAAAATTTCACGAGAATCGGTCAAGCCGTTTCAGAGGAGTATGGGAACGAAAAGTGTGACACGAGAATTTTATATTTAAGATTAAGGCCGTTTTCGCAATAATTTTGTTTTATTTTTGGACCTTTTAGGCGTTAAATTTTTAAAAATTTAACATACTGTCCGTATTAGGAAAGCGCGTGTGTTAGTATATTGCTTTGAAAACTAGAGTTTTATTATCTGTTGATGGCAGAATCAAGATGAAGTTTGAAAAATATTTGTCCATGACCTAGAGGACAGAGATAATGGATATGTTACTCTACATTCTATAATTCTAATTCTTGTCGGTCTTATTTTGTAATAAAATATATGTTTTATTGTATTTATTTATTTTATTTTTATTTTATACGATTTTGATATTGATCGTCTCAGGTTAAATGTGAACATATTCCAGTTTCGTAGTAAAAAAATATTGAATTACTAAATAAACTAAAAATAACCAACATAACTTGGTTATATTTACGTGAGAAAAATTTAATACGTACATTAAATGTTAATTATCACATTGTTCACGTCACAGTTAGTTAATAAAATCATTAGGTTTGTCTTATAAGAAGCCTAGTTATTTTTGCGATAGCAATAATAATGATGAGAGGTTTGATAATTGATAATTCTAAACATCTTCACAATCAAAGGAGAAATGCATCAGAACCCTTTATTAAAGAGAAAAAGAAACTATTTTTTAATTTTTTTTAAAAATAAGATTATTTTAAGGATAAAACTTTTTTTAAAGACTTTTTATATATCTGTATCGTTAGTACAGCCCTAAGATGCATGTAATAGGGCGGGTGCAAGTTTTCTCGGCAAGTGGCAGGAACGTGCTTGAGCGGCTGTCGCAAGCGCGTCGACGTTTTTTGCCTTGTTCGTGAGCTGTACGGAATGCACCTCAGTTTCCCATACGTATACACTTCTTTTTAATTAATACACGCAGTTGGGAAACGTCTAACCGGGCCGCTTTTACACACAGTACATAGAACACTTGTGTAACCTTTCACTGTGTGAGCGTGGTTTACTTGTAGGGCGAAATGTTCGTGGGAAATCAATTCGTTTCTGAAATATGAGTGATTGGATTCATTTGAATCATTATAAATTAATCTACTTTACTTTATTTAATTCTTATCTCTATCTCGCTCTTATCTTGACATCTACGTTTTTATAAAATTTAGGTTTAGTATTTCGGTTTAATTGATAAGAAAATTAATGTACGCACCAACCACAACCATAAACAATACTGTAAAATGACAGACAGACGGGTGGAAAAAAGTGATCCTTTAAGGGTTCCGTTATTTCCTATGAAATCCGGAACCCTAAAAAACAAATAATTGCTCTTGCCCTTCCTATGTGCCTACCGTTAACATGCGACTTCCGTCCCTTGTGCTAAAGTAATAATTACTTCACCTTTGTTACTAAGTAACTGTAATTAAATAACACATAATCAATGACATAATAGGATTTCCCGGGGAAAGCCCGTGACGAGTCAATCGATGTACCACGCAACTCGCGGGTCAATCAACCCGAGACGGGAAAGCGCATTGTTTTTAATTTTCTAGTGTGGGTGACATTTCCCATGTAGATAATATATAGAGGCGGTCGAGAAATTATTATGCTTATTTTATTTATATTATGTTAAAATCACCTGTCCGGTCCGAGAAAGCTCTTAGTGAAAAGATTTAATGACCTATGTTGTCACGTTAATCACCTCATTAAAAATATATTATAAGAGTAATTTTCTAAAAAAAAGAATTAAATACGATGTTCAGAAACCTTTTAATATTTACAATTAGTCAAGGCTCCAAACTAATTATTGTTTTTAATAACTGTGTGGAAATATAATACGGTATTGCACGAATTTACAACAAACAGACAAATGGTTAGTGCAGTGGATATGAGGCAAGCTATGCAGTCGCCGTATCGAGTTTGCGGAGCGAGCGATTGTTCCCAATCGTCGGTGAAATTGCCAGATCGACTGACACACTGGCCGCATGTAACAAATCCTACAACACTCTCTAGCTTTTATAATTAAACATATTGTTTTGATTTATGGCAACATTTTATTTTTAAATATAAGTAACTAAAATAGGTTTTATCTTCATACAGGGTTACAAAAATAAAATCAAATGGTTACGATTTTTTTAACAATCATTATTAGCTTATAGCCTACACTATTACGTCTGTTTATACAGTTGCATATTTTCCAGTCGATATAAGATTATTTTAAATCAGATGTAATGTTAAACCTTTTAAGAAATGGTATGTTCATTTAAAAAGTGTGTTGTGAACTAATATCTTGACTTAATTCCATAAAGAAAACAAAAGTATGTCAAGTTTCACGGCACATAGGAAGCCATATTACTAGCAAATGTACATATTTTGTCTTCGAGTAGATATCACTAGGTAGTGAAAAGGTAAAAGTTCGTAGCGAGTATAATGTTGATGCAATTATTATTATTGTCTATATTTGGGATAGTTGTATGAAACTTTGATGAAGTAATTGCCAAGTAAACCTTAATTTATTATAAACTAGCTGTCCGTAGTGACTCCTTCCGCGCGATATTAAAAAAAATCATAGTAGCCTCTGTGATCTTCTAGGATATGTTCAGGAGCAGTTTTAGAGATATTATATCACATTCTAATATTAGTAAGGTATATCGCATCAGAGCCATTTGAATCTAGTACAATTTGCAAAGTGTGCGTGCTTGTACAAACCAGTTTCGTTCATGTCAGTTTAGATTTTTATCAATACAGCTGCAACATATTTGCGTGTCCTGTCTACTCGTAGACGAGACTTATCCCACTTATGTATTATATAATGCATAACTAAATGTAGATATTGATCCTCTACAATACAGCATCTCTCTTCTATATAAAACAAAATAATATATTCTGTAATCATAAAGAAAAATATTACCAGTATACTTTGCAGTGTATTGGTTAGTGTTTAGTAATAAGGTTTGGGTTCGAATTAAAATATTGCATGTGTTTTAATTCTAATTGTCGTTGTTTGGATACTTAGGGGTAGAAAAGTATTATACAGACACTGGATTTCTTTATATTATGCTCCCCCGAAGGAATCGGAGTTTACACAATGTTAGGGGTGAACTTTTACACATTTAATAAGCGGACATTCGTTTCGATTAAGATGTTTACAACGATATAAACAGCGTAAAACGTGGCTTAGCCTGATGGATTAACTCTGTGAAACCTTAGAGTGCGGGATCGATTACCCTTTACCACCCCTGATCTATAGGCAACTACTGTTACTAGCAAACACATATGAGTGCAATTTCATAGGTATTCATTTTGTGGTCAAAACTAGTATGGTTAAGAGGATCAGGGCGAGACTATTTACCTGCATTTTATTATATGTTACAAAAAGTATGGATCCCCTAAAGATATCTGAATTCCCGAATATCTTACTAATATTATAAATGCGAATGTTTAGATGGATGGATGTTTGTTTAAAGGTATCTCCAAAACGCCTGTATGGATCTCTCTGAAATTTAGTACAAATGTAGAACATAGTCTGGAAGCACACATAGGCTACTAAGTTTTTTTTTTAATACTGCGCAGACTGAGTCGCGGGCGATAGCTAGTTTTAACATAATAAGAAAACTATATTTGTCTCCAGTGCCCCTTCGAGCTACAAAAAACCCTAGAAGCGGGCGTGCCAGGCACGTTCGTGGTGAGCACGTCCCGCCGCGCCACCTGGCGGGTCTACGAGGACGTCCGCGAACAGTACATGAGTGCTGCTAATGCTTCGTAAGTATTCTATAAAATCTGTCTACAAATTAACTTTAGTTTTTGAAATTATATTAAAGCGTATATAAGTTACATATTCACAGTAAATTGGTTTGTATATTGGTTTACATAAATTGTTTTTTTGTCAAATAAATTACGCAAGCCAGTTACACTCGGCATACGTTCGCGGAAAGTAAAAGTGTGTTCTGTTTTTTCTGTGACATTTATATTACAAGTTCATTATGATTGGTTCTTTTATTTAAAATTATTCTTCATTTATTTATCATATTTTTAAAATAGTACATTTCATATCAAAAAAAAATATATATTAAAAATAGAACACCACAGGCTGCGGAATCCCATGATTCAAACATTATTTTAAATTATTATTAATTTATTGAATTTAAAATATTTAATCATTAATTATGCTAAATGAAATGTTTGTAAGAGGTCATATTGTAACAGTCAAGAATGTTTTTAGTGATTTTAATTAGAGTCGAATTAAATACAGTTACGTATGTAAGGTTTTTTTATCTATTTAAAACTTCATTGCAGACTGCAAATGCCATTACATGAGACATTCTCCAACGGTCAAACGCACTGTACAAAAATAAACACAGAAACAATATAAATAAAGTTGTCGGTAATAAATAGATTAGATGCCATTTTCTCATTTTCACCTGTCTCACGGAAGCGTAATGTTTCTGCGTGCATACACTATGTTTTTGATTTTTAGCCCATAGTTTTAACAGCGGACGGGGTTAGACAAAGTGCATTCGCTTCGAAGCGTATCACGTGACTGATCGAAAGTCAGTCAGTTCTACACATTTTTGAAGTTCGCTATGGAATCGCTTCGAAGCGAATACACTTTGTCTAATCCCGCAGATTAATTTATTTAGAAGTGCTTTGATGCGTATCCTTTCTCGAAGTGTTGTGGGGGTATAATTTGTGTTTTTTTTTAGTTTTGATTGTAGTATTTGTGTTGTGCAGTGGTCTGATCTGCCAGCTACGTCCTGATCTGGGAGAGTTCGGCGTGTACACATTGAACGCGACCGGTGATGGTTGCGACGTGCGCACTGACAAGGACCCTGTCAACATCTATCTGCGTGAGTCTTTTGTTTAATATTTTATGCAACTACCCGCACGTGTCGTTATTTATTTCGTGTTAAGGTCAGAACGGTATTTGTAATTACAAATAGTGTTCGTTGAATCAATTTTAAAGTCCCAAGTTACTAATATCATCATCAGCTCATATGTCCCCACCGAGGTGCTTGTAGCCTACCTAAGTTAGGAGTGTGGGTAGCCCTGACACCTATATTTGACTTTCTTCGCAGATATGTGTAGGTTGCATCATGATGTTTTCCTTCAACGTAAGAACCATTACCGCTATTAATATAGTTTTTAATAATTAAAAAATATAATATATGTTTTCCACTTTTCTATATCTGAGTAACCAATACTATCCATAAACATGTATATAGATAATTTTGAAAAGTAATATTTTAATGGTACGCAAATTCAAGGAAGATATGCATTTAGATACTTTATTAACATATTTCAAGGTCACAGCATAACCTAGACATGACACCGTTAAAGGAATATTGGTCAATAAATACAGATAAGGAAAATACAAAAAATTTGCATATTTTTGCATTTATTATCTGTGCTCAATAACGTTTATTTTATCTTCAAACCCTTGACACAATATCGTATCGGTCGATACTTGTCATCTCGAGGGTATATCTTTGGAGGTTTCTTGACAATCTAGCACTCGTTTAATCTGAAGTTAAATCGCCTTGGGGATATGACATCAAGTAAAAATTAATAGGTTTTTGTATGTATACGGTCAAGCGACCGCTAACCATAAATATCCGCAATTGCAATTGCGTTGGCTAACTTTGTCTCCTTTCCATGCATCCACTTCTTTGGTAAATCCACTTCCCCTTTATATCATTTCTTTATGATAAAAGGGTGGGAAGGGATAATGGATTTTTGCCAAATTAATAATTTTAATAACCTACTTAAAGTTACAAAAGCTTATATATTTGGCAATAAGCTATAAATTTTATTATATCAAAGTTTTACGGTATTCATTATTGATTTATATATCAACTTATATGTATTCAAACATAATGTTTTTGCTCCGTATTTGCCCATACAAGGTTGAATCTTTTGATATTACTTAACTATAGTAACATTTGGTTTTCCTTTCATTTAAAACTAGCTGTCGTCCGCGACTCCGTCCGCGTGTATATAAAATAAAACTTATATATAGATAAGTTCAATAAAAAGCAGCTCTTCAAGGCGTAAATTCGACAAAAAAAGAATAAATAGTATCCTATGTCCGTCTCCTGGCTCTAAGCTACCTCCTCACTAATTTTCAGCGATATCGGTAAAGCCGTTCTTGAGTTATAAATAGTGTAACTAACACGACTTTCTTTTATATATAGTCGTATATAGATGGTTTTAAGTTCATAATTAAAAAACAATCTTAATTCTGATAACCGAATAGTGCAAATACAAAAAAAAATGTTTTTTAAGAAGACTCGGCTACAAAGATCTCATAGTTTTAGCTGTTGAATCTGTCCACTGTGTTCTAAAGTAGAAATAGTAGTAAAAACTAGTCAGACCATTAATAATTCTATACATATCGTACACCTTTTAAGGTCTAACGGCTAAGATCTTAGTCTGTTTTATGGGGTCTAGTCGCAAACTTGTTTCCTGAGCAGAGGCCCCATGAATGTGCTTTCTTAACTCAAAATGTTATTAGCGTTTTAAATAACCCTTAGGTTACCTTACATTTTATAGCATACTAAATGTCGCCCGCGACTCCGTCCGCGCGGTATTAAAATACTAAATAAGTGACACCCTATGTGTTCTTCTAGACTATGTTCTACATCTGTGCCTTAATTCATCAAGATCAGTTAAGTCGTTCCCTTTAAAACTATACATCCATATATCCATCTAAACATTAGAAATTATAACATTAGTAAGATTTACCATTCTGTATTAATTTTGACGTGAAGCTTAAGTCTCCGACTTAATTGGGCGGTCCACCTTGGCGACCTCTTTGCATGCAATTTCGCGAGATGTGTTAAGGTCAGCGATGCGCGAGGATTACATGAACATACGTTTTAGTCTTTATACTTAATACGGAAATAACATAAGTTGTTTATCTGCCAAGATTATGTGAAAATTATGTCACATAGTCGAAATATGTATTTTGTACTTTGTTTTATTTTATTACTTCTTTTAAAAGGTGTTCTTATAATTTTATATTTTCGTTGGTCTTCGTTAGACGTTAGCGATTTTAACTAGTCAATCAATTCAGAAACTAAATAACGAAGTGAAAACAAATAAATTCAAGTCACGCTCTAAGGGAGACGGATAACGAAAATTGACGTAATTGTCGTCTATAGTGAAAGCTGTAAATAAATTTCATACAAACAGCCGACGAAGTGCGATAAATCTAACATTTCTTTAGTCGTCGGCCGATGACAGCTGTTACGTAGTAGCCAGTAACAAGCAATAAGAAAATCAAATTTGTCAAGTAACTGCAAACGTTAGGATGCACGCAAAATAAAGCGTAATTAACTAAAAAAATTGTGTAGTCCATAGGCATTTTTCCCTTGGTAACAATACTTACTCGTACGTAGATGAAGAGGTCCTCTGTCAGATTGAAACGGTACTTTCCGGTCTTAGTCTATTGAGGCGAAAGTTGTTACTACTCCACAGCTTTACAAAGTAATACAAAAATCCATTTTAACTCTATTTAATTTAAGTAGAAATAGTTATAGCGCCATCTAACGGATTTACATAACGTTTATTAAAAATTGCAACCTAAGGAGAGTCAATTTACATATCCTATGTGTGTGCTTGCAGTTATTCGCACAACCTGTTATTAATCCTGGTCATATAACAATGTGGTATAAAGACAAGAGGCGTCGAGTGGGCGGCGCGAGTCTTGGCCCAAATCCTTTGTTGCGGCGAAGCGCTGACGAGCATCTTCCGCTCGTACACGCACACGCGACAGATTTAGCTCTTCAATCAGTGTTCACTGTCCACCTCGTTTGAATGTAGGCCACCTCGTTATTTTTAACAAGCGCTTAATGTTTACCTTTAATATCATACTGTTAAAACACGGTGTCCAAAATATTACGGTAGAAACCTGCGATAAGTAAATGACGACGATATATTTTTGTTCTCGAAATCTTGTAAACCGACGTGCGTGTATGCATATATGTATGAATGTAGAAGTGAGAGAGATGTGTCAGAACCGCGTCAAATGCAGGTCCGTGGTCTCTGCCTATACCTCTGGGTTACGGGTGTGATTAATTTGTTGTTGAACTCTTGTAATCAAAATTATTGCTTTAGCTTAGCTATTGAGAAATTTATTAACTTTTTTATGAATATTTTTTGAAATAAAACAAAAATAGTTCATAATTTATTGACATTTCTACCGTAAAGGATTATGGTACGAACATTGAGAGTGCTATATATTACATTCCCGGGCAAGTTTATTGAGCTTGCCGTAGGTGGAGTAGAATAAATCCCAGAAGGCCATCCGACTGTTGAAGATCCTGTGTTCCAGCTTGAGGTCAGTGTCGATAACCAGATACGGTCTGGTCTCCTCTGACACCGGCTCCCATGTCACAGATATCAGATCCGTCGTCTGTGGTGTAGGATTCCTGGAAACGCGAATATAATTATAAACAATGGTCGCTCACGGTCATTATGAATGTTTTGAAATTAAAAAAAAATGTTGATTTAAACTTACCCGTATTTGACAAAGTTTGCCCAAAGGGTAGTAATACGGTTACTAATCAGTCGATCTTCTTCCGCTGCTTCATCGTTTGCATTTGAATCCGGAAAGAGATATGCAATTTCTGCTGAATGCGAAGCATCTTCCCCGTTAAACCCGTAGCTAAATTCATAATTATACACAGGATTAGCATTTTCATTTAACAAGTTTGTAATAGTACGTTGCGTTGGATGATTATGTATAAAATCCGATTCAAAGTCTTCTAATTGGGCAATTACATCTGACGATATTGGTTTATCGCCAATATAAAAGCGTCTTACAATGCCTGCGGCTTGAGCGAGTTGTTCTTCGTCGAGATTAAAATTATCTCGAAGTTTTTCGTAAAAAGGATCCTTCTTGAAGTATTCATTACCTTGCATTTCGACTGAACCTTTCTCCTCCTTGCTAGTGTGTCCAATTAGTACGGGAGTATTTCTGATTTTCCTTTCATTAGAAAGAGTAAAAGGATCGGTTTCGACAAAATTCACTACGCTACTAAAAGATTTTTCTTTGCACGGACCTAGTTTAAGATTAATATCAGTCGCGGCGGCTGTAACTATATGAGGTGATGAGCTTGTGAGGAACGTCAGCGCTTCTGTATTGCTAGAAGTGTTCAGTCCGAGATGTGCTGCCAGTTTTATAGCTGCATCTAAATCACTGTTTACGAACATGCCTTCGCTTTGAGGCGTACCACTCTCTACGATAGCTTTATTAAAGAGTTTTTCATTGTCTGAATATAAATGTAGTAAAACTGAAGTAGCTCCAGCATTTTGGCCACCGATAGTAACGTTGTAAGGGTTACCTCCGAATGCTCCGATGTTACGTCTGATCCATCGCAACGCCGTGTATTGGTCTTTGAATCCCTGGTTACCAGTAATGTAAGGGTCATCAAGACACATGAATCCATATGGTCCGAGACGATAGTTTATTGTAACTACAATAATTCCTTGCTTAACTAGGTCATGTGCGTCGTATTCTCCGCCACTGCCGGATGTGTATTGGCCCCCGTGTATCCATACAAGCACGGGTAATGGGTTAAACATGCCCGCAGCTATAGGCACGTAGATGTTCAGGTAGAGACAGTCCAATTGACCTATTTCTCGTTTAGTCCCACTGGCGGAAGACGTCAGCGATTGAGGACATTTGATTGTGGCGTCGTCGGCGTCAAATATTTCTTCTTCGAAAGCCGCGGGTGACACCGCCGGCTGAAATAAGCAAAATAATATAAATCATTACTGCTTTCTGGGTGAGTGTTGGGTAAGGTTAACGTTTTAAAGGTTGGAGAGATATTATGATTTTTATTACAATACTAAGAGCAAAATGTATAGAAATCAATAACTTTGAATATAATGTCTTAATCAGACTAGCTTCAAGTACTGTCATTGAAAAGTGTACTTACCCCGAAAGGATTGCTGGAGTCGACCTGGGCATATGGTATACCAAGAAACGCCGAATAAACGTTATCCTTTGACTTCCGGCCCCGCACTAGACCTTGCTCAATGAGAACGAGAGGGTCAACACGAAAGTTCGCACTGTCAACATAATTTGCCGCACAGAGAACACACAGGAGCCAAAGGAACTTCATTTTGAAATTTCCATATATTACGTAATGAGTCGAATCTCCAATCTATCAGTAACACTTAACGACTGGCGTTAGTGAACTATGTGTCGGGTTTAAGTGCCGGATATTTTATCTCAACGAGATGGACTTCCATGGCCCTTATCTGTCAGGAGTCTGAAGTATACGATACAAGCTTGATGTTATCAAAGATATCATTTGACAAATGCATGCAGATACAACAATATTATGACGTATTTAACATTATTCTATAGAATTACATTCGATATTTGTTAGATAAGAAATGTTAATTATGGTCAATATTAAATCTACAAATATTTTTCATCCAATACATGACATGAATTATCTCAAGGACAAAATAATAACCATAATATTAAACTGATATATAAACACGGCTAAACACTCACGTATATTCGTCCGGTGGCGGCACCGACTAGTTTCGAGCCTATCGGGGGCCCTTCATCAGGATGAGTGGTACTGGTACTATTTCGCGGACGCGGCCCGTCGCTCACTTATTATATATATCAGTTTAGTATAATGTCTCACGAAAGTTTGAATAATTTAACCATAATATTCTAATGATTCTTCTGCATTTTTACCGTTTTAGCGAATAAACAATAATAAGTCAAAACTAGGATAAATTATCTTTTTCTTGCAGCTCTACTTCTTTGTGTGGGCTTGCTGCTGGGAGTATGGGTGTTGTACGGCCTGGGGAAACTGATCATGTCAAGGATCAGACGGACCGGCAAGTTGCGTTACGGTGACAAAGAATTAGCCATGCAACAGAGGCTTCGGGCACTTGACACGTTTAGAGGGTGAGTGCATGGCGATAAAGTTCCTACATTTGCAGTCTCATTTGCTATTGACGATTCTGATAGATTTTTGTATCCATTTTATGGACTTTTTGTAAAGATTATTACTATCTTCGTAGGATTGCTATAGTGTTCATGATCTTCGTGAACGATGGCGCTGGCGGCTATTGGTGGTTGGAGCACGCGACCTGGAATGGTCTTGCAGCTGGTGACCTGGTCTTCCCTGCTTTCCTCTGGATTATGGGCGTCTGCATCCCGCTCTCCGTCAAGAGCGCTTTCGCTAAAGGCATACCTAGATGGAAGATCGTACTTCAAATACTTAGGGTGAGTGAAGTAATAAGTTTTTTCTTCCATAGCCATTTTTTATCAGAAGCGAGTGTTTTATTTTAATAAGAACTAATTTAAGATATTTTGGAGTCGTTTTCCAGGGTGAGTGCGCCTTGCACTGGGTTCATGATAACAATTAAAATGATCTAAGAACCAGTACAGAACTATAATGAATTACTTAGTACTAAAGATATTTACATACCAGCTTTGTTATATATTGCTCTTAAATATTTGTTATCATTACATATGTATTCGACAAGTTATCACAAATGGTATTCCATTTCTTATCAATAACAATATTGGTAGATATGTTGGTTTCTAAGCGGGAACACAATTATTAAGTTTTTAAACTTCATTCGAGAATCAAGGAATTCGGACTACATTTTTGTCATTGTGATTTTAACAGCTTTGTCTTCAACCAATTTAAACTTACACAAAATGTCTGTATGCAATCTGAAAGTTATTAAGAGCTGTTTAAAAAAAATGTTTCTGACATTTAAAATACAAAGTTGCAAGATGGCTTACGTAAAAGCCGGTACAGGCTGGTGTTGGCGACTGGTCCTCGTTGCGCCGGGTCGGCTGCTGCCAAACCTGTATTGTTGCTGAGTTACTTACGAATATCGGGATTCATTCGACGATCAAGGCTTATTCGCTTCAACAGTTTGTCATATTTCATAACGTATTGTCGATTCTTTATGAGCATAAAAATATTATATTGTAAAAGAATATAAAACACTCCTTACCAATATTATAAATACGAATGTTTAGACGAATTGATGTTTGTTATTACGTAAGTCTAGAACGGCTTAACGGATCGTGGTGAAATTTGGAATAGAGATATATTACAGCCTGGAATGACGCATAGGCTAAGTTTTTTTAATATCGCGCTGGCCAGCTAGTATGTACAAAAAGCCAATCAGTAACGCACTCTTAAATTTTGACTTGTCTAAGACATTGAAGAAATAATTGGCTAGCGTATACCATCTTTTTGCATAGAACTTAAACGCCAAATAATTCTAAAATGATTATTCTCTAACTATCTTGTTACATATTAACTAATGAAGTAATGTTCCATCATTATCGGGGAAACGTCGGAGAGAGCTACACGATCTGCGATGGCACGCAAGCGAGGAATTTCTAATGAACTATTCCGCATAAGACAAGCTCACTTGAATTATTTATCAACACATTGTTTATGTCCGAAGTGAATGTGACAGATGCGATCCGAGTGCATCAGGGAAGTGGCTCATGTAACTAGTGAAAGTGACCAGAGAACAAACTGTAACGGAATTTTAACACAAATGCAATGTTATATCTATAAATATAAAGTAAAACATCTGATTAATGTAATACTAAAGGAAGTAGTAATTGATTTCGATAGTCGACATTGTTGCAAAAGATAGCGTGTTATAATTTTTTGCAACCCTACACGTTGGTGCTTATTTGGCAAAGTAATTTGCCTCAAATCCATTATCTTAAAGAAGAGTTTGGTTTGGTTAAGTAATGTAGATACGGTTTTCATTTTTCAACTATTCTAGATTAGCTGTTGCTCGCGACTGTGTCCGTGCGGAATTAAAAAAAGATTAGTAGCCTATGTATTCTTATAGACTACGCTCTACTATGTAAAATTTCGGAAATCCGTTGAACCCGCGGCCTTAAATTTGTTTAATTTCTATTTTACAGCGTTCGATAGTGATGTTCATACTGGGTGTATCTCTCAACACGATCTATGGATCCAACATGCTGGGCGAACTACGTGTGATGGGCGTGCTGCAACGGCTGGCTGTTGCTTACCTCGTCGCTGCGGGCTTCTACGCCCTCACCGCGCCTAAATATTATACACCGCCACGGGTAAGATCACACCCTGATAGGTCCTTTTTTCACTAAGCGATTAGTCTCGTTATTGCCATTTCTAATTTAGTCATATTAATAGCATTTGCGGTAGTAGAAGACTTGATAAAATAATTTAATTCTTTAAAATGTTATTGATGTCAGAATTTGGTGTTGTTGTTTATATTGCATCGTAATTTTTAATTAGATTTATATCTTTCAAATATTGTAAAGTAGCTAACGTTAGTTAATAGACGAACCTCGATTTGCAATTTTTACTAACCTCCGGTTTCTGAGACCAATATTCTGTATAACTGTTTAGGCGTTTCGTTGCTCGTTTGCCCCCTTCTCCCATAAAAAAATAAATAAAACAAATCCTTATACCTGTCATACCTTTGGCAAAATAGAAATAAACCTGTTTGAAGCGTCGATTTTGATCTCACAAACCAACAGTAAATAGGTCACAATGCAAGGGTTAAATTTGTTGAAGATGCACTCGATCATAATATTCTTATTATAGACATTGTACAGTTTCCAATGGAGCGGATGTATTGTATTAAGACAGGATAATTTCATTTACACAAGATTATTTAAGTGTCGTTTTCCTGTTTGTTAAGAATTGTATTCGTGATAACAAGGTTATATACTTCTCTTGTTTCAAACGATCAAACCTATCTTTATAAACTTTTATAAACTTATATTTATAAACTTTATACAAAACCATAAGCATTTTTATTTAAAAAATAAAAATAGAATTTTTTGTTTAATCAACAAATTCCTGCGTATGGCAATAATGCATATTTGTTTTGTAATTTGGATCATGAGGTAGGTTAGATAGTTTTGACCAGTTCCACGTAGAAAGTACTTATATCTAGTATTGTTATGTGTCAGGGCGCGTGCGGGCAAGCGCTCAAAGACCTGATGTCCTGCATCTGGTGCTGGGTGCTGGCTGCCGTGTTGGTGGCCGCGCATACCGCAATCACCTTCATTGTCCATCACCCGGATTGTCCTGCGTAAGTTTATAGCGATCTCCACATCTTAATATAAGTTCATCCTGTCAGAAACCTTTTAGTCCTCGACTATACTCTATTACGTCCTTTGACTATGTAATTATGGATATCTTCCTAATTAAACCAACGTCATTTACTCCATCAAAATCGGGTGGCAATTTACTTTGAAAAAATTGTATTATGACATGAGTAGTAGGTTGCCTGATAAAGTAAATTTAACTGTTGCAGGGGCTACTTGGGGCCGGGCGGCAAGCATGACGAGTGGGCGGCGCCGGAGTGCGGGGGCGGTGCTGCAGGATACCTCGACCGTCTGCTCTTAGGCGACGCCCATCTGTATCAGAACAGCGACGCGCGCCACGTCTATGGCGGACCTCCTACAGACCCTGAGGGATTACTCGGTATATTTTCGCATTCAAAGTTGTCTTTATAAAGAAAGGTTAATAGTGCATTCTTTTCTTTTTTTTAAGGAATTAAAATTGTTGGTTTTGATATTGTTGGGCAGGTTGCCTGACGTCGGCGGTGCAGGCGCTACTGGGCGTGCAGGCGGGCGCCACGGTTCTCCTGCAGCGCGCGCACCGCGCCCGCGTCTCGCGCTGGCTGGCCTGCGCACTCGCTCTCGCCCTCGCCGGCGCCCTGCTGGCCGGATTCTCGCGCGACCACGGCGTCCTGCCCATCAACAAGAACCTCTGGTGGGTATGACTTGGGTCTGTAACAGTACCAGCAAAGAGCAGATACCGTTATTAACAATGTAACACATTACAGGTCGATGTCGTTCGTGCTGGTGACGTCGGCTTGCTCGCTGACGCTGCTGAGCATCTGCTACACGTTCACTGACGCGTGGCGGCTGTGGGGCGGAGCACCCTTCCGCGCCCCAGGACTCAACGCCATCGCGCTCTACGTGGGCCACTCGCTGTGCGCCCACCTGTTCCCCTTTCACTGGCGCGTGCCCCTCATGCGGACGCACGCGGTGCGCCTCGCCGAGGCGGTGTGGGGCACCGCGCTGTGGGTCATCATCGCCCACGTCATGGCCAAGAAGAAAGTGTTCATAACCCTCTGAGAATACGCCTCATTCGACTCCGCGTTGGCCGTCAACATAGCGGAGTACGAGCTGTTCAACAACGCGCGCGTGCGCGACGTGCGGCGCGAGACTGACATAGTGCGGCTGCGCGCGCGCACGCCCGACGCTCGCCACATCCCGCCGCGCTCGCCCCTCTGCACCCCCCTGCTGCCGCACCGGCGCAACCGCAACGTCGTGTCTCTCTAGTTAACTGATACTATTTACAGTATACTTTATTGAGGTTATCAAGTAGATCGACAAGTGTGGATATGACTTTTAGCTCAGATTTGAACCCTTTCATACACAATTTTTTACGAGAAAATGACGTTTAGAGTTTTTTAAGCATAGCTTTCGTGGACTTTTTTATCCTGTCCACGTGTTTGAAGTGCCGTTAAATATATTTTATATGTACTTTTTATATCTAGAATTTATAAGTATAGTTACATATGTTTAAGAATCGTCTGTATGTCACGATAAAATGTAATTTCTGATATGAGTTTTTGTAGACATAAAATAATGCTCAAAAATAACGATGCCTTTGAAAGTTTGTACATTTATGTCCGTGTGAGTTTGAGAACATAATCAAATCTAGTCTCGTTCAGAGCTAAGTAATGAATTCTACTTTTTACATTGTGTAAAAGTATAGAGTTTAAGGTTATTGCTGTGTTGCATTAGAAATAAATGTTTTATATAGAAAATGTTGTTTAAATGAATGTCAATGGCAAAAGTTGCCATGTTTAAGCATTGGAAATGGATTAATAATGAAACAACCAATATACGATTTATCTCGTTTTATTAGCTCAAGGGTGACACAGTAATATCCGCATTGTCATTGGAAAATAATAATAAAACAAACGATTTAACAAATCATGACTCAAGGTAACAGCGAATAGTTTTAACAAATAAAACTATTAATAAAAATACACTTCATATTTAACATAACAAAACTATTGTGGGCGCGGCGCGTCCACATTACACCTTACGTCAGCGATTGTTTAAAGCGAGGTTATACGTCTACAGACATTCAACTCAACAGAATAACCCCGCTTATACATTGTCACCCAATATGTGTCTCATACATTAATGTATGAATAAATGTAAGTTTGGCATTTAACACGTTGAGTGCCACGCATATTTCTAAGACAATCCCGTTCAGGCCACGAGCCGCTTATACGCACTGGTATTAAAGGGCCGGTGTTGCCAGTACAAAAATTGTTTACATTTTTAACGTTTTACCTATAGGTTTTGTTACAACACGTTACGCGCCAAGTCTGTTTTGTTTTTCTTACCGCTTAGGCCGCTCAGATAAAATTTCTTTTAATAAAAAAAATAATTCAGATAAGGTTAATTTTATAATTCTCATGTTACACGCTGTCAGCCACCGATGGTAGACGCGACCTAAACAGAAAATCTAGTGTCAGCCACCGATGGCTGACGTGGCCGTTCAACGTGTTAACATAACTTATATTATGTCCAAATAGTAATAACACTCAAGTCGCGACGGAAAGATATTTTTATATTAATTCCATAATTTAATAAACTACTTTAGTTCCTTCATATAAGTCGTTTTTCATATAAATCACTCTTGTAGACGGTAAATGCCATATTAGGAATTAAATATATTAACTACGCGTTAAATACTTTTTAAATATATAACAGTTACAAATAGCACATGATAATTTGCCTTTTTCTCTAATCTATCCCCGATTCTTATATATTAGTACAGTCAACAAAGAAAAACAGGCACGCTTTGAAATTTCGACATTATATCTTTTATAATTTGTATATAAATATAATTAAACACTAATTTATAGAACTAACTTGTATAGCGATAGACACATAAAACAGTGTTTATACATTTCTAAATTTCTTTTTATTAGAAAAAATCTCTTAAAATATATCAATAAATTCTTTTAGCCGCTTCATAGAGCGTTATTGAAATACAAGATATATTCCAGCGATGATATAAATATAACATTTACTTATCACTAAATAGGAAGAACTTTAAATGATTTAAAAAAGAGAAGGTTGTAATTGCACACACATAGTAAAAACTATAGCGAACGCTGTCCGATGCCGAACTACACGCGTCTGCTACCCCAAACAAATTAAATATAATTTATTATATTAACATAGATCAATAAACAAGAATATAGCAAACAATTTCCTACATAGAAATGGTAATTGTTAGTTTTATTATATATATATTAGAATAACATATAAGTACTCGAGCTCACTTTAAGTCACTCGCATATAAAAATGGAATGTTCAATACGACAGAATGTTAGTGGACATAGCAACGTATCGCGACTGCGCCTCAGACTGTAGCTAACACTGGAGCGAAGAAGAAACTGTGAGATTCAGTTCACTTTAGCAATAGGAGTAGAGACTACGACTCACAAACAGAGTCTTAGATGAAGTCATGGTTCCTTGAAAAACTAAGAACATCGGCTCTAGTTAGTTGCTCGTTGCACCACAAATATAATTTAATATTCTTATAAAATTTAATAAATAGCATATATTTTTTTTAGTAAAGTTATGGTCAATATAAAGTATTTTTTTTTAGTAAAAGGCATGCCGTTATTTGTACTTGTCGATGTAAACAGCGCAGTACGAACCGAATGTGTGAGAAGTGGCCGCCCGCCGCGCCCTCGCCGCTCACCTCGCTACGTAGAGACTAGACGTCAACGATACAAGAATCGTTTTCCATTGACAATTGGTCATTTATAAGTCCGCTATTGGATGCACACATCTTACTTTACTCTTAAATAAATGATAAAAATCTCTAGGACGATACACATTTCGCTATAAATGCAAATTCATGGAATTCAAAATTAACCGGTAAGACGCGAACGGCGCGCGCCTTACATATTATGCTAAGTCCCCGAGCGGCCGCCGCGCGCTGCCCCCGCGCTCTGCCCCCGCGGGCCGCTACAGAGATAACGAAAATTCATTAAGTAGTTTAGTCACATGCCTTTTCCTTCAATTAAAAATCGATATCGGATCATTAGGCCAGTTATAATAAAATGGTTAACAATATATAAAACATCTCAGTACATTTATTATGAAGTAAATGCGGGCCGCCCGTGAGCGCCGCGCATACCGACGTATGCCGTGGGTAACGATTGTAATCCTTAAATTAATTGCATATTTTAATAAAAACACGCATAAACTAATGCCTAAATTGAGACGCCTCTGCAGCGTACAATATATATTACGAGATTTCAAACAACACGCGTAGACAACTATAATAAGAGCCCAATACGACGTAGGGAGGGCCGATGATCATCGATGTTTTATGCAGATAATTTCGATTTTAACTTCTATGATAGTAATGACGTCACGATCGATATCGAATAAAACTGCAATTCAAATTATTAAATTCCAATATCATTTATAAAAATACATTACCACTATTTATTATTTAAATATATCGATATTAAACCATCGACAATGTGTTAACATCGATCGAGCATCGGCCTTCCCTATTGCAGTTCCCTGTGAGCGCTCCCACGCGCGGGCGTCGTTGTGGATGTAACCTAAGGGTGGCACTTCACAGTCAGGAAACCATTAAACAATGTGGGGATGAACCACGACGTGTCATCCAGCACCACGGAGTACCTTCCTAACGAATACAGTGAGCAACCATTCGTACCTTCCTTCTCTTTGAATACTACTTACGTTACTTCGTATAATTGTAAATTACATCCAAAATATACATTAAAATATACACTCCGAAATAGGGACAGTGTCGTTGTTTATATTTTATACTATATATTTATTTAAACGTGGGAATGTTAAGTGATTTGATTCACACAATTTTATATAGAAAAGTTTATCAGATCGCAAGCCAGACAGATGTCGACTGAATGTATCGTTTGTACTAAAAATAATTGAAGCAAAGGCATTAGACACAAACATAATGAAAAAGATAAAATATGAAATTGAAACATCGCTAATTATTCAACAGAATGGAATAAAATAGACTCTACAATATCAATTATAAAAGTTAAAAATATGGACACATTTTTAATTGAATACAAATGATAGAACTCGTATCTCCCGAGCTTGCGGTCTGATGGAATCATAACACTACAAGACAAATACGTGTAAAAATATTTTGTCTAATGTTGTTTAGTGTGAGGTCCGCCTCGCTAAGTCCCCGGCCGGTGGCTGGTGGTGAGGTCACTTCCTGGCGGTGCGCGTCACTAGCGCCTGCAGCGCCGCCAGCTGGCTCAGGAGACTCGCGTTCTTCTGCTCTAATGTCTCTACCCTCTTTCTGTAATCTGAGTTCTCTGACACTAATATTTCGACCTTCCTCTCCAGCTGGTCCATGTATTCTTTCTTCTTGCGTCTACTTTCTTGTGCAGATATCTGTAAATATTACAAATAATTAACGGACTCATTTGACGACAGAAATGTCAAATTTTAAATCTATATTTCACGTTACACAGCAGTGGAATTTAGTGTCAAAATAATGAAATGAGAAAAACTATAATTGACCTTGTTTTTGATTTTCCTCCTGATCTTTTTGAGGGACTTCTCCTCGGCCTTGGTGAGGGGTAGGCGCGTGGGCACCGGGTAGCCCTCCGCTAGCAATGTGCGCTTCTCTTCTTCCGTCAGCACTAGGGTTCCAGTTGACCCTTTCTGTAACAGAGCATTTTAAGCAGATTAATTTGACGCTTAAGTTTTCGCTATGGTCAAAGTGTGTAGTAAGACATTTTAATGCAACTTTTTAGGCCTCAGTATATTACCGGCTGTGAGCTGATCAGTGGCGTGTTGATAGGTTGCCGCGAGTGCTGTGAGTGCTGGGAGACGTAAAGGTGTGCGCGGCGCGTGGGCGCAGCTGGCGCAGGCGGTGCGGGCTCGTGCGCCGGCGACAGCGCGCCCTCGCTGTCCGACGATGAGAGCGACGACGGCGGTGTGGGCGGCAGATTGAAACCTACATACATAATAACACTATTTAGTATTTAAATGTTGCACTTAAAGTTGTTTAAGGGATCCTTAGGGTGGCAGTAAATATGTGAGAATAACTAATAAAAGCTGAACAATTTAAATATTAATTGGAAAAGTTATGGATTAATTACAATTACTGTACGTCTCAAAAGACCTACTCAAAATGCGGAAACAACGAGTGTATGAACGCCGTTAAGCGATAGTCATCAGTTTTTACTAAACTATTATTAGCTAGCTTGTATTATGTTCTGTTTGATGTGTTGGTCGTCAGCTCGAGTTGTACCTGAGGTGCCGGAGCTGGAGGTGACCTTGATGGATAGCTTGTTGGATGAGAGTGAGCCGGCAATGCGCGGCGCGGCACTCAACAGCAGCTGGGGGACGCCCGCCGCGCCCACCTGCTGCAGTACTGCTTGCGGCATGTGGATAGTGCCCGTCTGCAACAACAAACAAATAAATCTTACATTGAATTGAGCTTAATATTTCAAAAGGTACCCTTTGTTGTTGTTATTCTTATAATTATTATTACAAATATTAATATATCTTTAAGGAAGTTCCTAGATGTGATATGGTTGTCGATGAAAAACAAATTAGACGAACATTCTAAATTAACATATTCACGTAAATAATTCGTGTAAAATTGTTTAGATAAGATTATCATGTTGAGCGGTACGAACTCGGGTGACCTTTTATTTTTCTGTCCAGTCATTGCATACAGCCGGCAGCAGTGAGGAAGCGCGCCTTTAGAAATACTCTTACAAGTGGAGAGGATGATTAATGTAACGGTGAGCAAGTAATGAGAAATTCTTTATATACATTTGTATACCACACTGTATTGATTCGTTGATGAGCTGTTTTCTAATAGAAACGACTAACAAGCCAGTAACTTGGTATGTGATCAGAAGGGGATTTTTTTTTAAATAAAATTAAACTAAATTAACAACCGAGTCATTAAGTATACAAAACGAACCTATTTATTTAGAATCTTTTAATTAACTACGAAGAAAATCCTTAGAATACTCTTCTTGGTTTATACGGTAAAGAAATGTGAATTGCCATAAGTATTTTTGCACGGCCGTTTCAAGCTTTTAAAGAATTCGCAAAGAGTTTGCATATCAATCACTTAAAGAATCTAAAACGTGTATTGGATCTTGGTTTAAACAGATATAATTATAACAGTGGTAGAGCCTGCTTTAACATCTTCGCACGAATTGGCCCGGTTCGCTCTATGAAATACCACGACCACCGCGTTTCGTCTGATGAGTGTGCGGCCCGGAGGCCTAATTTAGTCCTGTTTCCCTTCCCACCTTTTTTCTTATAAGGTAAGGATGGGAAGGTAAGTGGACTTTCCGGATGAGAGGATGAATATATTTTCTTTATGTGCATCCTCTCCTCCGTCGATTAAAGGTAGGCAAGGCATATGCAATTGCGTATGTCAATGGGCAACGGTTTCTTCGCTATATCAGCGATTTAAGGTGGCCGCTCGTTCGTTTGCCATCTTATGATATATAAAAAAAAAGAAATATTAATAAGAGAAGTACATAAGGAATTTTAGGTTAGATACTATTACTTTAACTACAAGTAAACAATTCCTTGTTTATTAAGTAAGATTGAAAGACGTAGAATTGCAAGTATAGAATTCGTGTTCGTGACTTTACCAAGAAAAATATCTCATTGTCTTCTATACAGTTATTTAACAAAGAGAACAATTATTAAATAGGTATTTGCTTAGTACATGAAACACGACTTCAAACCCAATAATGATTTATTCATTAGATATATTGATGTCATTAGCGTACAAGTATAGTATCAAGCGTTTAATTGGCAAGTCAAGACTTCAAGCTTCTTCTGCCCGACAGCATAGAAGGCAGCTCTTTGTAATAATACTAGCTGTCGCCTGCGACTCCGTCCTCGTGACAAAAAACTTAATTAGTGTAGCCCACCCATCCATCCATTCACATCACATCCATCCAAACATCTTCAAGGCATAAATTGGAAAAAAAATAGTATCTTATGTCCATCTCTTGGCTCTAAGCTCGGTAGGTAGGGTTTATGGGGTTTTGATTTAAGATTTAGTAATTTCTTACTAAGTAATCTTTCGATTGGATCAAGCTTTTCATAAAACATCACAAAAACACACAAAAACGTATAAGATAATTGCATACTAAACAAGGTTGATCGTTCGTTTACAGTATAAGGATGTTACCGTGTGGTCAATGACGTAGTCGAGGTGTGTGAGGGACGCAGACGTGGGCGTTGGCGTTGGCGAGGGCGAGGGCGGGCAGGAGGAGGCGGGCGATTCGGGCTCCGACTTGGGCTCGGCCTTCACTAGCGGAGAGCTGGAGCGCCGCCGGCTGCGCCACGCACTGGCCGGGATCGCGGGGTAGCACTCGTCTTCCATGTCTGAAACGAAAGAGCATTTATTATAGTGTGTCTATTTAAGATAGATTAGTTTGACAACTTATTTGACAATTCACTAGAGATGGGTAGATTTAAATCGGTTATAAAAATTTTCGATTTTCAATGTTTGTTCTCATAGACCTTGCAATCGAAAATTACGTAATTATTGTTTTTGAATCATGATATAAATTAAAATGTTTCTTTTTTTTTATATCATATGGTGGAAAACGAGCGAGCGGCCACCTGAAATAGCGAAGTGACCGTTGCCCATAGACATACGCAATTGCATTCTTGCATGCATTCTTTTTATGCCAACTTTATATTTCAAAATAACGTAGAAAAATAAAATCTTAAACCAGAAATTGCGCGAGCTATAGCTAAAACATTGTCAGAAGAAATTACCAAAAACTTTTCTACGATTACAACTTTCTAATTATACAAAAAAGAAATTAAATCTCAATCAAAGGCTGTAAAATACAGACAGGAAGAACACATAGGCTATTAAAAAAGTATTTTTTAATTCCGAGCGGACGAAGTCGCGGACAAAAGCTATTTGAAATAAATTTATGATAGTAAATGGGCTAATAGCTAAACAAGTTCTTAATATTTCCTAATATCCGTGTATATGCACAGAACAGTTAACAATAACCAAGTCTAATGCATTCAACACACTCCTGTTTTAGTATTCAATGACGCAAACTTAATCTATACTTAGCTTTAATGATCAAATTATTTTAAGACATGAAATAACCATAAGGTAAAATAATATATTCTCTTTCCATATTAGTTTAGCAGAAAACATGAGCTATAAAGTTTAACTACAACTTCAACGGTAAACGATTCTTCATTATTTAACTAAGAAGATATATAATATTATATTGTTTTGTAAATTAATGTACGCTTGGTTCCTTATATCTGTATAAAACATATCCTTATCCTTCTCATTATCTTTGACAAAACAATATTATTTTTTGGTATATCATAAGGTGGCAAACGAGCGAGCAGCCACCGTTGCCCATAGACATACGCAATTGCATATCTGTTGCCTACCTATAATCGACGGAGGAGAGGATGCACAGAAGAAAATATTTCCATCCATCCTCTCATTCGGAAAGTCCACTTCCATTTCCCCATCCTCTCCTTACCCTTTTTCTTAAAAAAGGGTGGGAAGGGAAAGAGGACTAAGTTAGGCCTCCTGGACTCATCCTCATCAGACGAAACGAGGAATTTCTTCCACTTCACGCCTGTCTTCTGTGTGGTTGTGGTATTTCACCGAGCAAGCCGGGCCAATTCGTGCCAAGATGTTAAAGCGGGCTCTACCACTGCTAAATCCTAATGTATAAATAATATGTTTTAGAATGGGATTTTCGTCTCAGAAACTCACAGTATTGGTAACTTCGCCCATCACATAGGCATTTATTATTTTGAGTTAGTATTTCAAAGTTACTTTGTCAGATAAAGGTTAGATTAATCAGGATGTAAACTGTTTTTCTTGTTTTAGAAATAGGTACTTAATATGTCCAGCGAATTGATAATTTATACCTAAATTAATATGTGATGATACCGCCTTTAAAATACGGCACACTTTAGATATATAAATTGTTTATTGACAACGAATTAATTCAACATTCATGAATAATTAAAACATTAAAATAACCGTCTTGTTAAATATGCTAATAATACGGACTGAGAGTTGCTTAGATTGTCACAACAAAAATAAAAAATCGTAAAAAAAAAACATTTTTGCAAAAGAAATAGATAAAACAAAAGAAGCGGGGTGGAATGTTCTGTAAATATTTTCATACGTTTTATAACCTGCATGGAATAGCAACTCTAAATTAAATATAACAGTTAAATTGTAATGATTACCGTTAGTTACGCGGGCGGAATAATAAATAAGAAGGAAATTTGGACTCGAATACATTAAGGGCTACAAAAAAGGTATTTTTTTTATGTCACAAGCATTTCTGGTGCATTTCAATAAGCTTTCTAATTTAATTATTGAATATTTATAATCGTATAATTAAAACATTAAACAAAGTATTGTTTTTTTTATTAGTTCTGACAGTTTTGAAACATTTAATTCCGATATCAATATGTTTTTTGAAACTGAAAAGTTAGCGCCTTGTTAATTTTAATAGTTGAATAAAATTTAAATTCAAAAGTCTTAATAAAGGACGATAACAATAAACATAGGCATGAAGACACTGAAAATAATTTACATTTGTAAAGCAAAAAATGTAGTAAAAATTGTAAAGAATTAATTCCTATTATAACAGTTTGTAAAAGCCTGTTGTAATAAATGTTATCAATAGAAAATATTTTAGTACAAGTAATGCTTTATACAATAGAAGATATCTGCATTTATATTCAACCAGAGTCCCATAGTTATCGATATTAGCATAACTACGTTTGTAAAACGAACATATCAATATAACCTATTAATATTCAAATAAGGCCGTCATTCGCCTCTTTCCCGTTGTCGTAAAATTATAGTCTCAATATAGTTGTCGTGCACATATTTTCTACACTAATATAAAAAGGAAAGATTTGTTTGTTTGCTCCGAAACTACTGTTGTGATTTGAGAATTTCTTTCACTTTGGCGACAGGTTTTATTGCTAATAAGCTATCGCCCCCGACTACATCCACGCGGAAAGAAAAAACTTAATTAGTAGCATGTGTTCTTCCAGACAATATTTTATTTTTATAAGAGAAGGGGGCAAAAAAGCGGCGAGAACACCAAGGTGATCAACGACACCCATGGACATCTGCAACACCAGAGGAACTGCAGATGCGTTGCCGGCCTTTAAGGAAATGGTATGCTCGCTTCTAAGAGGTCCCTAAGTCTATATCATAATTCAAATATAGCATATCTGAAATTTAAACTTGACGGACCTGGTCAAGGTTGCGGGAGTGCACTGGATGCGAGCGGCACAGGACCGGGCATTGTGGCAATCGATGGGGGAGGCCTACGTCTAGCAGTGGATGAATTTAGACTGATGATGATGATGATTAGCGTCAAAAAGAACGGCTAGATGTATTAATTTTACAATTCGATATGTACGATTAAAATCTTTTAATAACTCAGATAGATATTTTTGATTATTTGTACTAATCGATATATCTGAGTATTCGTGAATTTGTGTAGACGGCTGACATTTACATGTTAACATGAGTCAACATCGGCTCACAAGAATTCCTTTCACCGAAACCGAACGCGGATTGTCGGCAACGTTTTATTTAAACATACGATCAAACGGTAAACTTAGATAAATACTTTTACAACAATATTATATAAACTATTTATTAATTAACTATGCGGAATATTTTCTACGTTTAATGTTTAACATTCTTTTGACTTTTAACTCTTAACTTGGACTTGTGACTTGAACTCTATAGACCCGTTAAGTCAAGTCAAATTGAAATCAAATTCAAGCGACTGATATTTACACTTTTGCATATAAAGAACACGAATGATAAAATTACAATAAAATTAAATGCAATTTGTGGCAAGAACAAAGCTATACTTTCTGAATAGATAGTCAAACCTTAAGTTACTGTAGAGTTCGGCTTAACAAAGTTTTAAGTCAACGTAAACCGAGCTGACTAATTTACCTTCGATATTTTAAGATTCATTTAAATTAGTCCGAAAAAAAAAACTAAAATCATTTTGCTCCCTGACCTAACTTAATCTAAATTGTGTCAAGTTTTTGTTTGTACACAAATAAAGGGAAGTTTACAAGTGACTTTGATTGTCTGTATAAGGTATCAATTGATAAATGCGCCTTGGTTATAAGGGCAAGGTAATTTCCCGTCCGACCTCATTGCTTTTTTACATCTCTACGATTTATACTCTCTTTATATTTCTTGAAATTAAACTCAGCCAGTAAACTCTATTCTATATAAACTCCACAGATTTTCTTGAAATTATATCATATTTCTCGTATGTGAACTCCTAAATTTATGTAAACATTTTAGAGGCAACAAACATTTCCTTTATATACTAGCTGTCGCCCACGACTCCGTTTGTGCGGAATTAAAAAAAGGTCTTACTAAGTATGCTATGTGTTCTTCCAGACTATGTTCTACATGTGTGTCAAATCTCATCAATATCCATTAAGCTGTTATGGAGATACCTTCTAACAAACATCCATCTATCTAAACTTTCGTATTTATAATATTAATAATAAAGTAAGATTAACACATGTTTAAGGATAGTCACTTCTTTGAAAGAAAAAGATAACACAATGTTTTTGTGTGGGAGTTAATTTCTGCAGTGGTAACCACCTTAAAAAAAATATTGCCTTATCAAGAACACAATCAGATGAGTGTGCGCTTTAGACACATGTGACAGATAACCTATCTAACTTCCTGGTTATTGTAATGCCCTATCGCCATGTTGAACACATTACTGATATTTAGAATAGACATATCGAAAATCTGTCTATTAAAATATACTTTTTTTATATCAAAAGGTGGCAAACGAGCTGAAATAACGAAGTGACTGCTGCCCATAGATATACGAAATTGCTTATGCGTTGCCTACCTTTAATCGACGGAGGAGAGGATACACAGAAAGAAAATATCTTCCCTTTCCATGCATCCTCACATCCGGAAAGTCCACTTCCACTTCCCATCCTTTCCTTATAAAGAAAAGGATAGGAAGGGAAAGAGGACTAAATTAGGCTCCGGGATACACACTCATCAAACGAAACGCGGAATTGCTTCCACTTGACGCCTGTCTTCTGTGTGGTCGTGGTATTGTACCGGGCGAGCCGGGCCGATTCGTGCGAAGATGTTAAAGCGGGCTCTGTTAAGTATTACTTATTATCTGTTCAATTTATTTTTAAACAGACAAAATATATATCTAAATCATAATTAATAAAAAGAAAATTAAAGATAGACTTATTTTATAATTTACGTATTTATAAACTTATATGAATATTCAAAAAATTTTTGTATAAAAATAAGCACATAAATTCAATGCCTACATCAAACATTTAGGATAAGCTTTCGTGTTATTGGCTAAGTAATACAAATGGTTTGATATCATTTTGTTTATGGTGGCCTCCTACGAATAAGATTATATTGAAACATTTTAACCAAAAAACAGATAACATACCCAAATGGACGCTAATGGAAAAATATTTGATTCTTTTCACTCTATTTCACATCTTACTAATATTATAAATGAAAATGTTTGTATGGATGGATGGATATTTGCTTGATGGTATCTCCAGAACGGCTATATGGATCTTGATGAAATTTGCAATAAATGTTCTACATAGTCTGGAAGAACACAAAGGTTACTATTTAACATTTTTTATACAGCGCGGACTGAGTCGCGAACGACAGCTAGTAGCATAATAATATTATTATTATTAATCGACTTCATAAATGAAGGATGCCTATATGTATTTTTTATATCTAATACCCTCATTTTCATAAAATACCTAGACTAAACAAATAAAGTTCATATTCGAAATTTAATTTTAATTATTAAGATCGCGACGAAAGGAAGTTTTGTGCGTTTCTTTATCTGTTGCTTTTTGTTAAAAAAACATGGATTTTAACTGCTAATGAACGTTTCATAGTTATCAATACGTACAAACCGTATACCATATCCACATTTTTGTGAACCCGCTGGACAAGTGCAAGTTGCACGGGTATTTATGCAGACCAGAATGACAACACTTTTTAAATAGCTCAACCACCATGGAATATTCTTTTTATAAATAACAATTTCAGTATAGCAATGAATAAAACTAAATGATACAAGTATAACACAGTTTCTTTGTTTTATTATTTGACTATATAATATGTTATGTAAAACTAGCTGATATATAAAAAAACTTAATTAGTGTAGCCTATGACTATGTTTTATAGGTATGCCAAATTTAATCGAGATCCGTTCAGCCGTTCTAGAGATGTCTTTAAACACCCATCCATCCACATCACATCCATCTAAACATTCGCATTTATAATATTAGTAAGTTAAATAAAATGGAATTTTTGAAGGCATAAATTCGAAAAAAATGAATATATAGTATCCTATGTTCGTCTCCTGGCTGTAAGCTACCTCCTCACCAACTTTCAGCCATATATGTAGGTAAAGCCGTTCTTGAGTTATAAATAATGTAACTAACACGACTTTTTTATATATAAAAGATGTGTAACGTTTTTTTACATAAGTAAATTGAAGCATCTTGCGGTATCTAAAAATGCTTTAAGTACTCACAGATGAGTAAGATTCGATAGTTAAAGATAACAAGGATTATGTTTACTTTACCGCACATATTCCGTATGCCTAAATAAGAAATAACCACGTGAAAGCATACTAGCTGTCGTCCGCGACTCCTTCTGCACGGATTTAAAAAACTGAGTAGCCTATGTGTTCTTTCAGACTATGATCTACATGCCAAATTTCATCGAGATCCGTTGAGCCGTATTGGAGATACATTTTAACAAACATCCATCTAAACATTCGCATTTATAATATTAGTAAGAATATTTTATCGAATCAATTAAAGAGAAAAACATTTATCTATGTTACAGATTAAGCAGGATTTGTATAACGTGACCGTATTTGCTTTTAATGCAAAAAATAAATTGCATAGATGCACGCAGCGCACGTACGTGAAAGATATAATAACATACATATAAACACGATTACGCACAAATTCATCTTATTGGACACATTTTATTTCAGCATTTGTTTTTATTACGCACTTTTAAATTGAAACAAAAAGTAAAATGTTATAAAGCAGTATAAGGCGTTTTTTAATGTTTTCTATTCCTGTTTTTTTAATTAATTTTACTATCTTCTTTTATATATTATTAGTACTTTTGGGTATATCTATATATATAAAAGAAAGTCGTGTTAGTTACACTATTTTTTTATGCTTTATGCCTTGAAGAGCTGCTTTTTATTTAACTTATTAATATTATAAATACTAATGTTTAGATGGATGTGATGTGGATGGATGGATGGGCGGGCTACACTAATTAAGGTTTTTTTATATATCCACGCGGACGGAGTCGCGGGCGACAGATAGTATGCAAATATTTGGAAGGTGTGACATGAGGGAAAATAGTACTTACTTTGTGGTAAAAATAAATCTGTATATTTTATAATTAATTGCAAAATGTCAATATGTTTATTAAATATCTTATATAAAGGTAAACAACTTTTTAATAATATTTTCGCACACTTGTCATGCATTTCATGTTTTTTTAATTTTTCCGTGTATAATAACATGAGTGCCGACTGTCGGAATCTTTGTCGGTTTTACCAGAAAGGGACGGAAACATTTTAGTACCAAAATATTGGCAGTGGAAGCCCACGGTTACTAGGTTGATCTGTTCTGTTCTGTTCTGTTTCTTGTTTATGGCTCTCCCTCATCGGATTGGGCCAATGTCAAGTGTTTCCTTACTAGGTTGATTTTATACATCATAGAGAAAGCTTTTACGACAAACAGAAGCGGAACTTCCAAAAATTATTTGATTGACATTGTGCGCGTATTTAGTATACAATGCAAGACGTGACTAGAAACTTCCTTCCTGTAGCTATAAAAAAGAATTGTAATTAAATTAAATCCTTATCAAAAAAAACCGATGTTAGTTTTACAAAATCTCACTCAGTATATACTAATTTACAAAACGTTGAAATTTCTGATTATAAAGTAACTTTGATTGGGATATGATCGTAAGTAGGCATCTGAACGTTTTAATTTACTTACAGTGAATTTGTGAGAGCAAAATCTCTGTTTAAAACGCATGTTTTGTCTAAGATATGTGAACATTCTTTAGCTGATTCACAGATGTTTTGTCATGCTTCACGATGTGTTTTCTTTTTCAAAACACATGTATTGACATCCCACTCATTTTCTTCTAAACAAACAAAGACAAATATATGTTACGGTAAATCAAAAGCGTTAGTTGTCAGCTTACCATCGACTTTAGTGTGGTGTGGCGAAGGCGGGGCGGACTCTCCGTCGGAGTGCAGGCTGTAGGAGTGCTCTGTCTTGATGGGCACGGCGCCCAGGGCATCTGTCATTAGCCGGTCGTGCAGCACCACGCCCGACTTCGCCTCGCGCTCCACCAGCCAGTCGCTCATATCTGAGTCCTCGTCCAACACATCTTGCATCTCCTGTAAAGGAGAACAAAGATTTTTTAGAAACTGGGGCTCTAGAGAGAGATGAATAAACGGAAAGGAAGGCGTATTAACTTTAGATATCGAAGTAAAGGAAAGTATACATTATTGGTTGTTCTTACTCAATATGTTTATTTATAAAAAGTTACACTTGCATTTATACCATAGTATAGTTAGTTGAGTGCATACAGCTGTGACCAAAAAGGTAAAATTATGCAACAGAATTCGCTACCGTACATAAAATTAAGAGGATGAAATACCATTCTATAAGGGGGAAGCCTCGACCATTTCCTTGTGATAGTACATTATTTCAATTGTTTTTATAAAGTCCTTTAAGAAAATCTATACATTGTAATATCGATATTTTAACACTAGAGTGTTTTATAGATAATAAAACGTTTCAATTTTGTTAAAGTAGGGGTTAGAAGAAAAGCGATGTTATCGTTGCATCGCGCTCAATGCCGCATGAAAGCGGTGCTTCATTTGATTTCAATCATGACTCGCGTCACGTCACAGTCTTATGCGAGAATTCGCACGTGAGTTATGCGAGGTGATTCAGAAGAAATTGCTGCCGTGTGTTGCGACTACATCTGCTATCATGTGCTAACTATACAAGGCCTAATCATCGTCGTAATCCTTTTCACAAGGGCGGTGAAGTGAGATAGACGAGTAAGACAGGGCAGTACCATTATCGTTTGAACACGAGCACCATATTCTTATGAAGGGCCTTATTGATAAAACAATAGCAGTACCACACTGTACTGCTGTGGTTTACAGTTCTGCCCTCGTGTGAAACTAGCATTATGATGAAATGAAAGTGGTACGGATTGTAAAACCTTTTCTATGGCTAATATGAAATATGATACAACGTTCTTGGTTAATAAATTCTAATTTCAAAATTTAATTTGAAGTAATCGTAATTAATACAATTTAAAGTACGTGTTTTGAATATTCTATGTAGAGTACAGTTGACTGCTTTAGTGTTAATGAACTTCTTTCTAACATATCCATTTCCGCGAAGGCTCGAGTGTTCATACGGATATTTGCTAAGGCTATTATCACATAGAGGCGAAGTCAATGGACCTGCCGCAAATATCACTGTCACCTGTCAATGAACACGTGTTAATTACATCAATTTACGACTATTCTTTTTATCTAATTTCTTATTTTACATATTTATGATCATTTCTAGACCCAAAGAAACGTTCAATGTAGTTACAGCAGATGTAGTAAAGGATCTAGATTTTTGTGGAACATTATAATAAAAAACTAGTATATAAAAATCGAATTATAAACGAGTTCTGTGAGGCGATAGCCCATTTTGGAATTCTCTGGATGATATTTAAATATGATTTTTGTGGAACATTATAATAAAAAACTAGTATATAAAAATCGAATTATAAACGAGTTCTGTGAGGCGATAGACCATTTTGGAATTCTCTGGATGATATTTAAATATGATTAAGATGACGTTTGTGATTTTTCAAAATGTAGAAAGTAACCTCGTATTAATTTAAATCGCTAGAATTTTTTTTTATTTGGACCAACTAACGACTACATAATGTATATACATCAATATAATATATAACAAAGACTAACTAATTATGTAACCAACACCGTTGTTCACAACTATGGTAAAGAAAAGAAAGGAAAGAAAACAGTAATAAAACTATTCATGCAATTAAACAAATTAGTTCACAAAGACGAAAGAAATAAAATGAAAATCAGTTGACGTTGAACATAGCACAGTGTTTTTAAAATAATTTATTAAATCATATTTAGAAAATTAATTAACTTCTTAAAGTTATTCATCATTATTATTATATACATTTATTAGTTTATTTTAACACATAAATCATAATAAAAGCGGCAGCGCAGTTACAATCAAAATGATTTCATTTAACAGCTGTGGTAGAAGTAATAAATAACAAGAAACAGTAGCGACCCTCATTGTTCACGCGCTTTATTCACGCTAATGTATTTTATTGATGTAATGATTTGAACGCATAAACTTTGGCTCACGATTTCGGTTGCTCAGAGCATCTAGTGGAATGTTTATAAGGTCCCCATTAAAGTTATATTTTTTATAGAATTAAAAACAAATTTAATAAGTAGCCTATATATTCTACCAATATATACGTGAAGCCGTTTCGGAGATACCTTCAAACAAACGTCCATCCATCTAAACTAAGCTACCTAGCTTACAGCCAGGAGACGGACATAGGATACTAATTACTGATTTTTTTTTTCGAATTTATGTCTTGAAAAGCTGCTTTTTATTTAACTTACTAATATTATAAATGCGAATGTTGAGATGGATGTGATGTGGATGGATGGGCTACACTAATTAAGTTTTATATATATCCCTGCGGACGGAGTCGCGGGCGACAGCTAGTTTGTAATATAAGTATGACTTCATTTATCCATCGTTGTAATAGGAAGGACCGTGGGAATTGTGGCAAGATTATGAAATCAGTTAATTTCTGTCTACTCCTCAGGACCCTACTATGTGATGTAGTTTAAATAAGGTGTTCTGTTTTTCAATATCCTTAGGCTATCGTTGGTGTCGGAAGCTCATCAAGCAGTCAGTGTGCGCGTGAGGTCGGCGACCGCGTTCGGCGGGCCGTTCGTTCACCGCGCTTGCTCTCCGCCAAGGTGAGGGACAACGTTAATGGAATGGCGTTAGAACCGCGAATTGATACGTTATATTGACCTCGACGTACATGAGCCTGAGTCTATTTTTCTATGTTTTTTTTGTACAATTTAAATTAAGCATCTACGTTCGTTGCAAATGATAACTATTTGCCCGTCTGATGGCAGAATGGTGTATTATAAAACAGCTTTGTAACTATTAATTAAATATGTTTTTAATTGCTCAATAATGTGTCTCATTGATGGTGCTAATAAAACATTAAAGATATAATTGAATTGTACGGATAATTAACTTGCAATTGCTCAAGATAACTTACTGCTAATTAAACGCAGTTCAGTCTGTAAGGTGATTGATCTGTGCAGTTTTTTTTTTTAATTTTCTTTAAATCAACGATCATTAATTACTTTTTAAATGGTCAAGGTTTTCACTGCCTCAAATACCAAGCTATCTGTCACGTCAATAAAGTCACAACAAAGTATCTTTGGAATAACAAATGATGAGTAATGAATTACTTTTTTTAACATCAAATAATTTGTTGGATTCTAAATTGTAAATGATCGAAGCTTACAAAATTCAAGGCACATCGCTAATACTTATGCAGTGCCCAAATACACCGCGTCTTGCAGGCTATTGCCCCTAGGGTCCCGCCTCGACGTTCTGCCGTTTGTGGGAAATACCGAACCGTAAACTATTCCGTACGTGACTGCAATCGTAAGTAGCTTCTAAGGCCCGGTTAACACTTCACATTACCGTGCGTTTCCATTGGAGTAACATACGTAAACGTATATAATAAAGAACAAAAAGGAAAAGTCTTGGACAAAAAGCTGAAGAAACAGGAAGAGAGAGAAACCTATTGTAATATGATTTTTTTTTTCAAATAAGACAGTACCGTATTGAAAAGGATACATTGTTTAAATTAATGAATTAAGGAATAAATATTGATAAACTTATATAATTTAAAAACTCAATCTCATAAATTCATAAAAGAAGTTATTTGAAAGGCACAACTGACTAAACAAGACGAACCGGTATTATTCCAACAAATCACTAATAATGGTATCTCTTCAAGCTATCAAATTGTTAGCGGTTATATCATACTAATTGAGTTCTCGTTCGTAACTCGAAGTCCCCTACCACGGATCTTATTAAGTATGTTTTCGTGCCTGTTTCATTGCATGCATGAGTTTTTACAACGACGTAAAACTCTTCCGATTTAGTGTAAGTTGTGCTCATAGAATTTTAAAAATGATAAGGTAATAGCTTCATTGTGTTGCACCTTCCGGTGTTACCCGCTGTTACTTAACCGTCCCAATTGTGTTGATTTACGTAAGCTTTTTTAAGTACTTACTCTATTGTGTAGATATTGTAAGAAACAAAATACAACGTCGGTGTTTATTGGTTATCAGCTGTTACAGCGTCAGCCATTTACAGTACTTTATAATAGGAATCTTTTTATTGTATTTTATTGTGAAAGGATTTCGTCACTTCAGTAAGTAAAACACCGAATTATTACAATTTAAATCAAACAATTAATTATTTTTTATTAATTTGTAATAAAACCTCTATACGCGAGAGACATTGTCCGGTTTCGAAGGACCTCCATAAGCGAGAAACTCTGGTAAAGAATATTTCTAAAAGCGAACAAATATGGCGGTTCCTTATAGTCTCGCAACTCGCAGTAAATATGACAGAAATGAATTTTTGTCAACGTGAAATTGATTCGCTACAATCAAGACAGTTTCTTAAACTAAATATATACGTAGTGCTGTTCCGGATACATTTCAGTACTTGTTCGACACAATCGCAACACGACAACGACTTTCCAATGCGCTTTTACTCAAACCTTTTACAATTGAGTCATATAAAAGAAAGAAAAAATGTACTTTGTATAAGAAGCAAAAAATACAGCAAAAAGCAGATAACTGAATCTTGTTTTAGATTCATTACTTGAATAAGTGTTTTAGTAACCCACTTTATCTGTTTTATTTTTATACTCTGTAGAATATTTGCAAAAAATGTCTAATATAACTAATCTTTATAGAAGGTTGTAATGTTCCACCCAAGTTAACTAAAATAAGTCTCAAAGGCCGGCAACGCCCTTGCGCAATTCCTCTGGTATTGATATCCATGGGCGTCATTGAACACCTTGGTGTTCCCGTTGCTCGTTTGCCCCCTTCTCTTATAAAAAAAACTGACATTCACCAATTAGTATACAAAGTTTAAATAAAAAATACGTTAAAAGGTTTCTAAAGTGTGTCATCTATTCGTAACATTCACACGATCGGCCGTCACGTTTAGTGATGCGCATCACCGCAAAGGTTAAATGTAAATAAATAAATAAAAA